CCGGTGGTGGTGGCCGGGGCGCGACGGAAGGAGGAGGAGGACGGAGAGGTGGGCGACGAGAGGGAGCGGATGGACGACGAGCGGTCCGCGTCCTCGCCGCACGGGCGAAGTCGAGGACGCCGCTGCCGCCGCCGCCGCCGCGGGGCGAGGCGCGAGTGGCGAGGGCCGCAGCGGCGCCGAGTTCGAGCGCGCCGGGACTCGGTGCTGCAGCTGCGGCGGCGGCGGCGAAAGTGGCGGTGAGGGCAAGGGCGAGGACACGGGCGCCGGAAGCGCCGGGAGCGGCCGCGCACGGTACAACCTCGCCGTCGCCGTCGCTGCGCCCGCGCCGTCCGACGCGCTCCTGCCGTGCCCGCTCCCACCCATCGCGCGGCGGCGCCGATGCGGCTCGTCGTCGAGCTCGTCCAACGAACACGACGAGGATGAGGACGAGGGGGTGGGCGGCAGCTGGATGACGGCGAGCGCCGGTCGGGCGGGCGGCGCCATGGTCGGCGGTTCGAGGACGAGCAGCTGCTGCTTCTCGGTCCTCGTGCTGCGGACGCTGCTGCTGCTCGACGGGTCTGGCGCGAGGTGGAGCTGGCGCGGGCGGAGCTTGGGCGACGGCGGCACGGCGGTGCCGGCGACGAGGGGGCCGAAGAGTGGGAGGTTGAACGAGGGCATGGGGCGGCGCGGCGCGGAGCGGGGGCGCGCGAGTCGTTGCGGTCTGTGGGGCCGGGAGGGAAGAGAGTGAGCTCGTGGGCGCGAGAGGGGGGGCGAGAGCGAGGCGAGAGAGAGAGAGAGGCGGGGCGCACCTCGGCGACCGGGTCGGGCACGCTCCTCCTCCTCGAGGACAGAGTCGTCGCAGTCGCGTGCGGTCGGGCTGCGCGGGCGCCGAGAGAGCAAAGGCGTGGGGCGACAGAGCGAGAGGTGAAGGAAAGCAAGCCTTGGCAGCGGCTCGCACGAGTCGGCGGGGCGGGGGGGCCGAGAAAGAAAGAACGCCGAGCACGCCGCGGGCCCGAGGAGCGCGAGGCGGACGAGGGTCGAGCGGGGAGGAGCGAGCGGCGTGCGCGGGGCGACGAGACGAGAGGAGAGGGGTTCAGCTTTTCGCGAGGCTCGCGAAAGAGGTGGTGCTCTATGTGTGCGAGCTGCGTCAGTGATGCGAGAGGACGAGGAGGAGGAGGAGGAGCGAGAGGGTGAGCGCACCTCTGAAACCGACTCTCGCACGCCCCACTCTGCCCGCCCTGACCATCCGCGCTCCACAGCCCACGACCGAACCCGAGATGAAGGAAGAGAAGAGTGCGTGCGTTGCGGTGGGTGCTGTACTTTTGTGCAAAGGGAGACGAAGGGGGAGGGAGGAGGGATAATCTACAGGTGGCCGCCCTTGCGCTCCTCGAGGCTCTTGACGATGAAGAGGGACGAGTCGAGGAAGCGGTCGACGCAGTTGGCTGTCGCGGCGTGCGAGAGGTGAGCGAGGAGGCTGTTGAGAGGAGGAGAGGGAGACGCGGGACGCACTGAGGCAGGCCTCCTCGCCGCGGCTGAAGCGTGCGCCCGGCTGGCCCTTGATGCAGCTGCAGGTCGACGCGACGAGAGCGAGAGAGTCAGTCGGGGCGCGCAGGAGGGCGACGAGGCGTCGAGGAGAGGGACGTACAGGTCCCAGCAGCGGTCGGTGAAAGCGTGGACCTGGGTCTGGAGAGCGGCCTTGGTCTGCTCCTGGGCGAGGAAGTTCTGGAGCTCGCGCTGTCGGGGGGGAGGGGAGCGACGAGGTGAGCGAGGAGAGAGAGGGGAGAGAGGAGAGGGGGAGAGGGGAGGAGGGACGGACGCGAGTGGCCTCGTCGAACTGGTCGAGGCCCTGAGGTGCCTGCTGCTGCTGCTGCTGTGGCGCCGACATGGTTACTTGGGCGTCAGAGCGAGAGCGGGTTGCCATCTCGCCCTCGCCCCCCGTCGTCCTCGTCTCAGGTCGAGCTCTCGAATCGCTTGCGCGCCCTCCACCTCGCCGGCTAGAGCCCTCCGCTCGCCCGCAACCGCGCCTGCTCGCTCGACACGACGAGCCAGGCCCCAGCGACCGACCGCCTCGCCCCGCCTCGCCTCGCCTCGTCGGCGCTACCTCCCCGCTCGGCGACGACAAGCGACCACCACCACAACCACCACCTGCGCATGGCCAGGTCCACCACACCCGCACCGCCCTCGGGCACCATGATGACCTCGGACGAGCTCGACTGGCTCGTGTACAGCTACCTCGAAGAGTCGGGTCCGTCTCCTCCCTCACTGTTTGGACCCGGCACCCGCGCACCCGCACGACACTCACACGACCCCCGCTCGCCGCCTCACAGGCTACCACCACACGTCCTTCTCGCTCCTCAACGAGTCGCGCCTCGCCGGGCCCTCGACCTCGTCCGCCTCGCCGTCCTCGCTGCCCAACGGCTCGTCGTCGTCCGCCGCTGTCGCCGCTCCTCCACCACCATCAGCGCCGACGGGAGGCGCGACGGCGAGGAACCCCGTCATGGACCAGGTCGTGCCGCCGGGCCACCTCGTGCGCCTCCTCCAGAAGGGCCTCCTGTACCTCGAGGCAGAGGCGCGCTACCGTGGCGTGAGTCCCTCGTGTCCCTGTCCTGTCCTTCTCACGCGCCCTACGGCCCGTGCAGAGAGGCCTTCATGACCACGTTCTCGTGACTCACACCCCTCTCGCGCTCGCTCGCAGGACCCACCAGCTCCAGCACCCCGCCTCATCGGCTACCCGATCCCGTCCTCGCTCCCCCTCCCCTCCCTCCCCAAGTACGTCCCGCCCGCCGCCGCCGCACCGACCCCGACCCCGACGCCGACGCCGCCGACGTCCAACGCCAACGCCGGCACCGCCGCCGACGCCAAGGGCAAGGGCAAGGCGCGACAACCGGCCGCTCCCGCTCCCGCTCCTGCCGCACCACCCGCACCAGCAGCGCCGGCACCCAAGCGCAAGGCGGACAAGGACAAGGCGCAGGACAAGGCGCAGGGCGACGAGGGCGCCGCAGCGTCGGCTTCGGCTTCGGCGGCGGCGGCGGCCGAGCGCAAGCGCGCGAGGACGACGAGCGGCGAGTCGGCGGCGACGCCTGCGGCTGCGGTGGCCGGGGCCAAGAAGGGCAAGGGGAGGGAGCGCGAGAGGGAGAGGGACAAGGAGAAGGAGGGTGCGGCGAGCGAGGGAGGCGCGGGCGCAGGGGCGGCGCAGAGCAGGGGCGCCAAGGGAAAGGGGCAGGCGCAGGGGCAAGCGCAGGGCAAGGACGCCGAGGGCGACGTCGCCATGGACGACGCGGCGGGGCCGTCTGCGCACGGCCTCGGGTCCGCCGCCGCGTCGGCGTCAGCGGCCAAGGCCAAGGAGCGCCCGCAGCAGCAGCAGCAGCAGCAGCAGCAGCGCGCGTCGGCCACCGCCAACGCGGCGACGCCGTCGACGTCGACCAAGCGCGAGCGCGACAAGGACGACCTGCGTCCGCCGCCGGCCAAGAAGGCCGCCGCGTCGACGCCGCTCGGGACGCCCTCGTCCTCGTCCTCGTCCTCCGCCGCCGCTGCCGCCGTCGCCGTCGCGCCGCCGTCATCCGCTCCCGCGAAGCGCTCGGTGTCGCCCATCCTGGCGCGCAAGATGATGCCGGGGTCGTTGAGCGGCGCTGGCTCTGCGACGGCGGCGACGACCGCGCCTCCTTCGTCCTCTGCTTCGGCTTCGGGGCTGGCAGCCCTCCTCCCTCCTCCTCCTCCTCCGCCACCACCTCCTGCACCCGCCGCTCCCGCACTCGCGGCAGCAGCCTCCTCGTCGTCCGCCGCACCCTCCGCTCTCCCACCCGCCCCAGTCCCAGCCTCAGCTCCCGCGCCGCCGTCCGCCCCAGCCCCGGCCCAGACGCCCGCCCCGACGCACAACAAGTTCCGCATCACGACGACGACCAAGACGGTCGCGACGCCCGTGCCCGTCTCGGCGGGCGCGCTCGCCGCTGCCGCGCAGCAGCAGCGCCGGCGCGAGTCGGGCGATGCGGCGGTGGGTGCGGGTGCGGGTGCGGGTGCGGGTGCGGGGGCGAGCGGCGGTGGGTCGGGCGCGGGGGACGGTACGGCGCGAGGTGCGGGAGGGCTCGGCAAGAACGGCGCGGCGGGGCCAAAGAGCCCGCTCAAGGGCTCGAGCGCGCTCAAGGGCGGCGGCGGGTCGGCGGCGACGGCGGCGGCGGCGGCGGCGGCGACGGGTTCGAGTGCGGTGGGCGGAAAGGACGGCAAGGAGGTTGGCGGGGCGGGAGGGGCGGGCGCGAGCGGCAAGGACGTCGACATGACGGGCGTCGTCGTGCTCAAGTGCGACGACCCCGAGGTCATCAAGCTCAAGGGCCACACGCAGATGGTGCGCCCGCATTTCTCCCTCGCCCGTCTCGAGGACGCCGCCATTGACTCGGCTACTGGCCCAATTCGCAGAAGGTCCAGCCGTGCGCGTTCAACTCCAAGGTGCCGTCGCTCCTCGCGACCGGCGGCGCCGACGGCACGTGTCGCATCTGGGACGTGCCCACGTCTGCGCCGTCGCCGCCCGTGCTCGTCGAGCGCATCAAGTGCAAGCACCCGTCGTCGTCGCGGCGGGTCGACATCACGGCCGTCGCGTGGGACCCGTCGGGCTCGCTCCTCGCGACCGCGACCGAGGACGGCATCGCGCGCATCTGGACCGTGTCGGGCGACCTGCACCTCGTCCTGTCGATGCACCAGCGCAGCATCTCGAGCCTCAAGTGGTCGCCCGGCGGTACCATGCTCCTCACGGCGAGCCTCGACCAGACCGTGTGCCTGTGGGAGGTGAGCAACGGCAAGGTGCGGCAGCAGTACTCGACCCACTCGGACCAAGTCCTCGACGTCGACTGGAACGACGACGGCATGTTTGCGAGCACGAGCTCTGACCGTATGGTGCACCGTGCGTCGTCGCCCTCTCTCTCTCCCTCTCTGTCTCTTTCCTGCCTCCCTGTCGTGCCCCGCACTGACCCTCTCTCTCGCGCCACTTGCCTTCCCTCGCCTCCCTTTCCTCGCCTCCCCCCTCGTAAACCACGCCCTCTCGCCCACCCACTCGCTCGCCCACCCACTCGTAGTCCTCTCGACAACGCGCCCGACGCCCTTGCACCGGTTCCGCGGCCACCGCGACGACGTCAACGTCGTCAAGTTCTCGCCGTGCGGTACCCTCGTCGCGTCGTGCGCCGACGACACGACGGTGCGCGTGTGGTCGCTGCGCGGGATCCCGGCCATCGCGCGCGAGGTGGGCGCCAAGAGCGGCGTCAGGCGGGGCGACGCGGCGAGGCGGATCGACGTTGGCGAGGGAGAGGGTGGGGGAGGGGGCGTGTGGACGCTGGAGGGGCACGAGAGCGACGTGCACCAAGTTGCGTGGCACCCGCAGGCGGGCAAAGAGGGGTACGAGGGCCCGAGGCTGCTCGCGTCGTGCGTCTCTCGCTCTCTCTGTCTCTCTCTGTCATCCTCTTTCTCGAACAGAGACTGACTCTTTCCCTCCCTTCCCTCGTCGCGTACCTCCTCGTCTCCCCTCGTCTCCCCTCCTCCCTCGGCCGCCTCGCGCTCCACCCTCCTTCCCTATCGCCTCCTCATCCTCCTCCCTCGCCTCGTCACACCCGCCCGGCCCAACCCGCAGTTGCTCGTTCGACTCGACGGCCAAGCTGTGGGACGCCGACAGCGGCACGCTCCTGCACACGTTTGCGCGCGCGACCGACTTTGTCTACTCGATCTCGTTCGAGCCGGCCTTGGGCAGGTTCCTCGCGACGGGCAGCAACGATGGGAGGTTGGACGTGTGGAGGGTCAAGGTGCGCCTTGGGACATCTCTCTCTTTCTCTCGAGGAGCATGGTGCGAGTGAGCCATCGTGTGCAGGGCGCCGTACTGACCCTCCCTCTCTCCCTCTCTCCCTCTCTCCCTCTCTCCCTCTCTCCCTCTCTCCCTCTCTCCCTCTCTCGCTCTCTCCCTCGCGTGCTATGTCCTCTTGTCTCACGCACCCGCACCCGCACCCACCACACCCACCGCACCCACCGCACCCACCCGGCCTCGCCACCGCCCACCCGCAGGACCGCGCCCTCGTGTCCGAGTACACGCACTCGGGCGAGATCTACGAACTCACGTGGCACCCTCACGGGCGACAGCTCGCCGTGTGTGGCGGGACCGAGGAGGTTGCGGTCGTGCCGCTCGCGCTGTGAGGTGCTGCTTGAGGCGGGAGGGGCGAGGGGGAGGGCGAGGGAGAGGGAGAGGGGAGGGGAATGAGATGGGTTTGCGCGACGACTCGAGATTGGCGAGAGTGCGAGAGAGAGGGAGGGACGGGGAGAGAGAGAGAGGGGGGGGGGGAGAGAAAGGGAGAGAGAGACAGGGAGAGAGGCTCTCGCACGAGAGCGAGAGGACGGGAGGGAGAGGTACACCTGGCTTGCAGGACTCGCCCAAGGGCTCGCTACACCAACCACCCCCGACACTCGACCCTCGCCGTCAACCTCCACCCCTCTCTCCCTCGCGGGCTTTCCGCCCGCCCTCCCACACCCTCGCCCCCGCCCCGACCCTCGCCCTCGCCCCGACCCTCGCGCTCGCCCGTCCCCCGGCCCTCCCTCGCCACCAGCTCGTCCCTGAGGGCGTCCCACTGGACAAAGAAGCGGTCGACGAGCGGGCGGACGAGGCGCGCCGAGAGCGAGAGGCGGCGGGTGCGCGCGAGGGACTCGAGGTAGATGAGGCGAGGGGCCGAGGAGGAGGAGGAGGAGGAGAGGGGGAGGAGCTGCGAGGTAAGTGGGGAGTCAGTGTGTGTGGGCGTGGGGGTGAGGGAGAGGTGAGAGGCGGCCTGAGTGAGCGGGAGGGAGAGAGAGGAAGGGAGAGGGGAAGAGAGAGGAGGGCGAAGGGACGCACCCGAGGAAGGAAGGCTGCGAGCGTGATGGGGACGCAGCTGCCCGGTCCATTGAGGAGCACGACGTCGGCGAACACTCTCCTCCTGCCGAGGATGGGTCGCTCGCGAGGTGAGGACGAGGACGAGGTAGGCGAGGACACGGTGGTGGAAGAGGTCGGGAGGAGGAGCGGCGCGAGGGTAATGTGCCACACGCAGCTCGCGAGCGAGTACAGCGTCGTAAAGGGCGACGTGAGGTACGACTGGTGGACCTTGCGGGCGCGCGGGATGCGCAGGATGCGGAACTGCGAGGGTGTGTGGGGGTCAGCTCGAGCGCGCTCGAGGTGGGAGGAAGCTCCGACGACGACGACGAGGAGGGCCGAGGACGCACCTGTCCCGAGGCGATGGTGCGCTCTAGTTGGAGGGCCTTGCGCTCGCTGAGCGTGTCGCCGGACGAGATGATCCAGGTGCGAGTCGGGAACCGGCGCCAGTCGAGGTGCGCGACGAGGCGCATCATCTCGGCCGTGTGGCCGCCTGCAGGGGGTGGCTTGTGCGTGAGCTGTGGGCGCTACCGTGCCAGGCTAGGGGGACTGGGACGCACCAGAGCCGAGGAAGACGGCGAGCGAGGCGTCATCAGTTGGGCGAGGTGGTGGGCGCCGGTTGTGTGTCTCGACGAGGACGAAGAACAGGCGGACGGCGAGGACGGTGGCGACGAGGACTAGTGCGGCCAGGGCGACGAGCACGCTGCGCCAGGCGAGCATGGCATGTCGAGGCGACGAGCAGGAGCCCGGCGCGGCGCAGTGGGCGGAGCGAGGCACAGAGGGGCGACGACCGCATCGCCGGACGGGCTGGCTGGTGCGTTCCCGTGGTGAGAGCTAGAGCTACACATCTGCTGCAGTCGATCACGCTCTGGATGAGAGGGAGCATGCGCGGTCCTCGTCCTCGAGCCGCGCACCGGAACGACGGCCGCTCCCTCTCTCTCTCGCTCCTGCCAGCCACCCAGACTCGACTAGACAGCTCAGGTGCGCTCACGTCGCAGTCTTTGTCCTCCCAGCAGTCCCGCTGACCCTCCTCGCCGCCATCGCAGCCGGCCCCCGCTCCTCGTTCGTCCTCGCTCTCCCTCCTCGATGAGCACACACCTCGCCGGGCAGCTGACCTCGTTCTTCGCCACGCAGCTCTTACGACCTTGACGACCTTGACGACTTTACGACCCTTTCACGACACACGCCCGACGACTCGCTCCCTCGACCCTCGCCCTTCCTTCCTCGCCTTCGTCCTCCCGATGTGGTGCGACAACTGTGCGTCCTCGGTCCCTCAGCTGCGTCGGTGCGAGAGAGTCGACGGCAGCGTCGCCGGCTTGCCCGCTACGTCCGCGTCATAGAAGCACTGACGCCTCCCTCCTCCCACACAGGCCTCCTCATCTTCCCGCTCCGCGCGGGCACCATGGCGCTCGCGACCGAAATCGCGGCGTACAGCATCGCGGGCGGCATCGTCCTGTTCCTGTATGGCCAGTACTTGTACCCGAGTGCAGACCTGGAGGTTCCGGTGTATGGCGGCGTGTCGATGGGCATTGGCGCGTGCTCGGTGCTGCTGCTGCTCGCGTTTGCGAACCGATCGCGCTGTACGTCCCACTCTCGTTCTCTCGCTCCCCTCCGTCTTCCTTTTCGTCCTCCCTCTCTTCTACCTCCCCTCTCCCTCGTACCTCCCCGTCGACGAGACTTGACCTCTCCGGGACCTCCTCACAGTGTGGACCTCGGCCCTGTGCTTCATCCTCCCGTTCGTCCTCGTGCTCAGCATCGTCCGCGCCGGGTCCGTCCTCCCTCTCCCTCTCCCTTCTCGCCGACTCTCTCGTCGACGACAAGCGGCCCTGACCCTTTCTCTACTCGCACGCCGCAGGATCATGACCTTCAGGCTCGACTACTGTTCGTCCCCTTTCGTCGCCTCGAGCCGCTCGAGTAGCGACCTTCTCACGCGCCGCCTCGCCGCTCGCAGACCAAGAGCGCATCATCTGGTCTTGCAACCACGGCGGTGCGTCCCGCTCTCTCTCTCTCTCTCTCTCTCTCTCTCGCGTGCCTGCCCTCGTACTCGCAGACGAGGCGCTCACCGACCCCCCTCCGAGCCTCGCAGGCCAGCTGTACAACGCGACGCTCGCTGCCGACTCGACCTACTCGGCGGGCAACTCTTCGGGCGACACGATCCCGACCGGGTTCTGCAGGTCCGTCTCCTCTTTCCCTTCTCTCTTTCCCTCTCGCTCTCTCTCTTTCCGGCGGGGCGGCGCACTGACCCCTGCCCCGCCGCCCGCCGCCCGCCGCCGACAACAGCGCCGGCTTCCACTCGCTGTACCTCGCGTTCGCGTTCGCCCTCGCGCTCGACTGCGTCCTCCAGGCGTACCAGCTCTTCCTCGTGTGGCGCTTCAGGGCGTTCCTGAGGAACTACAGCAGCCTCAAGGACTCGAGGGTCAACGGTGCGTCGTCTCGGCGCGCGCTCGCGCTTGCGTTCTTTCGCGCTCGGCCTCGCTGTCGGCAGAGGGCGTGAGATCCTTGCGCGCGCGGCTCGCTGACACGGTCACGTCGTCCACAGGCTACTACTATTCCTGAGCGCACCTCGGGATCACTCAGCTCGCCTCGTTCTCCTCGTCCTGTCACCCTTCTCCCCCTTCTCGCCCGCCCTCGTTGTTTACGCCCCTCGCCCGTCTCCCTCCCTGTCCCTCGCCTAATGCAACCCTGTTCTATCTCTCTGCGACGAGCCTGACGAGAGAGCGAACGAGAAACGGAGACCGGGAGCGCGATTTGAAGGGATGTTTGCGCTCTCTCTCTCGACGACGACGACGACGACGACGACGAACGAAAGAGGCGCGAGAACGGCGTGCGCGATACGGACGAGACGAGAGGCGGGGCGGGGGGGAGCTACAACAGACCTGCTGAACGAGAGAGAGAGAGAGACAGAGAAAGAAGACGCGCGAGGGAAGGGGACCGTGCGCCGTCGAAGGGAGGGACGACGACGTGCGAAGCGAGGGGAGGACCAGGGAGCGATCAGGCGCGCACTTGCTCGGCGGCCTCCTGCGGGAGCGGGCAGGGGGCGAGAGAGTCAGTGCGCGGCCGGCGGGCGATCAGGGAGTGAGAGGGAGAGGAGAGAAGAGTACGCACGATGAACGTGCTGCACTCGTCGGCCGTGACTGCGTCGCCCAAAAAGTCGAGGCATCAGGACCTGTCCGTTCTGGGGGAAAGCGAGAGAGAGAGAGAGGGGACGACGCACGCGTCTTGACGTTCGAGATCTTTGCCTGGTTGAACACGACGCCAAAGTAGCTGTCGGCGTGCGGGATGAGCTCGGCGCGGAAGGTCGTGCAGATGTACTGCGCCTCTTGCGACAGCTCGCTGATCATGGCTGCGGGCGGGACGGCGAGGAGGTGGGTCAGGGACGGCGCGAGGCGAGGAGGAGCGAGAAGGAGGGGGGACGCACCGGCGACGGCGGTGCGGCGGTCGGCGTCGAGGTTGGCGTCGATCTCGTCAAACAGGTAGAACGGCGCAGGGTCGCACTTCTGGATCGAGAAGACTGTGCGGCGGCGAGGGAGAGAGTCAATGATTGACGCTCGACGAGCGAGAAAGGGAGACGATGGCGACGCACTGAGCGCGAGGGCGACCAGCGCCTTCTGCCCACCGGACAGCTGCTGCAGGCGAAGGCCCTCGTTCGACTTGGACTTGAACGAGACGCGGATGGCGACGCCCGTGTAGTTCTCGACGCTGCCCTCCTCCTCGGGCTCGTCGACGTCCATGTCGTCCTCGCCCTGCGCGCAACGCGAAAGAGCATCAGGAACCTGCACGAGGACGAGACGAAGAGAGAGGGAGAGAGGGGACGCACCTTGTCGAGCTGGCGCTGCAACATGATGAGGCGGCCGCGACCGGTCGGGACGAGCTTCTGAAACACCTCGGCAAAGTTCTTGGCGACCTGCTTGAACGTGCGCTCGATCGCCTCGTCCTTGCGCGCGTCGAGGACGCCGATGAGCTCCTCGATCGACTCTTGCGACTTGTCGAGCTCGTCCTGGCGCGCGAGCAGCTCGTCACGCTGCTTGGTGAACGACATGTACTGCTCGTACGCCTTCTTGTTGACGTGCGCGAACGCTTTGAGCGACTCGTTGACCTTGCGGAGCTTCTTGAGGAGCTGGTGTGGCAAGGTGGGTCAGTGACGAGCCCGGCGAAAGAGACGAGGGAGAGGTGGGTAGGGCGCACCTTTTCCGACGACGACTTGTTCTCGCGGAACGCCTCCTCGGGCAGGACGCCGAGGTCGCGGATGTTCTTGTTGCACTCGTCCTTGCGCTGCATGAGGACCTGGCGCTTGGCGAGGTACCGCTCGACGCTCTTCTGCTGCCGCACGATGCCGCGCTGGTCGTCGGCCTGCTGGCCCTGCAGCTTCTCGCGTTCCTTCTCGGCGTCGGCGACCTCCTTGTTGAGGCGGTCGGTCTGCTCGTCGATCTCTGCGGGCATGGGCGAGAGAGGGTTAGGACGCGGTTGAGGGGAAAGGAGAAGGAGGACGAGAGGGACGGACCCTCGACACGGCGGTTGAGCACCTCGACCTGCTTGCGGAGCTTGGCGAGCTGCTTCTTCTTGACCTCGAGGTTGGCCGCCGAGCCGTCGTCCTCGTCGCCGTCGTCGGCGCCGGCGCCGGCCGTGTCGAGCGCGTCGAGGCGGGCCCGGAGCTCCTCGCGACGGCGGCGCAGGTCCTCGTTGAGCTCGATCTCGAGCACGTTCTTCTTGGTGGCGAGCTGTGAGGGGGGAGACGTCAGGGTGGACGGCGAGGGGAGGGAAGAGGGCGAGAGGAAGGGAAGGGAAGGGAAGGGAGGACGCACCTCGGACAGGCGCTTGGACAGGTCGACGAGCTCCTTCTTCTTGGCCTCGACCTCCTCGCTCAGGCGCTTCATCGTGTCCTCCTCGTCGCCGCTCAGGCCCTCCTCGAACGCGCTCTCGATCTCGGCGCGCCACAGCTCGCACTCGCGCTCGAGCGTACGCATGTTGCTCTTGTGCTCGACGAGCTGCTTGTCGAGGCGGGCGAGGCGCGTCCGGGCCCGGTCGGCCTCGTCCTGGAGCCGCATCGCCTCGTCGACGAGCGGCTCGCGCTCCTGGACGGCGCGCTGCAGGCGCTGCTCGGCGACCTGGATCTGGCCGAGCACGTGCGTCACCTCCTGGTCGAGCGTGACGAGCTTGTGGCGGACCTCGGTGTGGTGCGCGCGAAGCTCGCCGTCGCGGTGCTGGGCCGCCTTGATGGCCTTGACGGCGTCGAGGCGCGAGCGGCGCACGTCGTGGAACCCGCCCGTGAGCGAGCCCTTGCGGTCGTACTTGTCGCCGTCCAGCGTGATGGCGTTCAGGCTGTGCGAGCGCGTGTAGGCACCGGCAATCTCGAGCGTCTGGCAGATGATGGTGCGCCCAAAGACCTGCTTGAACGCCGGGCGGAACTGCTCGGCAAACTTGAGCTTGTTGATCCTGCACGACGACGAGGAGGACAGCGTCAGAAACGCGCTCGCCTTGCTTTGGCGTCGTCGAGAAGGAGAAAGGCGGGACGCACATCGGGATGGCCTCGGTCGTCTTTGGGTACTCGTGGTCGTGGACGCGCAGGCGGTTGAGCGGCATGAACGTGACGCGGCCGCTCTTGTCCTGCACCATGCGGTCGAGGATCTGCGTCGCGATGGCGTCCGAGTCGACGACGATCTGGAACAGGCTGTGGACGGGAGGTCAAGGTGAGTAAAGGACACGCGAGAGGTACACCTCGAGAGGGAGAGAGAGAGGACGCACCTCGTGCCGGCAGTGACCTCGACGGCCGTTTTGTAGCGGTCCTCGACCTCGAACAGCTCGTACAGCGGACCGTGGTATCCGTCGAGGCCGAGCTCGGTGGCGATAGCGCGTGCGGCGCGCAGGCCGTTGGCCGTGTCGCGGTCCATCGTCTTGGAGACGGCCTGCTCGGCCGAGCGAAGCTGGTCGGCGGCGTGACGACCCTGCGCGCTCAGCTTGGCCTCCTCCTTCCACAGGTCCCTGCGCGTGCGAGAGAGAGAGAGATGCGAGGTCCAGATTAGCGAGGTCACGGCGACAGGGGCGGCAGAAGGAGGAGCGAGAAAGAGGGGGACGCACCTGCGCTGCTCGTCCTTGTCGGCGTGCGCCTTCTTGAGCGCCGCGATCTCCTCCTTGAGCTCGTGGACCCGGTCCCTCCTCCCGTCCGCCTGCTCCCTCAACAGCCTCCTCTGCTCCTCGGCCTCGTCGCGCTCCTTCTCCGTCGCCTCCTTCTCGCGCTCGAGCCCCTCCTCGCGCCCACGCCGTTGCTCGAGCGTCTCCTCGTTGCGCGCGACGAGCGCCGACAGGTGGTCGTCGCGCTCTCGGCGCGTGCGGAACTGGCCGCGGCGCCCCTGCTTGGCGAACAGCTGGCGCAGCGTCACCTCGGCCTGCTCGACCTCGTCCTGCTTGGTCGCCTCGTCCTCGCGCGCGCTCTCCCAGTCGGGCAGCAGCGTCGACAGCTCGCCCTCCTTGGCCTCGATCTCGCCCTCAACGCGCTCGAGTGCCGCCTCGGCACTCGTGCGGCGCTCGGCCCCGGACCGCGCGGCGTCCTCGGCGTCGGCGACGGTGCACTCGAGGCTCGAGACGGCCTTGGCGAGGTCGCGCTTCTCGGAGCTGAGCTCGCGGTGCTCGGTCGAGAGGGTCGACAGGGATTCTCGCAGGCTCGACAGGCGAGCGGCGAGGGTCTGCGCGCACGAGAGCGAGTCAGCGTCGGTCAGGTGGTCGCACGCCGAGGTCGAGGTAAGGAGAGTGAGGGACAGAGGAACGCACCGACAGCTCCCTCTCGCGGCCGTTGAACTCTTCCCGCTTCGAGTTGGCGTTGTCGACGTCCCGCCGGCGCTCCTCCTCGATCTGGTCGAGCATGTCGCCGACGTCCTGCAGCTCGCGCTGGTAGATGCAGTACTCGAGCGACCGACGGGACCGGTCGAGCGTCTGCGGGACGGACGAGGGTATCAGAGAGGTCGCGAGAGGTGCAGGAAGGGAAGGTCGAGCAGAGGACGCACCTGGAACTGCTTGAGCTCTTCCTTCTCCTCCTCGAGCTCGTCGAGGCGCTCCTGGATGTAGTCGAGCAGGTCCTTGATCTTGTCGCGCTTCGAGTCTGCCGGGGAAGGGCCGGGGTGAGCACTCTTCCGTGGCGACAAGAGGGAGAGACAGGGCGAGAGGGTGCGGCGTACTCGTCTCGTCCATGATCTTGTTCGACTCGGCACGTCGCTCCTCGTACACCTTGGTGCCGGCGACCTCCTTGAGCAGGGTGAGGCGGTCGGCGTCCTTCTGGTTCGTGAGGAACGTGATCTGCAAGGGGGAAAGAGGAACGGCGAGCGTCAGGTCCAGGTTCGCTCGCGCTCTGTCGGGTCACACCGAGGAGGAGAACGAGAGACGCACACGACCCTGAGGGACGATGTAGTACGGGTTGGACCGCGAGAAGCCGGCCGACTCGAGGAGCGACATGACCTCGCCCTTGGACGTCGACTTGCGGTCGAGCTGGTACTCGTCCTTCTTGAGGCCGATCGTGCGGCGCAGCAGGAGCGTCGGCTTGTCTGTTGCAGGGGAGGCCGGGCGAGGGTGCGGGTCAGCTGGGGTCCTCGACGAGAGAGCAAGGATGGAGAGGAAGCTGGACGCACTGGTCGGGAACCGGCCGTCCGAGTTGTCAAACTCGATCTCGACGTAGGCGCTCATCGTCGCGCCGCCGGTCCCGCCGCCGCCGTCGTGCAGGAGCGACTGGCGCTCTTCGCGCGAGAGGGACGTGTAGGCATCCGACAGGACGAAGCGGATCGCCGAGAAGAAGTTCGACTTGCCCGAGCCGTTGCGGCCGACGAGGAGGTTGAGCCCAGGCCTTCAGGTGCGAAGGCAAGGTGATCAGCTCTCAGATAGGGTCGGCGAGCAGGGCTCGAAGAGGAGGACGAGAGGGACGGACGAGAAAGGGTCGACGGCGGTCTCGTCCCGGTACGACTTGAAGCCCTGGATCTGTAGGGCGAATGAACAGGTCAGCTCGCCTGGCTCGACCGTGCAGGCCTGTGTCGAGCTCGTGGCTCCAGAGGTGGGGCGAGTCGACGCGCTGATGAGACGCGTCGACGAGGACGAGGAGCGTGTTTGAACTCGCCTTGAGGCTCTGCACGGCGAGAGGGCAGGGTCAGCGTGTACTGCGGAGCACTTGGGAGGACTCGCGAGGCGCACCTTGATGTGCATGGCCGTGGCGAGGTCGTGGCCCTGGACGAACCGACCTCGCCCACTCCTCGCTCCTTCACCCACTCTCGCGTGCCCATGCCTGCTCGAGTGCACGTCTCTGCTCCGCGATGCACTCTGCCAGCTCGCGCCTCGCCGCACCCGCTTGTCTCCCGCGCGCCCCTGCGATCACCCCCACCTCGCCTCCTCGCGCCGCGACTGTGACGGCGGTGCGGCGGCTCAGCGTCCCGCTCGGCATGCTCGGGGCGAAGCGCGACATGTCAACCTAGTCCCGTCGAGCTCCTCGAGTGCACTAGACCCGATCTGCGCTTCGCCCGTCCGAGCTGCGCTCTCTCCCGCCTCGCCCGTCGTGCGGCTCCGCGCGCCCTGCCAGGTTGCTCGTACTGCGCCGAGTTCCGCTCGCGCGGCCCGCGTCGATCGCAGACTGGCTCTCCAGCTGGTCGCGAGCGCCTCGGTGCGCTCTAGAGCGCGACCCCACGCTCTCGACCTCGTCCCGCCTCCTCGTGAGTCTCCTCTCTCTGTCTCGAGCCCTCAAGAGCCCCTCTCTTACGCGCTTTCACACGTGTGACAGGTCACGACGCGCAGATTGCGTCGCAGCGCGGCCGAGCCAGGCAGCGCTGCTCCCTTCCCTCCCTCTCTTTCCCTCCTTCACGCACCCTCCTCCTCCTCAACCCTCATTCCTCGTCGCCACCGCACCGCCGCAAGACTCTCGTCATCCTCACGACCTCGACCTTGACTTCTTCAGGAGCTCTACCGTCTGTCAAGGTGCGCCCCGCTCTCTGTGCTCAGTCGCGCTCTTTCCCCCACCCCCTCCCCCTCTTCTCCCTTCCCCACGTGCTCGAGCACGACGCACGTCGGCCAAGGCCACCCAGTGAGCTGAACCTCTTCATTATGTCCGCTGACAGATGCCGTCTCGCGCCGCCGACGGTCCCGCCGCCGCTGCCCCGCCGCGAAAGCGCCTCACGCCCGAGCAGATGGCGCTCCTCCTCGAGCCGTCCGCCGCGGCCAAGGCCGGCTTCCGCAAGCAGGTGCAGGCCGCCCTCGACCGCGAGCTCACGGGCACGCTCGACCCCGAGACGATGCACATCCAGCCGCACGACGACCTGTTCAAGTTTGAGCGCCAAAACACGCGCGGGTACTACGAGAACATTTCGATGTTCACGGCGGTCGACGCGTACGGCAACACGAGCCAGTGGTCGCAGCGTGTCGTCGGCCCGAGGTCGTTCTTCCCGCGTTCGCTTCACTCGAAGAAGCGCCTGCTCAGCGAGGACCCGGAGGAGGCCGCTCACGACGAGGCCGCCCACGACGAGGACGCCCGCGACGAGGACGACGTCGACGTCAAGCCCGAGATCGCCATCGACGTCGACGTCGAGGTGCAGCAGCACACGCCGCCTCGTCGCAAGGCGGCCGCCGCCAACCAGGTCCCGCGCTCGCCGCGCAAGACGCGCGCCTCGCTCGCGAGGGAGCGTCGCGCCTCTGCCGCGGCGTACGACGAGGACAACCTCGACTTTGACGACGCGTCGACCGAGGCGTCGCACCTCGGGCGCACGCGCAACGGCGGCGGCGCCGCCGCCCCGACGAGCATGCTCGGCGAGGCGCGTGCGGGCCCTGCGCCGGTCGACGGCGCGGACGAGGGTCGCGGCAAACGCCGCTGCAGCGCGCGCATGAGGGCTCGCGTCGGTACGGTCGAGTTTGAGGGCGTGCGCGGCGGGCTCGAGGGCCTGTGCGTTCGTGGTACCGCTGAGCCCGGTGCGTTCCTCCTCTCCTCCTGCCCTCTCACATCCAGCCTCGAGCCTCGTTCTGACTCTCTGCCCGCATGTACACAGATGTCGACCGCGCCTAGTGGAGCGCCTCTCGAGGTGCCCTGCCGCTGGCAGAGCGTCGAAAACGGCGGCCCTAGAGGTTGCCGACCGCGCGAGGGCGGCTCTCGCTCGTCCTCTTCCCTCTTTCGTGCCTTCTCGTCTAGCTCTCGTGCCGTAATGTCACTCTCGTGCCGTTTCCTAACTGCAAAGGGCGAAGTACGTGAGAGAGAGACGTGAAAGCAAGCCCTGTCGCCGGCTCAAGTTGACCTTGCACCAAGCGGCGGCCGCCACCCCCACTCTCCTCCTCACACACCCGCCAGGCGCCCGTGCCTCGGCTTCTACTCGCCACGCATGCCCGCGACACCCACACTCGAGACCTACCTGCGCTCGCCCGCCCCGTCCTCGATCCGCAAGGGCGAACCCGCCGGCACCGCCTCTTCCGACCTCGCGTCCACCAAACCGGCGCAGCGCACGCCGACGGGAGGCAAGCGCAAGGGCAAGGCGACCCCGACGCCCAAGGGCAGCACCAAGAAGCGCAAGAAGGCCTCGGCGTTCGTCCCAGACAACCGCGACCTCGGCACGCTCGACCTCCTCAGCGACTCGAGCCAGGAGGACGACGTCGAGGTGCTCCAGCCGGCTCCTGCGGCGAGCTCGAGGGCAGCGGGTGCGTCGGCCAAGCGCGTCACGTTCGAGGAGGAGGACTGGGCGAGGGACGACGATGCGGTCATGGAGGTGGGGGAGGGTCCGGTCGGCTCTCGAGGTGCAGGAGCAGCGGTGGGCGGCGAGACTGAGGGGATCACGGAGCGTGTCGCGCCGGTCGAGCCCGTCGTGCTCGACGATGGGCCCCAGGGCACCGTCGACCTCCTCGCGGCGTCGACTCGAATCGCCTACCCAGCCGAGCAGGACCCGTTCGACGGCGGCACGAGCGTCAAGGCCGACAAGGAGGACGAGACGCGCGCGGAGGCGGCGGCGGGCTTCACCGGCCGCGAGTGCGACAGCGACGACGAGGTGCTCGTTGTCGAGGAGGGCCCGACGTGCCCAGGCTGCAAGCTCCTGCTCGACACGCTGCCCAAGAAGGTCCGTCCCGGCCACCCTCTTCTTCCCTCTCCATGACCGTGACCTGACGTCGACCGTCTTGCAGAAGCGCGACCCGCACGTCGAGCGCTGCCTCGCCTCGTCCGCCTCGACCGACGCCACGCCGTCCAACGTCGGCGCGTCGACCTCGACGCCCGCCCCCTCTCGCGGCCTCCTCGCCCCGCTCTCGCGCCTGTTCTCGCGCGCGCCGCCCGACGCCGCCTCGACGAGCGCCAAGCCCGCCGCGCCCGACGTCAAGGGCAAGGGCAAGGCGCCCGTCTCGCTCCTGTCGTCGCTCCCGAACGCGTTCACGGCGCTCATGGCGGGCCACACCGAGACGAAGCAGTGGAAGGCGGCCGAGGAGGCCGACAAGCAGAAGGGCCGCAGACCAAAGGGCGAGGAGAAGAAGGTGCCGTTCTACAAGTGCGTCCGCCGCTCGCTCCCTGTCTTTCTCTCTCTCGACCTCGACTGACTCTTTGGCGTTGTGCAGGTGGATCGACGGTCTCGAGATCACGGTCGACGCGTTCAAGTACGGCCGCATCGAGGGCTGCAAGGGCTACTTCCTGTCGCACGCGCACTGTCCGTCTCGATCCTCTCCTCTCTCTCTCGCCCCGTCACTCACGCGCACACCCTCCTGCAGCCGACCATTACCAGCAGCTGTCGTCTTCATGGTCACACGGCCCGATCTATGCGTCGCAGACGACCATCAACCTGATCAAGCTCAAGCTCGGCGTCAAGGACGAGTGGCTGCACGCCCTGCCGCTCGACGAGACGGTCAAGGTCGACGGTATCGACGTCACGCTCATCGACGCCAACCAGTACGTCCAACGATTCCCCTCTTTTCGTGTCCACCTGCCCGTCATGGCCGCAACCTGACCCTCACGCTTCCGACTTGCGCAGCTGCCCGGGCTCGGTCCTCTTCCTCTTCGAGGGCCCGCACACGGACCCCAAGTCGCCGTACAGCAAGACCCCGAACCGCATCTTCCGGTACCTGCACTGCGGCGGTGCGTCATGCAGCTCGCCCACCTCGACCTTCTCACGCACGAGGCCGTCGACCCTGACATGACGCGGATCGACGCACACAGACTTTCGCGCCTCGCCCCAGCACATCGTCCACCCGTGCATGTCGACGCCGGCGCCACCCTCGACACGCCTCCCCGCCTCGACCGCCATGTTGCGCTCCTTCTCGTCGTCGTCGTCGTCCCAGCACGCGGCGCCGCCGTTCGTCGACCCGCTCCCCGGCCGCATCCAGAAGAAGCTCGACGCCATCTACCTCGACACGACCTACCTCGCGCCGTCGTACTGCTTCCCGGCCCAGGAGCTCGTCATCAACGCGTGCGCCGACCTCGTGCGCGAGCGCATCGTCGGCGGCGACGAGGACGCGCTGTGGCGCGCCGACGGGCGCGAGTCGGAGCGCAAGGGTCTCAAGGGCTGGCTCGCACCGGGCGTCAAGGGCGAGGAGGTCAAGGGCGAGGAGCTCGACGGCGAGGGAGCGGGCGAGCTCATGGAGATGGACGCGCTGCCCGAGGAGATGGACGAGGGCAGCCAGGCGCCCGAGCTGCCCGGCGGCGGCGACGAGCAGGACGAGGGCGACGTTGAGATGGCGCCTGACGAGGACGCAGATGAGGACGAGGACGCGTGGCGCGCCGCACACGGCGACGAGGAGGCGCAGGCCGCCCCCGTCGTTCCTGTCGGCGACGCTCCGGCCACCGAGGCGCCCGTCGCGCCATCACCTGTCGCCGACGCCGGCGAGCCTCATACCGACGACCAGCTCGAGCCCATCAAGGTCGAGGACAGGTCGGCCGTCGAGCTCGAGGAGTCCGTCAGCGTCAAGAACGAGGACGAGCCGCACGAGCCTGCCCGTGTCAAGAACGAGGACGCCGACGACGTCGCCGAGGTCAAGCCCGACGTCAAGCCGGACGTCAAGCCCAAGACGGAGCGCCTGCTCGTCCTCGTCGGCACCTACTCGATCGGCAAGGAGCGGTCCGTCCTCTTCTCTCCTGCTCTCAGCCATCCCGAGCGCACCTGACACCCGTCGTGTGTACGCCTGCAGCATCGTCAAGGCCATCGCGCACGCCCTGTCGACCAAGATCTACTGCGACGCCCGCAAGCGCGACCTGTTCCTCGCGCAAGACGACCCCGACCTGCACTCGCTCCTCACCGACGACCCGCTCGCCGGCCAAGTGCACGTCGGCTGGCTGCGAGACATCAACCGCGAGGTCATGAGCGACTACTTGGCCAAGTACAAGGCGCCGAGGGTCGAGGGCGGGTTCACCAAGATGATCGGGTTGCGCCCGACCGGTCAGTCCTCGCTCGCTCGTCCTTCCTCGTCGCTGCCGTTCGGCGACGGCGAGGTCTCGTCGAAGTTCGTCCAGGACTGACCCTCTCGAGGTGTGCGCAGGCTGGACGTACCGGTCCGAGACCAAGGACAAGGTGCCGTCGATCCCCAAGATCCTCGCGCTCGAGCAGCAGCGCAAGTTCTCGCCTGCGGGACTGTGTGCGTCGCCCACTCTGTCTGCGTCTCTCTCGAGCCCGTCGCCGAGCCGGAGCCTGACTCTTGACCTCTTCGTGCCGCACAGACCCTCAGCGCGACTCGACGCCGATGTGCATGGCCTTCGGCGTTCCTTACTCGGAGCACTCGTCCTTCTTCGAGTGAGCATCGCCTCTCTCGCTCCTCCTTGAGCGCCCTGGCGCACCTCCTGACGTTCTGCTCCCGCAGGCTCACCTGCTTCGCCCTCTCGCTCGACTACACGCGCATCATCCCGACCGTCAACGTGCACACGGCCGGCTCTCGGACCAAGATGAAGAGCTGGATCGACAGGTGGGCGGCCGAGAAGAAGCGTCGCGCCGACGCGAGGATGCCGCGCATCGTCCCCTTTCGCGCCTTGACGTACTGGTGAGGCAGTCTCTCGCCGTCGTGCTCTCCCTGCAGTGCATCTCGCTTTGCCCAGACTCTCTCTCGCGTTCTCTCTCGCGAGAAAGGAACGAACGAGACGTGATCGCATGCTGTGCAGCTATGAGAGAGAGAGAGACGACGACGACGACGGCGAGGTAGGGAAGCCAAGATAGGGCGACCGAGAGCGGCTGCAGCGGTAACTCAACTGCGCCGTCGAGAGCTGTACAAATCGTGACGGCCATGGGCGAGGGCAGGGGATCGTGAAAGAGAGAGAGAGAGAGAGAGCCCTCAGTACCGCCTCGCGGCCTTCCTCCTGCGACTCTTGACGCCCGCCGCGATCCCTCCCACCTCCTCCTCGACCATGGCCACCTCCTCCTCCTCGTGCCCGTCCTCCTGCCGGGCCGCATTCTCCTCCCTCTCAGCCGCCACCGTCGCCCGGGCCCTCCCCCTCGCCGCGCTCGCCCTCGCCGGCGTCGTCACGACCTTGGTGAGCCCGTGGCCCGACGACCGCGGCTGCCGCGCCGGCGTGCTGCGGCGCGCCTGCGCGGGCGACGACGACGACGCCGAGGTTGACGCGCCGGCGGCGGTCGAGCGGGTGCGCGGCGCGGCGGGCTCGGCGGGCGCGGCGGGTTCGAGGGGCTCGGGCTCGGGCTCGAGAGCTCGTCCGCCGCCGGCGGGGCTGGGCAGGTCTGCCGGCGAGACGAGCTCGGTGTCCTCCATGTCGTCGACGGGCTCGGGCTCGGGCGAGTCGAGCGCCGACGAGAGGGACGAGTCGCTAAAGGCCGACATGGGCTCCTTGCGCTTGTTGGTCGACGTCGCGGGCGAGGTCGACGACGCGGGCGTCGAGTCGAGGGTCGAGAAGGGAGGGACAGGAGGGCGGGTCGAGGGCGCGAAGCGGTGCGCGGCGGTTCTTGGTGCCGGTGCGGCGAGGGGGACCGGGAGCGGCGAGGCCGTCGTGCCGTTGATGCGCAGGTTGCCTGCGGACCCAGGAGAGCCTCGTCAGTCTCTGCCGCAGAGAGAGAGAGACACTCAGAGAAGGAGAGAAAGCTGGGCGCACCGAAGCCCTGCGAGTCGACGCCCGAGTCGTCGCCCTCGAGCGACCCTCCCTGCACCTGCACCTCGCCGCTCGCCTCTCCCTCGCCGTCGGCCCTGCTGCCCTCGTCGCCCTCGTGGAGCCTCGTGACGCTCTCGTCGCCCTCGAGCGCCGCCGGCGACGCGAGCGGGTCGTTGAACGGGAGCGACGACGAGAGGAGCGCGGCGGCCGAGACGGACGTCGGGACGGCCGAGGCGGGTGCGGTCGACGACTTGAGGGCGAGCCACGGGTGCTCGAGGGCTTGAGCTGTGCGCAGGCGCGAGCCAACAAGTCAGTGAGTGCGACGAAACAAGGCGCCGCATCGCCGACGAGAGCTCAACCGCGGCGAGGTGACGCACCGCAGCTCATGCGCTTCTTGGGGTCGGCGACGAGGAGCCGCATGAGAAAGTCGCACGCGACGTCGCTGACGCCAAAGTCGCGCAGGATGCCGCTGTCGACGGTGCGCTCGCGCATGCGCTGCGGGAGCGGCGTCGACTCGCTCTCGTCGAACGGCGTCTGGTTCGTCAGGCACGAGTACAGGACGACGCCGATCGACCACGCGTCGACGAGGTTGCCGTAGCCGGCGAGCGGCGTCGGGTTGAGGATGACCTCTGCGGGCGGGGCGGGAGGGCGGGCGCGTGCGGGTCAGTCGGGAGGTCCGAGCGGGGTAGGAAGGGAGGGAGAGGAGAAGAGAGGTCGGGCGCACCGGGAGCGAGGTACGTCGGCGTGCCGCACATGGTCTTGAGCATGGTGCCCTCGCCGACCATCTTTGCGAGGCCAAAGTCGGTCACCTTGCAGACGGGTTTCGCGCCGCGCGTCAGGAGTAAGTTCTCGGGCTTGAGGTCGCGGTGCGTGATGCCCTTCGAGTGCAGGTAGGCGACCGCCTCGCACACCATGAGGGCGATCTCGCGCGTCTCGGACTCCTCTGCGGGCGAGAGGTCCGGCTGGTCAGGCACGGGTCGAAGAAGGACGTCGCGCAAGGAGGAAGACGTGGAGGAGGACGCACTGAGGCCTCGGCGCTTCATGACGTAGTCGAGCAGGTCGCCGCCGTCGACGTACTCGAGCACGAGCCTGCAGAGGATGGACGACGAGGTCAGGACATGATGCCGCCGACGAGGGGGAGAAAGAGGGAAAGAGCTCGAGACGCACCAGATGCGCTGATCGTCCTCGAAGTAATCGATGCACTTGACGCAGAACCGCTGCGCCCGTTGCAAGAACAAGCATCAGTCTCTGTCGTCTCGTCGAGACGAGAAGGGAGGAAACCGAGGCTGAGAAAGGCTCGCGCCGCCGACGCACATGCTCGAGGCCCTTCATGATGTCGACCTCGCGCTCGATCATCTCCATCGTCTTTGGGTTGCTCGCGAACCTCGCGCGCTGGATGATCTTTACGGCGACGATGCGGCCATCGTGTCGGCGGATCGCCTTGCGCACCGTCGCAAAGCTGCCCTTGCCAATCTGCTCGCGCACCTCGTACGCCGCGTGGATCGACCGCACGGCGCCCGAACCCGACACGGACTGCGACTGCGACAGGTCGCCGAGGTGGTACGGGTCGTCGAGGTCGAGGTCGTCGTCCTGGTCGAGCGACGAGCCGTCCGGGGCGACAGGGCGCCGCCGCAAGCCCGGGTCGAGCTGCACCACGTAGCGGAACTCGAGCTCGAACGAGTCGGCGGGAGGGCCAAACACGATCGTGTCGCCCGACTCGAGGACCGTCACGTTGCCCTTGCCGACCTGTGCGCGGCGCGCGATAGAGAGAGGAGTCAGTGTGCCGTCCTGAGGAGAGAGAGCTAGAGCGAGGCGGTGCTCCTCCTCGGAGCGCGAGTGCCCTCCTCCTCCTCGTCGCGCCCAGCCCGCCTCGCCCCTCGCCGCAAGCACCAGACCCGACGTCTCCTGGAGGAAAGAGCGAGGGCTCACCTTGCGCCCCCTGACAAACGTCCCGTTGGTGCTCGAGTCCTCCAACCTGACCGTGCCCTCGACCTCGTCGAGCGTGATGCGCGCGTGGGAGCTCGAGATCTTTGGGCCGTTGAGGACGAGGTCACAGTGGGGCGAGCGCCCGATCGTGTAGGTCGACTGGGCGCGCAAGAGGTCGACGCGCTCGGGGCGGGGGAGGGTCGTTGGCGGAGGAGGAGGAGGAGGGGCGAGGGGCGCGGCGGGCGCAGTGGGCGCGGTGGTGGTGGTGGGTGCGGCACCGGCGCCAACCGAGAGCAGGACGCCCCACAGCAAGGGCGGGAACCGGCTCGAGGCGTTGGCTCGACGTCCAGGCTGCGACTGCTGCTGCGTCTGGGGCTGCGTCTGCGTGAACTGCGACTGCGACTGCGACTGTTGCGACAGGTCGGGCGCGTCGAGGGCGGCACTCTCCATTGCGTGTCGGGGGGAGCGAGGGGGTGGAAGAGAGCTCCGAGGTGGACGGCGAGGAGCTGATGAAGACGAGTCTCGGACTCTGGCTCGCAGCCTCTCGGCGACCGGTGTGCGCCAAACGCTCTCCTGAGCTCGTCTACCGAGCGAGCACACCGAGCCTCAGGCTAGCGCACTCGTCGCTCCGTCGCCCGACCTTTCGCTCGCTCACGTTCTCCTCTCGGACGCGTCGGCGGCGCGTCGTCGGAGAATCTCGCGCCCACGAGCTGCAGGGACTCTCTCGCGGGCTCGACCAGGGACGAGAGAGAGAGAGAGATGCGAGGGTTACAGGGAGTACAGGCGAGGGTAGGGGCGAGAGACGAGGGAGGAGAGGGGAAGAGAGGGAATGGCGGCGAGGTCATGCGTCCTGCGAGGGCGGACGAGAGTCAGTTCTCTGCTTCGGTGCCGGCGACGATCGAAGACGACGAGGGCGCCGAGCAGCACGCCTCTCGAGCGCGCCCCTCGCCGCCCGCAAGAGAGAGAAAGAGGGCGACTCGGGGGCGACGCACCGGCTCGTCATCGACGCCCTTCTTGGCGCACTCCCTCCTGACCCTCTCGAGGAAGTACCTCGCGTCCTCCGGGTCGACGCCGGGCGTGATCCCGTGCCCCAAGTTGACGATCCACCCACCTTTGACGCCCTCGGCCGCACAGGTGAGGAACCCGTCCGGGCCCCACGTGACGCGGCGCACCTCGGCCTTGATGGCCGGGCTCCCACCGAGCAGGACCGACGGGTCGACGTTGCCCTGGAGCGCCACGCGCGATGACGTGTGGGTGCGCGCGAACCGGGGCGAGACGGTCCAGTCGAGGCCGACGGTCTCGTAGCCCGACTGCGAGAGGGACGAGAGCTGGGCGGGCGAGGTGGCGCCTTTGGCAAAGACGGTCATGGGCGGGCAGGGGACCGAGGAGGGGGAGGAGGGGAGCGCGGCGAGGTGCTCGCGGACGAGGGTCGGGAGGAGGCGCAGGTAGGGGAGGATGAACGTGTCGAAGCCGTGCGGCGTGAGGCAGTCGGCGTTGGTGTCAAACACTTGAAGGAGCTGCGTGTGTGTGGGTGAGTCAGGGTGTGTGCACAAACGAGAGAGAGAGAGAGAGAGAGAGAGAGAGAGAGAGAGAGAGAGAGGAGAGGGACGCACCTGAGCGCCGGCCTGGACCTGGTGGGCGAGGTACTGGGCCGAGACGCGGGCAATCTTGTCGAGGACGGCGTGCGCGCTGTCGGGGTTCTTGTACGCCCACGCCTTGGCCTTTTCCCACGTGCGGCTGCCGCCGCCCTCGACCATGTAGCCGAACAAGGTCCACGGGCCGGCGCAGAAGCCGATGAGGGGCACCTTGCCGTCGAGCTTGTGGCGCGTTTCGGTGATGGCGGCGTAAACGTACTTGAGCTCGGCAAAGACGTCGACGTCGCGGTCGAGGACGCGGCGTTGGGCGTCTTGCGGGTCGACGAGGGGCGAGGGAAAGTGCGGGCCGACGCCGCCGAGCATCTGGACCTCAAGGCCCATGGCCTGCGGGACGACGAGGATGTCGGAGAAGATGATGGACGCGTCGAGGAGGCCGTCGAAGCGGCGAATGGGCTGGAGGGTGACCTCGCACGCGAGTTTCGGGGTGCGGCACACGGTGAAGAACGAGTGGTCGCGGCGGACCTGCTGGAACTCTGGGAGGTAGCGACCGGCTTGGCGCATGATCCAGATCGGGGGCGGGGTGCCGAGCGCGAGGGGCTGGGTGCCCTGGGCCGAGCGGAGGAGGGCGTCGTTGCGGAGTGTAGGGAACGAGTCGAGCGACGGGAACGAGTAGTCGGTCACCGGGGTCGGGTGGTCGACCTGGCTCGGGGTGCGCTGCGTCATCGTGGCGCGTGCTTGTCGAGTGTCGAGGTGTGGGGCGACGACGACGACGAGGACGAGGACGAGGACGAGGAGGGGGACGTCCGGCTCTCGCCTTCACTCTACTCGCGCGCATCTGTACCAGCTCAAGAGTGAGTACCAGCTACCCGCTCACCGTGCCCCGTTCAGCCCAGCAACCCGCCGCAACTCCCCCGCTCCGCTCGTCGCCAACCCCTCACCTCGTCTCTCCTCATCGCCAACTCGCCCGCCTCTCCTCGCCGAGCCCTGCCGTCCCCCGCCGAGCACCGAGCACACCTTGTTCAGCCTCCTCAGCCACCCCACTCGGCGCCAGCGTGCGGTCGGGTCACGAGCGCCCCCCTCTCTGAGATGACGACGCCTCGCCGCGCTGCACCTCGTCGAGCAGCAGCAGCGCGGCACTCGTTCAGCCGAGCTCTCGAGCGACCAGCATGGCTGCGAGTTCGGGCCAGCGCCGCGACCAGCACCTTGTCCCCCCCGTCCTCCTCCTCCTCGAACCTCCCCCGCTGACCCGTCCCTCGGCTCTCGCAGTGTCGCGCTCGTCCTACGACCGCACCCTCACCGTCTTCAGGTGCGCCCTCTCTCTCTCTCTCTCTCCCTCTCGATCCTCGCCGTATCAAGAACCCCGCTCACCCCTCCCCTCCCTCGCGCCCAACAGCCCTGAAGGCCGCCTCTACCAAGTCGGTGCGCCCCGCTCCTCCTCCTCGTCGCACCGGCAGACCGCCCGAGCAGCCACCAACTGACAACCCCCGCTTGCCCGCTGCCCGCAGAGTACGCGTTCAAGGCCATCACGACCTCGGGCCACACGTCGCTCGCCATCCGTGGCGCGGGCGTCTCGGTCGTCATCACGCAGAAGAAGGTCCCCGTGCGTCCTCGGAACCCGTCTCTCTTTCCTCGAAAACTCTCGGCGTCGTCGTGCTCCCGCACGAGGTCGGCGAGTTCATTTTGAGGAGCTGGCCGGACACTGACACGCCCCACTCGCGCAGGACAAGCTCCTCGACCCGTCGTCCATCACGCACATCTTCAACCTGACGCCGTCGATCGGGTGCGTCATGACGGGGCGCACGGCCGACGCGCGGTCCCAGGTGCAGCGCGCGCAGAGCGAGGCGTCCCAGTTCCGGTACAAGTACGGGTACGACATCACGCCCGACTTGCTCGCCAAACGCATCGCCAACATCAACCAGGTGCGTCCCCTCCTCGTTCGTCGTCCTTTGTTGGCGGGGCGCGAGGGACCGAGTGCGCGCGAGAGGCGCGCCTGGGCTCCGCCTGAGTTGCGAAGACGAGGGACTGACACCCTCTCTCTCTTTCGCGCGTTCCTGCAGGTCTACACGCAGCGTGCGGCGATGCGGCCACTCGGCATCTGTGCGTCCCCTCTCTCTCCCTCCCACCTCTCTTCTCAAGCGCACGACCTGACCCCTCGCCCTCGCCCTCGCCTCCCTCTCGCCCGCCCGCTCGCCAAAAGCCATGATCATCGTCGGCTTTGACCCTCAACTCGGGCCGCAGATCTTCAAGCTCGACCCGGCGGGCTACTACGTCGGGTTCCACGCGACGAGCGCCGGCGTCAAGCACCAGGAGGCGACCAACGTGCTCGAGAAGCAGTTCAAGAAGGGCGGCGGCGGGGAGGGCGGCGGGTTCAAGTTTGAGAAGCGCGACGACGTTGTCGAGTATGCGCTCAAGACGCTCGGACAGGTGCTCAGTACCGACTTGAAGGCGGGCGAGGTCGAGGTTGGCGTCGCCGAGGAGACAAAGGTCGAGGGACGGGGCGTGTTCCGCAAGGTGCGTCGCTCCCTCTCTCTCTCTCTCTTTTTTTTTTCTCGCTCTCTCTTTCGGGAGAGGACCGACCTGACTCGCCCCCGCACGCAGCTCTCGACCGACGAGATCGACGCGGCGCTGCAGCGCCTCGGCGAGCGCGACGACTGAGCCCGCTCGGTTCCTCCCTTCTTCTCTCTCTCTCTCTCTCTGTCTGTAGATCCTCCCCCCCTCGCGTCGACGCGCTCCCCTCCCTCTCTCTCTCTCTCTCTGCAACGCCTGAACGTCGCTGTGCACACACACCTTTCTCTCGGCTGTGCGACCGCTCGAGAGAGTTGTCCGAGGACGACGAGGAGGGACAAGAGGGGAGCGAGGTACAGCTTCTTGTTTTTGCACGAGGGAGGATCGAGGACGCGCATGTCTATGGGAGAGAGGGGGGGTATGCTTGACGGTTCGAGGGAGCGAGTCAGGAGAGAGAAGGAGAAGGGAGAGGGGAGGGAGGGTATGCAGGTTGACCGAGAAGAGACGAGGAGAGGGGAGGAGGGGGGGAGGTGCTACGACAAGGAGGGCATGCGAGAGAGAGAGCGAGGGGGTACGATGCAGAGAGAGAGAGGCGGGAGAACGACGAGGCGACGACGGCGACGAGGTGGTGGCGGTGATGGTGCGAGAGCCCGAGAGCGAGAGAAGGGCGAAAGGCTCAGGCGAGCGGGAGCGCCTCGATGCCTTCTGCCGCGAGGAGCTTCTGCAGGCGGCCGATGACTGCGGGTGCCGGTCCGAGGCGAGAGTCAGTGTCGCACCCCCTGAGAGAGAGAGAGAGAGAGAGAGAGAGAGGAGGGAGCGCACCTGCAGGCGGGAACGCACGAGCCTCTGCGAGCCGGAGCACCTCTGCGGCGCGCACCGTCTCTCCCGCGTCGAGCTCGCAGCGGATCATGGCCTCGTACGTCGACGGCTCGCGGTACGTCGGCTCGTCGACGCCCCTCGGCGCCTGGTGCGCCAGGTGGTGGTGCTTGGCGTGCCGGTCGATGGCGTGGTTGCCCGCGCTCGCGACGCCGGCGCGAGGGTCGGCCATGGCGAGGAAGATGGCCCGGGCGCGCTCGGGGTGCCCTTGGGCGCTGTAGCCCTTGATGAGCGTGTTGCCGACGTAGGCCGTCATGCGGACCCCGCGCCGCCGCATCTCGTCGAGGTACTGGTCGCACAGGTCGGCGCGCTCGTTGGCGAGCAGGACGTTGAACAGCGCCTCGTACACGACGGCGTCGGGTTGCGGGACCGCGTCCGGGGCGTCACGAGCGCTGCGTTGGCGCGAGGTCGGGTGCGACGCGATGGAGTCGAACAGGGCGAGGGCGCGGTCGAGCTGGCGGGCGTGGACGCCGTACGCCGTCAAGAGCGACGCCCAGTGCGCGCCCGACACGGTGACGCCCCGGTGCGCGACGAGCTCGCTGAAGACGCGCTGGCACATGTCCAAGTCGGGCTCGCCGATGGTGCCGTACGCGTCGAGGAGGAGCTTGTACGTGTGGCCGGTCGGAGGGACCTTGGCCTTGACGAGCTCGCCGTAGTAGTGCAGCGCGCGCTCGCGGTTGGGCTTGGTGGACGTGTAGAACTGGATCATCGTGTTGTACGGCGGCACGCGCGGCTTGAAGGTCGGGTCGGCCGCCATCTCGGCAAACAGGTACGCCGCCGACACGTCGTCGCCCGTCTTGCAGCACGCGTTGATGATGGCGCCGTATGTGATCGACGACGGCCTCAGGCCGCAGTGCTTCATGAGCTCAAAGTACTCGAGCGCCTCCTTGGCCCGGCGCGCGCGCGACAGCTTCGAGATGAGCGTGTTGAACAGGTACACGTTCGGGCGCACGTTGAGGCGCTGCGACTCCTCGAACAGGGTCAGGGCGACGGCCGCGTCGTCGGTCGTGTCCTTCATGTTGAGGATCATGGCCGCGTACGCGTCGGCCGAGGGCGCGCACCCGGCCTCGAGCAGGCGGTCGCGGTGGTGCCCGACGTCGACGAGCTCGCCCGCCTGCGCGAGCGCGACAATCATGCGGTCCTCGAGCAGGACCCACGCGACCGACTGCTGCTCGGGCGAGCGCTGCATGGCGCCGAGCGCCTCGTACGCGACGAGGTACACCTGGCGCGCCTCGGCGACGCGGTGCTGCCGCCCGAGCTGCTCGACGAGCCGCCCGTACGCGTCCGGGTGCCCGAGCCGCCCTTGCTGCGCGTTCGACAGCGCAAACACGAGAGCGTCGTTGACCTTGCCCGCGACGAGCAGGTTGTCGACCTGGTCCGTCACCCGGCGCGTGATGCCGTCAAACTCGGCGACGGTCGGCTGCTCGACGTCGGGCAGCTGCGCAAAGTAGGCCGGCGGCGTCGAGGGCGGCGTCGGGTACTGCGCCGGGGCGGCGGCGGCGGCAGATGCGCCGGACGAGGCGCCGACCGCCGACGACGACGACGCCGCCGAGCGGCCCGTCGCCGACGTCGCGGCGCCGACCGACTCGGACGCGAGCGATGCGACGTCGTCCTCGGCAGCGATCGACGACACGGTCGCCTTGGCGAGCTCGGGCGCGTCGACGGCGACAGGCTCAGGCTCAGGGTCGGGCACGGCGGCGGCGGGGACCTGCTGGCGGCTGAGGCGGTCGGCGACGTCGCGGACGTGCTCGGCCCTCATGCCGCTCGCGCGCAGCGAGCCAAACAGGGCCTCGTAGTTGCGCATGCCGCTGCCGGCGATCGGGATCTCGACGCCGGCGTCGACAAAGTCGCGGAAGGCGGCGTCGAACCCGACGAACGGCGTCGACGTCTCGATGTTGCCGTGCTTGACCTGGGCCGCGACGTGCGCGAACGCCTCGATGACGGTGAACCACTCGTCGCCCGACAGGCCGAGCTGCGCCGACGGGCTCGACGACGACGACGACGACGACGACGACGACGACGAGGCGGCGGCGGCGGCACGAGCGCGAGCGTACGCCTCGACGACGACGAGCTCGAGCGAGGTGACGACGGGCCAGCCGACGACGAGCCGCAGCTTGTTGAGCCACCCGACGACCTTGACGGCGTCGCGGAGCGGCGGGACGGCGTCGCCCCGTGGCGGCTCGAGCGACGCCGAGCCTGGCTTGTTCGGGTCGGGTCGGACGCCGAGCGCGCCGGCAGCGGTGGTCGTCGTGCGCACGATCCACTGCGAGCGCGCGCGGGTTTCGAGGCGGCGAGCGGCCTTGTCGTCCTCGGGCGTGTCGCGCAGGATGGCGCGCGTGATGTTGGCCAGGCTCGCGAACGCCTCGGCCGCCTCGGGGTACCGGCCGTGCGAGCCCATGGCCTGCGTGATGCGCCCGAGGAGGCCGGTCGACACGGTAAAGTCGGGCCCGTGGTCGCTCAGGAGGAGGCCGGCCTTGGTGATGCGCTCGAACGCGGCGCGGAACTCGAGGACGGCGTCGAGCGCGGTCGCGACCTCGTCGGGCGTCGTCGCCGACCACGAGCGCGCGAGGTTAAAGTCGATGACGGTCACGACGTCCGAGATGCTCAGGCGCAGGTCGTCGCTCGTGCGCGCGAGCTGCTCGCGGAAAAAGTGGTTGACGAGGTCGCCGCGCTTGTGGTTGACGGCCGAGTAGATCGGCAGCGCAAAGAACGGCGGCGAGGCGAGACTCGAGTCGGCCGCGAGGCTGCGGTCGAACCACTCGCGCGCCGAGGCCTCGTCGCCGTGCGCGACGAAGCAGGTGATGAAGCACGCGATCGTGCGCGCCTGGAGCGTCGCCGGGTACCCGACGGGGCGCTCGGCGTCCGGGAGCGCCTGCGCCTTGACGAGGCGCTCGATGAGGGCCTTGCCCGCCTCGGCGTCGCCGGCCTGGAACAGGGCGCGCACGGCGGCTTGCCACACGTGCTCGTCGCCGCCGACGGTCGCGCCGCCGTGGTACGACGCCGAGTCGTCGAGCGCAAAGTCGGGCTCGGTCGCGTGGCGGTGCTTGGTCGGGACGGGGCGGAACTTGAACCGGTGCTGGCGGCTCGCGCGGTCCTTGTCGGCCGCCGTCATCTCGGCGATCTGGCCCGACTGGCGCCCGGCGAGGTACGCCTCGAACACCTCGAGGACGGCGCCCGGGTCCTTCTCGTGCTCGCCGTGGAGCGCAATCAGGTTGCTGTACGTCTTGACGCCCGGGCGCTGGTACCGGCTGTGCTCCATGCGCTCAAACAGCTTGAGCGCCGTCTCGAGGTCGCCGCGCTGCGCCGCCGAGCCGAGCAGCATCGACACGACGCTCGAGTGCAGGCGGTCGCCGAGCGGGCCGAGCGCCTCGTAGATCTGGACGGCGGGCCGGAAGTAGTCGAACTCGGGCCCGCGCAGCGCCTCGAGGCGCTCGCGCTCGCGCTCCGACATGCGGTCCAGCTCGGCGGCGGCGGCATGGGCGGCGGCATCGGCGGCGTCGAGGCCGCCGCCCTGCTCGGCCGAAGCGGCGACGGCCGACGACGCGCGGTAGTCCCAGATGCCGCGCGCGGCGTTGGCGAGCGCCTTCTTCTTCTCGCGCTTCTCGAGGAACGAGATCATGTTGAGGACCTCCGAGTCGCGCGTGGCGAACGCCTTGAGGACGAGCTCATACGAGAGGCGGTTGGGCGTGAGGCGCTCCGAGTCGAACAGCTGGTTGTACAGCTCGACGATGCGGTCGAGCGGCTCGTTGGGCTTGCGCGTGCGGTGCAGGGCCGCGATCGCAATGTTGTGCACGCTCGTCGTCCACTTGGTCGGGTCGGCGAGGTACTGCTGCACGGCGCGCTCGACCAGGCTCGCCTTGCCCGTCTTCTCGGCGGCGACGATCGCGTTGTGGCGCTCCTGCACACGCAGAACGAGGAGAGTCAGTGCTCGGTCGCTCGACTCGGCGACAGTGAGCGCTCGCTTGAGGCAGAGGAGGAAAGAATGGGGGCGCACCGTCGTCGCCGGGTCCTGCTGCTGCTTCTCCTCGCGGAACCTCCTCGACTTCTCGCGGCGGACCGCCTCGCTCTCGCCCTGGCTCGCCGCGTCACCCGGGTTGCTCGCCGGCGGGCGGCGCTCGCGCGGCACGGCGCTGTACGGCGTGTCGGTGCGCGGCAGGTGACCGAGGTCGACGAGCGGCTGCGACGCAGAGGGGAGCGCCGAGGTCGAGTTGCGGCGTGTGCGCGCGAGCGTCGGGACGGCGGAAGGGAACGCTGCCGAGCGCAAGGGCGTGCGGGAGGATAGCGAGGAGGAGGAAGTGGGCGCGAGGGCCGAAGTGTGGAGCGCGCGCGACGACGACGAGGCGCCGAGCGACGTGGTCGTGATGACGAACGGCGACGCGAGCGTCATGGTCGGGCGGTTCGAGATGCTCGCCCTGCGGCGCGAGCGCAGCACGTCCGTGTTGCTCTCGACGTCGACCTCGTCGGCCTCGAGCGCGGCGTCGGCCTCGGCGAGGACGAGGGCGTCGTCGCTGGCGCTCGCGGCGCGCGCCGCCATGGCCGAGTGGAAGCGCTTCTGCATCTCGGCGCCGCTGAGGCGGATGCTCGACAGGCCGGCCTCGTCGGCGCGCAGGAGCTCGGGATGCGGGGCCGACGAGAGCGAGCCATGGCAAGGGCGGGACGAGGCGAGGCGCGCGGTCGAGGAGGACGGGAGGCGCGACTGCTGGCGGCGGAGGAGGGTTTGGTGCGACGTGGCGAACGAGCGGATGTCGTCGGCGTCGTCGTTGAGGGACGAGTCGGACTGGGCGGCCTGGCCCTGGGCGACCGACTTGCCGGTCTGCGCGTGTGTCGAGCTGTCAGTTCGGCGCACTCGAGAGAGGGAGAGAGAGCGCGCGCGACGCACCTGGAACCCCCAGTGAGACGACCAGCTGCCCGCCTTGGCCGACGAGCCACCCGCCCCGCCAGCCGGTCCGCCGTTTGCGCCTGCGCCCGCCGCCGCGCCCGCCCCGGCACCAAGCGCGCCCGCGGCGACGCCGAGGGTGACGCCGCTCGCGGCGGCCGAGCCCTGGTTGGCGGCGGCGGCGGTCGCGACCGAGCCAAAGACGTTGCTGGTAAAGTCGAACCCGACCGGGGTCGACGAGGTGGTTGCGGTGGCCGACGACGACGAGGGGAAGGCGGACCGGAGCGAGTTGAGGTGGTGGTGAGGGCGGAACGACTGGGCGAGGTGGGTGAGCTTGTACGAGAGGTTGACGACCATGCCGGGGATGGTGGTGGCCCTTGGCCCGGGTTGGGCTCGCTGGACTGGACGCGGTGAGAGGCGAGACGACGAGGCGGTGCGAGGAAAAGGAGCTCGAGAGGGCGGTCGAGCTGAGGGGGCTGGCGCAGAGGGTGCGAGGGCACGGGCGGGGGACGCTCCTGGTGCTCGACTGTGCGCTGCTGCTCTGGTGGTGCAAGAGCTGGACGGTGTCGAGAGGCGATGGCGCTCTCTTCGACAGATCTCGCCGACGAGCTCCGAGCGACGAGCCGAACCGACACGCACGCCTCGCCACCACCTCAGAGTGCAGCTCGAGCCCGACACAGAGCTCTCTTGTACTATCACACGCGGTCGAATCCAAGCCGCGCAACAATCTGAGCGAGTTGCGACCACCTCGTCCTCGTCGTCCTCGCCCAGCTTCATCTCTCCTCGCGCTCCCCACCCACACACCATGTCGCTCCGGTCCACCGTCGTCCGCCTCGCCGAGCACGCGCGCACCCCGCTCATCCGCTTCCCGGACCGCAAGTCCTCCCGTGCGTCCCCCCTTCCTCCCTCTCTCTGCGTCGTCGTCGTCGTCGTCGAGCCCGATGAGCCGTGCCGTCCTCCTCCTCGCAACGCCGCGAGCGGGTGTACTCAGGCGCGCACGAGGTGTACGGCCGGTCACACGGCGGGCAGTGCAGGACTCGAGCGGCGCGGCGGGCGGGGGCGAGCGATGCAACCTCGGAGACGACCGGCTTTCACTCGCTCGCGGGCGACGACCGCAGCTGAGCGCCGGCTTAAGCTCGCTCGCGCTCAAAGACACGGGTCTGCGAGCTGCGGGCGTGGGTGCTGGCGCGCTTGTTGCGGTTGGCTTGGTGGGTCGGCGGGCGGGTGCCGCGGTCAGGCTCGAGGAGGTCTCTCGGTTGCTCGTGTGCGCGGTGCGAGGGCGAACTCGCCGTCGCACAGCGCTGCATCCTCCATGAGGCGCCCCTCGAGCCGCTCGCCGGCCTCTCGCCAGCACCCTCTCCCCTCTCTCCTTCCCTCACTGACCCCCCTCCTCCTCCCCGCGAACAGACGCCCACGCCCCGACCGCGCACCCCTGCGCCCCTCAATCCGTCATCGACTCGTTCTCGCGCTTCCAAGACGCGCAGCAGCAGAACCCGCAGCTCGTCAACTCGAGCAACTCGAGCTACGGCGGGTCGCCGACGCCTGGGGGCAACCCGGCGGCGGCGCGCGCGGGCTCTTCTTCTTCTGGATCTGGGTCGGGAACGGGCGCGGGTGCGAGCGCGGGAGGCAAGGGAGGCGCGGTCGACGAGCTGCCGGCGTGGCTGAGGAGGACGCGGCCGGAAGAGGACGAGATCGAGGCCGTCATGGTGCGTCCCGCCTCTCGCTCTCTCGCAAACCTGCCCGCCCTGCTCGGCGCCTTCGCGTCGTGCAAGGGCGAGCTCAGGCGATGTCAGCCGGACGAGGCACACGCGCTGACTTCCCTCGCGCGCGCAAAAACAGTCCGGCGGCGCGTCGACGACGCCCGAAATCACCCGCGCGTTCAAGCAGCGTTGGTACACGCCCCAGTTCTGAGCGAGGAGGAGGCGACGAGCATGTAGAGCTGGCGACAGGCGACGAGGAGGGTCGGCGAGCGAGCGAGCGAGCGAGAATGACAACCCAGAAGTGCTCACGAGTTCTCTCTCTCTCTCCCTCTCGCTGCTCGAGAGACTTTGTCGAGAGGCCCTCCCGCTCTCGGCACTCTCGGCTCTCTCGGGCCGCCAAATCGTCGCACCGCAAGGAATTGCGACATCCCGTCCCGCCTCGCCACGCTTCCTCGACCACTCGTCCCGCTCGGCTTGTCCCTCCTTGCCGGCTCGCCACACTCGACCGCGCAAACGCGCAACGCGCACGCCCTCGCTCACTCGAGCCCCTGGACCGGCTGCGTCAAGTCGAGCCCCTGCAAGTCGAGGACGGCCCCGTCGTCGCGCGTCACTTTCCAGCGCAGGACCTCGAACCGGCCGTCCTTGCCGCGGCGGATCGACGTGAACGAGGCGGTGCCGGCGGCTGGGGGGGCGCGGGCGAGCGTGTGGGCGGGGAGAGGGAGAGGGGGAGGGAGGGAGGGAAGGAGAGAGGGTCAGTGCTGGGGAGAGCGGGCGGGAGAGAGAGGGAGGGACGCACCCTTGGAGCCGCGCACTCGGAACTGGACGTCGATGCGGCCGGCGAGCATGTTGATCTGTTGTGACGCACGAGAGAGAGAGTCAGGTTCCTGGTGATCGAGCACCAGCGCCGCGCTGCGCCTCTCGGGCGCAAGCGCGAGCGCAACTCGAGACGACCCCGGACTCACCGAGCCCTTGATGCGCACAAAGTCGGCGACGACGGGCTCAATCTTGACGCCGTCGCCGAGGAACTCTTTGACGGCGGGCCAGCTGCGGAGCTGGAACGCGAGCGAGCGCACGACGGACGAGTTGGCGCGCTCGCCGTTGGTCGCGTATGCGAGGAAGAGGCCCCACGCGGCGGCTGAAATGAGGGCGATCGAGAGGTACAGGGGTGCGCGGGACTGTCGGGCGCGAGTGTTGGGTCAGTGCCGTGCCGCCGAGAGAGGGGAGGAAGGGGAGGGGCGCACCTTGAGCTCGGGGAGGTCGCGCTCTATCCGCTGGTGCGGGTACCGCCTGGTGGCGCTGCCGCCGATGCGTGTGCTCGGGTGCACTGCGGCGGCGCCAGAGGTCGGTCGGGGCGGTGCTGTTGCGAGGTGTCGGGCGATCGGGAGCGAGAGGGGGGCGAGGGAGAGAGAGGGGAGGGACGAGGGCGAGGGGCGCAGCGGTGCGCGTTGCAGTGCGCAGGTCGGGCGTGCGGCTAGTCGAGAGAACATGCTGTGGATCGCAAAGACGAGGCGCGGGGCTGGAGAGGGAGAGCGACAGTCCATCGCGGAGAGCTGGCGATGAGGTCGTCGACGCTCAACTCGCTCAGAGGTCGTGCTTGTGCGCGCTCAGGGTCTGTAGTAGAGCTTCTCGCGCCCCTCAGTAGCCCTGGCGGTCCCCCCAAGAGAGAGAGCAGCCGCCGCCCTCATCGCGCGCGTAGTCGAGACCGCGCGCTTTCGCGCCTCTTGCTCTCGACCACCACGCTCAGAGCACTCGCCAGCTCGTGCAGCCCGCGCACCCACACCTGCAGAGCACTCCCACGCGCGCCTGCTGCCCTCGCACCCCCGACCTGCCCTGTGCGCCCGCTCGCTCCCTCCCCACCTCCCATGCCCTCGCTCGACAAACGGCACCGCAAGAAGCAGCGCGTCGCCGACTCGGACGGCGACGCGTCCGACGCCTCTGCGCCCGACCACCGCGAGCCCGACACGCAGGCGCGCCGCAACGACGCCATCCTCGCCAAGGTCGACCCGGAGTACCGCAACACGCCCGTCGACCTGCGCCAGGGCGAGTCCAAGCTGCGCCTCGTCGCCTCGCAGCTCACGACAGTCAAGAAGCGCGTCGCAGAGACGGTCGGCGCCCTGAGCGACGTCGCAGGCGAGTGGGCTCAGGCGCTCGCAGAGGCCCACCGCGACGACGAGTACGACGAGGACAGCAGGATCGCTGCCCTCCTTGCCGATGTGCGTCCACTCCTCGCATGTCTCTCGTTGGCCTCTCGCGGGCGCAAGCGCGCGCGCGAGGCGGCCTGGGGGCATTGCGCCAGGAGACACTCACGTCCCGTTCCCGTCCCGCAGGACACGATCTCGCAGCTCGACAAGGACGTGCGTAGCGCCATCGATCGCGACGCCGAGCTCGAGATCCGCGTCGCGACCCTGAGCGACCTGCGCGGCCGCCTCAGCCAAGGGCACCAGCTTGTGCGTCCCAGCGTCCGGTCTCTGGATCTCTCTCCTCCTCACGTGACGAGAGCTGACCCGTAAATGGTCATCTTCACCGCACAGCGCGACGTCAACAAGGAGTACGAGCAGCGCGTGCAGCCCAAGCTCGACGAGTACCGCAGCAAGACGCCCCGGCAGCGGTTCGAGAACCTCAAGACGTACAACGCCTTCCGCAACCTTGTCTGGGTGCGTCGCTGCGTCCTCTTGCCCTGTCGGCCTCTGTCTCTCTCTTGAGATCGTGCCGACTCAGGTACACCTCGTCCGCGCGTGCAGGAAACGTTCACCGACGGCGCCGGCGTGCCCAACGTCAAGAAGTTCCTCCCGCGAGGTGAGCCCTCTCCTCTCTCTCTGCGACTCGTCTTTCCCGTCGAGTGATCGGGAACTGACGACGCTCCACCGTCGCTGCAGAGGACGGCGACGAAGACTCGGACGACGAGGACGTCGAGTTTGGCGCCCAGACGCACTCGTTCACGTGCCCGATCACGCTCGCGACGCTCGAGGACCCGTACACGTCGTGCGTCCCTTTCCCCCTCGACCTTTCGACGAGCCCAACACGCGACCCAAACCTGACCCTCTTCCTCCTCTCGCGTATGCAGCACCGTCTGCCCGCACTCGTTCTCCGGGCCCGCCATCAAGGAGATGCTCTCTGGCGACGCGAGCGGGCGCGTCGGGTGCCCCGTCACGGGCTGCGACAAGGTGCTGTCGGCGGGCACGATCGCGCGCGACGAGGGTTTGCGCAGGCGCGTCGCGGCGTACGAGCAGAGGGTGCGCGAGGGGAGGACGCAGCAGGGCGGGGCGACGCAGGGGAGGACGTTCGTCCAGATGGACTTGGACTCGGAGGAGGAGGAGGGGGACGAGGACGAGGCCGAGGAGGAGCGCGTGGCGGCGGTCAAGAAGGTCAAGCGGGAGAAGGGCAGGGCGGCTTGAGCGTCGCGAGGTCGTCGTCAGCCGTCCAGGTTTGCCATGCAGCACCGCTTTACCTGGCTCGACTGCGAGTGTCTTTGAGCTGCTCTAGAGTGCGTCGCGCGCAACGGAAAGCCCTGCGAGTTCGTACTGAGCCGAGTCGTCTCCCTCGTCGCCTCTCTCCTCGCTCGGCCCCGCTCGCCCGGAACCACTCGACCTCGCTCGCACGCCCAGCCCGTCGCACCTCGCCAGCTCGACTGTACCGCACCTGCGACCCCCGCGAGCCGCACCCATGTCGTCCCCACGGCTCTCGCCCTCTCGGACACCACCACCACCGCCGCTCGGTGCCAGCCGGCTCGGCGACTACGACGACGGCAGCTCGCTGCGCACGCCGCACTTTATCACTCGGACCGAGGCCATCAGAGGAGCTGCCAACCGCGTCCTGTTCTCCCAGTTCTGTGAGTCGCTGTCCCTCGTCCTCCTCATCGACCGGCCGCGCGCCGTCCCTCCTCTCGGCCGTGCTGACCTCGCCTGCGCCCGCCCGCAGACATCTTCCTGTACCTCAGCATGGCCTTGATATCGTGCGTTCCCGACCTCTCTACGTTTCTGGCCCGGTCGCAGAGCGCTCACCGCTCCTCCCCCCCCCCCCCCACCCGACGCAGGCTCACGACCGTCGTTCTGTCGGCCACGTCCGAGTGCCCTACGCTCGCGTTCTACATCCTCGAGATCGTCGTCAACACGTCCATGATCATCGAGGTCCTCGTCAGGTTACTCGCGTTCGGAGCGGTACGTCCCCACCTCCTTCTCCTCGCCTTCTTTGTTTCGAGGCGACCCTGCCGAGCGCTCGCTGACCTCTGCATTCTCTCCCGCAGCAATTCTGGCAATCGTGAGTCGCGCGTCGGCCCCTGTGGCGACCGTCTGCAGCCGTCCTGCAGCCAGTCGCCTCTTGATGACCGCATCGTGCTGACCTCGCCCTCCTCGTCGCGCAGGTACTGGAACGCGCTCGACCTCGCCATCACCCTCTTCTGCGCCGTGACGCTCGTCATCATCTTCTTCAGCGGGTGCTCGGCCAAGGGCGAGGAGGTGTTCGACACGTTCCTCCTCGTCGTGCGCAACCTGTTTCAGTTCGGCAGGCTCGCGCTCGTCTTGCGCAAGTGCGTCCTCCGGCCATTCACGCTCTGGATGCACGGGCTCGTCGGCCTCGAGTCGGCGGCCCGCGCTGAGTCTACCGGACCATGGCCGTGCTGACCCACGCCCTGCCCGCAGGTCCGGCAAGTCCGTCTTTACGCGCCCGGCGCCGATCGACCTCTCGGCCGCGCGCACCTACTCGCTCGACCTCGACCTCGACGACGAGGAGGCGCTTTCGACCGAGCGCAGGGCCATGGGCGGCGACCTCGAGGCGCAGCGCAAGCAGGCGCGCCGCACGGGCGAGCCAGAGGCGAGGGGGTTCCTGCTCGACTCGGACGAGGAGGACTAGAGGGAGTGTATCGTCGACGGGTTTTCTCGGACTCGAGATGTGGGTGGGCGGCGTGGAGAGAGACGAGGCTCGTGCTGGCTCGCGAGGCCGGGCTCAAGCGACGAGCGCCGCAGCTTTCTCGGCTTCTCGGCTCGCTCAGACTCTGCTTTTTTTCTCTCGCGGCCGCTCGACGGGCTGAGGTCTGCTCGATACAACACGCCGACCGAGTCGTACACTGTGCGTCCGTCCACCTCGTCCTCTCCTCGCCCTCGTCCTTCCCCCTCCCCCTCCCTCAGCCCATGACGCCCAGCACGCTCAGTAGCGCCAGCGTCAAGATGCCCGCCGCGCCCACCATCGCAAACAGCGCCCATGCGCACCGCCTCGCCCACACGAGCTCCTCCTCGCGCCACAGCTCGAGCGACTCGCGCACGTCCGGCGGCAGCGCCGTCCACCCTCGCGCGCCCTCGCCCTCGCCCGCGCCCTCGCCCGCCTCGTCTTTCCCCGACGTCCCGAACGCCGCCGCCACCGTCGCCGCTGTGGACAGCCGCTCGCTGCGCCAGATGCGGCGCGCGCCGAGGACCCACAGCGCCGGGCACAGGAAGCCGTGCCAGAAGCGGCGCTCGGCTTCGGTGCGAGGGGTCGCGGCGTACGCCGGTGGCGGCGGCGGCGCGGCGGGCATGGAGATGATGTGGGCGTCGGGTTGGGAGGGGCGGACTGGAGAGGAGGATGACGAGGGGACGGGCGTGAGGGAGGAGAAGGCGAAGAAGGTGAGGGGGTGGACGGCCGCTCGAGGTGTCGGCGCCGGGTCGCCGTACGGCGGGGGCGGTGGGAAGGTGTACGAGGGCGCATGGGCGCTCGATGAGGGGACGGGCGGCGCCTGATGGGGTGGTTGCGCGACGGCGCCGGCGGTCGAGCCGCGCCGGGAGGTGACAGGGCACGGCGAGACGAAGGTGACGGGCGCCTCGTCGGTCGAGGCCAGGTCGTCGAGCCTCGTGGTCGTTGTCGTGACGGTCTCGATGATGACAGTGACGGAGGAGGCGGCCGAGCCACGGCGTTGGTCGACGCGGCAAGTCATTTCGCGAGGTGCGGGGCGGTTGAGGCGAGAGTGAGCAAGTGAGAGCGAGCGAGAGGAGAAGAACGACGCAGAAGAATGCTGAGCTTTTGCAAGAACATCCCTGCGAACGAGTCGAGCAGGAAGCGAAGGCTTGCCCTCCTGTCCGAGGCGACGAGGAGCGGAAGCGGTCCGGACGAGGTGCGAGCGGGCCTTCTTTTGCGGGGCCGCTGCGCTCGCTCCTCTTGCGTCGGAAGCGTCGCTGAGCACTCTTCGTAAGCACGGGCGCGTGCGCGAGCAGAGCGACGCGCTCGAAGCGAGACGAGCGGTCCACGGCAAACCGGATGCGTGCGCGCTCGAGCCCCTTCGTCCGTCGTCCGTCCTCGTCCTCGCTCTCTCTCTTTCTTCGCGAGCGTCTCTGGCAGCTGCTCTCGACCATGCTCGAGCGCCTCGACGACGTGTGCTCCTCGCCGACCCGCTCGGCGCACGAACGAAGCCAGCTTCTCCGCGCACTGTGGGTCGGTGCCACGCACGGCGCTCCTCAGGGTGCGCCTCTCGCTTGCGTAGAGGGCAGAAAGATCGTCGACGAGCCCGACCCGCTCGCAAGTGCCAGGCGATGTACGTAACCCCTTGGATCGCGATGAGAGAGCGTCGACGTCAAGGTTGACCTCGCCAGCGCTCGCTCCCCGCTCGCGCTCGCTCAAGCCTTTCTCTCTCTCCGCTCTTCACGCTTCCAAGCTCGCACTTTCGACAAATATGTCCGCAACCACCTCGACCAACACTGCCAGCTCCGCACCCGCCGCCTCGGGCTCGACCCGCGAGGGCGTCGTCGACGGCAACACGTCGGCCGCCGGCGGCTCGCGCGGTGGTGCCATCCAGCGTTCGTCCTGCCTCTCTCTCTCTCTCTTTCAGGTGTCTTCGTGCGCGAACGAGCTGACCCTCGAGTGCACGCACAAAAGAGAACACGGCCGCCCAGGACGAGGGCAAGAACCTTCCCAACGACTTCACCCTCGCCAACACCAAGGCCGACATCGCCGCCGACGACCACACCGAGCCCAACGTCGTCCCGGGCGAGTCGCTGTCGACGGCCGGCCCGGGCGGCGACGTCCGCCAGAAGGAGGTCAGCGAGCACGAGGTGCGTCGCTTGTTCCCCCTCCTCCCTCCTCCGCCTCGCCGCCCCTCTCGAGTCCTCGAACCGCAAGCTGACCTCGTCGACCCTCGTCCGCCTGCGCGTGCAGCAAAAGGGCCTCAAGCAGCGCCTCGAGCGCGACGACGAGCGCGAGGACCGCGAGGCTCGCGGCTACGACGAGCCCATCTCGCGCCTTCGTCAGTGCGTCCTCGTCCCTCCTTCCTTGGCCTCGTCCGCCGTTCCAGCCACTGACCCGGATCTGTGCCCGTCCCGCAGGCCCGCTCACCCGTAAAGGGCAGCTGCTCGACGTCGCAGGTGGGAGAGACTCGGCTCCGCGTGGAGGAGAAGGGAGGACGAGTCCGCTTGACCGTGTACATAGCGCAACGAGCAAAGCATTCGCAGTGCATCACACACCCTGGCTTGGTCGCCGAGAGCGGCGAGAGCGAGAGAACATGACGATGACGAAGCGCGAGTTGCGCTCGAGGAGAGGAAGGCGAACAGGACGGCCTCCGGGTGCACCAAGCGGGCAGCCGCCGGGCGTGTACAAAGCCAAGCTAGCTCCTCTGCCGCAGAGCACGGCAGTCGGTGCCGGGCGGAGAGTGAGGGGAAAGCGGACGAGGCGATGAGGCGAGCTGCCGTTGGCCCTGCTCCACACCCTCGACCTCGCCCCCGATGCGACTGTCGAGCTTGCTGTGGCTGCTACCAGCAGCCGTAGCCCTAGCCAAGCCGCCCCCGCCGCCGCCCGACACTTCGCGCCTCGTCGACCTCCTCGCCCGTTCAGACGAGCACCAGCTCCTCCTGGGCGCGTTCCAGCGCGCGCGGCTCATCCCGACCCTCAACCGCCTCAATGGACCGACCCTCTGGGCCCCCAACGATCGCGCCATCCAACGCGCGAGGGACGACGAGCGGCGACGGGGCCTCCTCGACGACGGCGGCGGCGACTCGGTCGAGGTGGGGGGACAGCCCGGCGTGTGGACGGCCGTGGTCGAGTGGGCAGAGCACGGCGACGACGCGTTCGGCGGCAACTCGACCGAGCACGACAACCTCCAGCTCGCCCTGCGCGACACGCTCCTGTACCACCTCGTGAACCGCACCCTCGTGCCCCCACCTCCCTCGAACGGCACCAACTCGACCGAGCCGGCGCCCAAGCCGCTCCCGCTCGACGCCACGACCCTCCACGAGACGCTCTACTTCCCGTCCCTGTTCCCCTACAACCGCTCGTTCCCCGCGCCACCCTCGCTCCCCGGCACCGAGCCCGACGAGCCCGACCCCGACGCGCCCGAGGACCGCCCCGAGGGCCTCCTGCACGAGGAGGGCCAGCGCCTGAGGGTCGTGCGCCGCGTCGACGACAAGAAGCGCGACGAGTACTGGGTCGGCGTCGACTGGAAGGGCGCCGGCGGCGTGCGGTCGGCCGGTCCGCCCAAGTTTGCGAGGAACGGCGTCCTCGTCCCGATCGACGGCGTCCTCACTCGACCTGACGACCTCGGTGCGTCCCCTGTCTGCCCTCTACTTCTGAGCCAGAGAGCCCGGCCTGACGATGTTGCTTGTCCTCGCAGCCACGATCATCCGCTCGACGCCAGAGCTGTCGACGCTCGCGTCGCTTCTGCCCAAGCCCGTCCTCAAGTACCTCAGCACGGCGTCTCACCTCACCCTGTTTGCGCCGACCAACGAGGCGTGGGCCGGCCTCACAGAGCTCGAGATGCGGTACTTGCGCTCCGGCCTCGCCGAGCTCGACCTGAGCGAGATCTTTGGCGACGGCGCGAGTCGGTCCGGCGCCGGCAGCGGCAAGGTCGGGTACCTCGAGCGCCTCGTCGGCCACAAGGGCGACCGCACGGCGAGCGTGACGACGCTCCGCAACGGGACGCTCGAGGTGGCGGGCGAGGGCGACAAGACGTCGGTCAAGGTCAACGGGACCGACATCGCTCGCGGCGACATCTTGGCCAAGAACGGTGCGTCCCCCTCTCTCCTCGCGGTCACGGCATCCAGGCACTGACCCCCTTTTTCGCGTCGCAGGCGTCATCCACACCCTTCCCTCGCTCCTCCTTCCTCGCGGCTCGCTCGCCCTCACGGCCGAGAAGTACCTCATCGCCCTCGACGCGACGCACTTTGTGTCGCTCCTGCGCTCGGTCAACCTGTCGCACTACGTCCAGATCCCGTCGCGCGAGCCGGGCACCGTCGTCAACACGCCCCTGCCGCCTCCTCTCGTCGGCCAGGTCCCGCTCCTTGCGACCGCCGACGCCGACAAGCCCGAGCGCCAGAGCTACACAATCCTCGCCGTCAAGGACGACGTCCTCGCCGCGACGGTCGCCCGGCTGCCCGGCGCCGTCGTCTCGTCGCTCGACTCGCCCGTCCTCAACGGCCGGCCCTTGCCCGAGCCGGGCAGCGCCGCGCTCAAGGAGCTCCTCGAGTACCACATCCTGCCCGGGCGCTGGATGCCCTCGGACCTCGAGGACAACATGCTCGTCGGGACCGAGCTCCGCACCGAGCTGCTGCGCGACGGGCGGCAGCGCCTCACGGTCGGCGTCCAGGGCGAGGAGGGCGGGCGCGGCGACGGGTGGGAGAAGAGCAAGAAGAGCCGCAAGGGTCGCGGCGGCCGCGACGACGATGACGACGGCGACGAGGGCTCGCACCTGATCAGCTGGGGCGGCGCCAACGTCGTCGCCGACCCGCTCGTCGTCGGTGACTCGATCATCTACCTCGTGTCGTCGCTCATCGAGCCGCCGCCGACCGTCATCACGGCCGCCGTGTCGGACCTGCGCCTGTCGACGTTCGTCGCGGCCGTGTACGCGGCCGGGATCGACGGCACGCTCGCGACCCGCGCCGCCGTCACGTACCTCGTCCCGACCAACAGCGCGTTCGGCGACCTCGGCCTCACGATGCAGTACCTCCTCCTCCCCTCGTCTCGCCCCGAGCTCGCGTCGGTCCTGCGCTTCCACGCCATCGACGAGGTCGTCTACCTCGGCGACTTTCCGCGGTCCGGCGGCGCGCGGTACCCGACCCTGCTCGACGGCGCCGAGATCTACCTCGAGCGCGACGCCGTCAACGCGACCCTGTCGGTGCACGGGCCGACGCTCGGCGGCCTGCCGGCCAACGGCGAGCCGCGCGACGCCAACGTCGTCGAGGGCGACGTCCTCACCGAGACGGGCGCGCTCCACGTCATCGACCAGGTCGAGCTCCCGCCCGACATCGACATCTCGCTCGAGAAACTCTTGCGCGGCGCAAAGGCCAACGTCATGATCGACCTCATCCGCGCGGCCAACATGACCTGGGTCCTCGACGGCCAGCGCCCGCCGCGTCACGCACCGCGCGACGGCGAGGAGGAGGTCGGCCCGGCGCTCGGCGGCAAGAAGCGCAAGGGCGGCGACGGCGACGGTGACGCGCACGGCGGCGGCGCCGACTGGGCCTACACGGTCCTGTGCCCGAGCGACAAGGCCTTCTCGCGCCTCAACCTCACCTTCTACCACGCGCACCCTGCCGCCCTGTCAGCCCTCGTCCGCCTGCACATCCTCCCCATCGCTCCCCCGCCGTCATTCTCGTCCGGCTCGCCGTTCCCGCCTCGGCTCGCCCAGCCCGGCGCGCCCCTCCTCCTCGAGGACAGCAAGACGTACGCGTCGCTCCTCAGCAAAGGTCAACCCGGCGGCACGTCCGACTACGGCACGGTCGCGTTCCGCAAGTGGTCGGCCGGCGAGTCGGCCGACTCGTGGGTCGTCGGGATCAAGGGCGCGAGGGGCGCAAAGGGCGCGAGCGACGCCGCGAGGGTCCTTGCCTGGGGGCGAGCGACGCCCGTCTTTGTCGACGGCGGCGGCGGCGGCGGCGGCGGCGGCGACGGCTTCGAGCCGCGGCTGAGGGCGGCCGGCGGCGTCATTGCCGTCGACGCCGTCCTCCTCCCGTACGAGCCGAGCTGGCTGCGTCGGTACTGGTGGGTCGTCGCGCTCGCCGTCGCCGGAACGGTCGCTCTCGCCGTCGCGGGCGTGTACGGCGTGCGCTGGTGGCGGCGCAGGAGGGAGCGCAAGTATGCTCGCCTGAACCAGGAGGACGACGACGAGTGATTCGCCCCCCTCCCTCTCCCTTCCTTGTGTAGATGCTCTTCCCCTCGCTGTCGTGCTTGTCATACTACTTGTCGGCCCGCACTCCCTGGAGCGCGAGTTGCTGCCCGCCGTCGAGCAAGGGCGCGAGCGCAGGACCGCGGCGAGCCAGGTCGACCTCTCGTCCTCTCGCCCTCTCACACCTCCCGCTCGACGAAATGACTTTGTACAGCTACCCCGAGGGCAACGGCGAGCTCATCAAGGTGCTCAAGCTCGAGCGTGCGTCCCTCGCCCTCTCGGTCGCCTCGAACCGGGCCGCCGCCGATGAAGTCAACTGACCTCGTCGACGCCGCCGTGCAGCGCATCCCGAGGGCGGGTTCTTCTGCCAGACGCACGCCATGGACGAGACGGTGCCCTCGCCTTTCGCCGGTACGTCTCTCGCTCTCCCTCGTCACGGTGCCGCCCCACCTCGCCCGGCGCTCCCTCTCTCTCGGCCCATGTGCGCGCGACTGACAAGCTTGCGCGACGACACGCAGACGGTGCGACTCGCCAACTCGCGACCCAGATCTACTACCTCCTTGCCGCCCCCTCCTCCTCCTCCTCGACCTCGTCCTCCTCGCACTCGCCTCACCAGGGCAAGTTCCACCTCAACAAGTCGACGACCTACCACCTGCACCACCAGGGGCGCGCCGCCTACACGCTCATTCGGCCGGCGCAGGAGGGCAGTGGCGGCGGGAGGGTCGAGGTGCGGCGCGTGACGGTCGGGAGCGACGCGGCGAGGGGAGAGGTGCGGCAGCTCGTCGTCGAGGGCGGATGGTGGAAGGCGAGCCGGATCCCGGGCGACGACCTCGTCGAGGGCGATGCGGACAGGGTCGGCTGCCTGATCAGCGAGGTCGTCGTTCCAGGTGCGCTCCCTTGTCGCTCTTCGTCTCGCTCTCGGGCCGCCACTGACGCCGGCGACGGTCGCGCACGCGCAGGCTTCTCGTTCGACGACCACGCCTTCCTGACGCGCTCGGGGCTCTTCGAGCTGTTCGGCGGCGACGAGTCGTCGCCCGAGGTACAGGAGTTCCTCCCTTTCGTCCAGGAGGACCAGGGCGTCAGCGGCCGGGCGCTCTCGTCGCACAGATAGATCGACCGTGCGAGTTGCATTACTAGACAGACGTTGAACAGCTACAGGTCTGCGAGCTCGATCCCTGGACCCTGGGTCGACGAGATGAGGACGCGCGTGATGGCGGCTGCGAGGCGAACGAGGCGGAGCGTCAGGCCACGCTTTCCTGTTCCGCGAGAACGAGAGAGAGAGCGGGACGCACGTCGCTTGACACGCGCCGGGACGCCGTTGACAGCGCCGGTGCCGCCGAGGGCAATGTCGGACACGGACGCGAGGAGCGTGTGGACGTTGTCGGCGAGGTTGTCGGGCGGAAAGTGCAGGCGGCCGATCGCTGTGGGCGCACCCTGGCGAGTCAGCTCGTGCGTTTCGAGAGAGGAGAGAGAGCCGAGGGACGCACCGGCACGGACGACCCCCTTGCTGTCGCCCTTCCAGTCCAACCCACCGCGCGCCTCCTTGATCGCCTGCTCGACGTCGTCGGCGACCGTGCCACGCTTGACGCTCGGCATCAAGCCCCTCGGGCCGAGCAACCGCGCGAGTTGCGGGTTGCGCTGAAACAGGGCAAACATGTCGCTCGTCGTGATGAGCTTGTCGGGCACGGCGAGCGAGCCGTTCAGGAGCTGCTCGATGAGCTCCTCGCCGCCGACCACGTCGGCGCCTTGGTCGCGCGCCTTTTGTGCGGCGGCACCCTGCGCAAAGACGTACAGCGTCTCGCGCTTGGTCGACGACGTGCACGAGTGCGGGAGGAAGACGCGGCCGCGCAGGGCGTTGAGCTGGACCGAGCCCGAGGGCTTGGTCGTGATGTTGATCTCGAAGGCGGCGTTGGGCGTCTTGCGTGACCGTTCCTGTGTGGGCGCTCGGAGGGTCAGCTCGGGGTCGTTGCGGAGAGAGAGCGGCGGGGGAGATGCGGAACCAGGAGGAGGGAGGAGGAAGGGAGAGGGAGAAAGGCGAGCGCACCTTGAGGAGCTTGGCCGCGTCCTCGAGAGGGAGCACCTTGTTCTCGTTGCCGCCCTGGCCGCTCCTGCCCGCGCCCTTGGCCGCCCGCTCTCGCCGGAGGATGGCCGTCTTGTGCAGCGGGCTCAGGACGCCCTTGGCCGCCGCGGGCGCAGACGACGACAGCGCGCGCGAGGTCGACGGCGCGGCGTGGTGCTGTGCGGCACTGAGCAAGGATCGTGCGCTGCGCAGAGACATGGTCGTGGTCGAGAGTTGAGGACGAGCAAGGCGGTGCTCTCGTCGAAGCTCTCGAGGCGCACCTCGTCGTCGTCCGTAGGGGTGTGCGCTGGCCTGTGAGGTGTTTAAGAGCTTCATACAGCCCTGCAACATGGAAAGCCTGCTCTAGAGCGGCGGGGACAGGCGGCCTCGCTCGCTCGACCGCCGGCTCTTGCCTCCCTCTCTCCCTTCCCCACGCACCTCTCGCGCGCACCAGCTGCCGCCCAGTCACTCGTGCTTCTTCTACTCGCGCGGTGCACGCGTCGTCATCCCTGTCGTCCGCCTCCCTCGCCCGGTAGCGCCTCGCGTCCTCATCATCTCGGTTCCTCATCTCGGTCGAGCCATCGTTCCATCGGTCGTGCGCCGGTCTGCTAGGTCCTGTCGAGGTCCACCAGAGCTTCTTCTACGAGATGGCAGTGCGTCCAATCCTCTCCTCCTCTCTCATCCACCCTCCCTCCCTCCTCCTCCGCGTCCCTCTCCCCCCTCGTCCCCCTTTACGCCCCACGCCGACTACGACGGCTGACTCGTCCTCCATGCACTCTCGCAGTCCTTCAACGACCTGCCCATCGAGCTCGTCCGCCGCATCTGGTCATTCCTCGAGCACGACCCGGCTGGCAAGCGTCACCTGTGCACCGCCGTCGTGCCCGACGTCCGCCGTCACAACTTTGTTTTTACTCGCATCTCTTCGGCCGAGCGCCTGCATACCTTTGCAAGCCTGGTCCGCCGGCCCGGCCCGCTCTCACGGTGGTTCGTCGGCGTCAAGAGCGTCGCCGAGAGCGTGCGCGACCTCGAGCTGTTCCGCATCGAGGTCAAGAGCCGAGCCAAGGACCTAGTCGCAACCAAACAGATCCTTAAGTCGCTCGCATCCATCATGCGCCGCTGCCGCGAGGTCCAGAGCCTGCTCTGTCACGGCCAGGGCGCCATGCCCGTCCTCCTGTCGTCGCTCCCAGCCCCGCCGCTCGATTACCCCAAGCTCAAGGAGATCTCGCTCTACGAAATCAGTGCACAGCCCGGAATGTTCTTGTCGTACGGTCACTTCGCCCGTCTGCGTCAAATTCCCGCTCTGCGCGATCTCGTCATCGACTTTGAGCGGGACGATGGCGAGGCATTCGGCACGCTCCAGACGTCCCGACCGCCCGCGACTGGGCCGTCGCCTGTCACGGACCTGTCGCTGTGCGCCGGCGAGAGCCTCGCGACGCCGGCGGCCGCCCTCTTCATCGCCGACTTTGCGCAGTTGAACCGCCTCGAGATCACTCTCCGCGACGGCGTCAACCTCGGGCCCTTGCTCCAGGCGTGCCCAGTCGCACTCAAGGTCCTCACGATCCACTACTGCGAAGAGCTGCTCGAGGACGAGGACGAGGTCGAGCAGCTGAACGTCGCGCCCGACCTCGCGCGGTTCGTCCACCTCGAGGAGCTCACGCTCGGCAAGGGCACCTTCTCGCCGACGTGCGAGCTGTTCGCCATCCTCTCGTCGCACAACCCTCGCGTGCGCATCCTCACCCTCGAGTCGGGCACCAAACTCGTCGCCGACAAGGTCCTCAACTTCGTCCTCGCGCGAGGCGGTCCGTCTCGCCAACTCGAGGAGGTCGTCCTTGACTCGGTCTACTTCTACTCGTACCCGCGTCCCTCTGAGTGGCCTGACCTCCCCGACGTCGTCGACGGCACGTTCCGCTTCGAGCGCCGATGGATCCTGCCCAAGTGGACCCGCCGTTTCGGCCTCGGCGACGCACGCGCCGTCATCGCCGCCGCCGAGCGCGTCGGCGTACGGCTCGAGGGCACGCTCGCCGAGGCGGTCGAGTACGACACGGTGCGCGCGAGCGAGGAGGCGTACCTGCAGACGCGCCGGGACGAGATCCTGTACTCGCTCCGGGGCCTGTTTGGCGAGGGCGAGGGCGAGGGCGAGGTCTGAGCGGGGCTCTCTCTCGAGCGGGGCTGGAATGAGCAGGGGCTTTGGGTCTGTCACTCGGTGTGCGACGGCGAGAGAGGGAGAGGGAGAGCGAGGGAGCTTCAGCCCGAGAGCAGGCTCGAGGAGGAACGAGCGTCGAGTTCGTCGCTCTGGCTCGCGCCGCACTTGAGCGGCATTGCTTTCTCTCTCTGTCTGGAGCCGCTCGTTGAAGCACTTGCGAGCGAATCGAGAGTGAGAGAAGACGGCGCGGCAGGGGAGGGTCTCTCGCGCACGGTCCCTCGCTCTGTCGGTCGGCGAGCCCGCCGGTCTTTCCGCCTGTCGTCCTCTGCGCACCGGCGTGTCCGTGGAGCGCTCCTGTCCGTGTGTGCGTCCGGACCGGATTGTCCGGCTCGAACCCTCCTGTCGGTCTGCCCCACGCACGAAGCGGGTCGCTCGCGCCTTTTCCTCTCCCTCCTCCTCCCTCCTTCCTCCGTCCTCGTCGCGCCCCTCCATCTCCGATGGCCACCTACCCTTCCGCCGACGTCCGCAGCCTCTCTCAAACGCTGTCCATCCCGCATGCGATGCACCCCGGCCCGCCACGCCGCTCGTACCTCGAACACTCTGGGGCGCTCAGAAAGTGGCGCGAGGCCGCCGAGGCGGCGCTCGCCGACGAGTGGGCGGCGGCGGCGCCCGAGGGCAGACTCATGCTTAAGGAGGGCATGCAGGAGGTCCAAGACCGGCTCGAGTCGGGACAGATTGTATACTCGCTCGACTTGGTGCGTCGCGTGTTTCTCTCCCCCTCTCTCTCGCTCGCTCGCCCGAACGCGCTCACGAGTGTTGTTCCGCCGACGTCCATAGCCCAACATGCACACGATGCTCACCTGGCTCAGGTACACGCACCCGGAGGCGGGCGAGGACGCGGTCCGTTCCCCTTCCTCTCTCGCCCTTTCTCTCAGCCCGCCTCCTCTCCCTCTCTCCCCCTCTCTCCGTCTCACCCTCACCTCCCGCCGCCGCAGGTCCACCGCCGCACCGCGCGCACCTACGTCTCGCGCAACCAGACCTTCAACTCGCTCGGCGACGTGCGGCACCCGCGGCTCGGGCGGCGCGCACAGGGGCGGTACGGGCTCGAGGGGGACGAGTGGGCGCGCAGGGCGAGGAGGGCGCTCAGGGGGGTCGTTTAGTGTTCGCTGTAGCGAGCGGGCGGAGCGGGAGGGGCGAGAGAGAGGGAGGGAGGGGCGACCTTCTCAAAGCGAGGCGGGCGCCCGCTCGGACCGCTGCTCGCTCTCGCGTCGAGGCGAGTCTCTGCAAGCTAGCTGTCGCGCATGCTCTCGAGCGAGCGACCGTCGGCGACGGCGGCGAGCAGAGAGAGCGAGAGCGAAAGAGAGAGGAAAAAGAAACAGCGCAGTCCAGTTTCGGCGCGCCCTCGCGCGCCCTCAACAGACTCTCTACGACCGACCCGACCCGCACCGCCCCACACCCGCCCCACACCTCGCACGCTCGCCCCAAGCTCACGCCTCCTCGGTCGCCTCGACGTCGTCGCGCTTCTTGAAGAACCTGACGCGGTCCTCCTCCCTCTCGCTGCGCATCTTGCGGCCCTTTTCCCACCCGAGCTGCCCGCCAGCGAGGTCGTACGTGCCGACGAGCGCGCCGGTGAAAGCGCACATGCCCATGGCGGCGGGGACAGAGCCAGACCGCAGCCCGGTGATGAAGCCCGCAGCGCAGCCGCCCGAGGCGCCCGCGAGGCCAGAGTCGCGCGACTCGACCAGGTTGGCGACAGAGTGGTTGACGTACGAGAAGGCGAACGAGGCGGTGGCTGTCGGTGCGTGGGCGTGTCGTGGAGAGAGGAGAGAGAGAGGGAGAGGGAGGAGGAGAGAGGGAGGAGAGAGGGAGGAAGGGAGAGAGTCAGTGCGGGAAGTGCGCCAACTCTGGCGCGAGACCGAACGGCCGACGACGAGCGCCAAGTGCCCGTCATCGACCGAGGCGCAGAGAGCGAGAGAAAAAAAAGAATATATAAGGCTTTTAAAGCTTTTAAGGTTTCACGACGCCCATGGCGCCCTTGTTGTGCGACTCGAGCGAGTTCTTGATGGCCGACACGAACAAGCCGACGCCGGCACCGGTCAGGGCCGAGTTGAACGCGGGTGCGAAGGGGGCGGTCGGGGTGTAGGCGCGCGGGGCGAGGGCGGTGTGAGGGGCGAGGAAGGGTCGAGGAGGGAGGGTCACGTCGAGGTCGGCGCGCGGTTGCTCGTAGGTCTGGTGCGAGGGGGGCGAGCGGTCAGTTGGGTGATTGGTGGGGCGCAGGGGTGCGCAGGGGCGGTGATGAGGGCAGGTGGTTGGTGGGGAGATGAGGACGGAGAGGCGGAGAGAGGGGAGGAGGCGAGACGGACCGGGGCCATGGCTGCGCTCTCTCGCTGTGGTCGAGTGGGTGTCAGTGCGGGCGTGGAGGGCGAACGGGGTCCAGGCGAGGGGCTCACGGGTTGGCGACGAGGACGGGGAGGGAGGGAGGACAGCTGCGAGGCGGGACGAGGGCGGGTCAGTGCCGGTGGGTTGGGGGGTGGTAGGGTGCAGAGAGTGCTCACGAGAGAGTGGCAAGGGTGCGGGTGCGGGCTAGAGCAGTCCAGAGCGAGGCGACGACGACGAGCGAGCTCCTGCCTCTCTCCCTCTCCCTCCTCCTCGTCTCGTCGTCCTCCTCCTCGGCTTCCTTCCCCGAGCCAACCTCTCTCTCCTCTCTCACAACACCGTGCGTCCTCATCCAACCTGCACAGAACTCGTCTCACTCTCCCTCACCCACACAGCCCACAAACCACCGTCATGAAGGCCGTCTTCGTCGGAAAGACCACCCGCGACCTCGTCGACCGCGACATCCCGACCCCGGGCCCCAACGAGGTCCTCATCAAGAGTGCGTCCCTACCCTTTCACTCAGGGCCGTCCCACGCTCGAACCGCACGGCGCTCCCAGCCCTCTCTCCCCCTCCTCCTCCTCCTCCTCCTCCTCCTCCACTCGACGGAGCCCATGTCGTCATCTCGCACCTCGGCTCGGCCTTCTTGCGCCTCTCCTTCAGCGGGACGGTGGACACGCACCGCCTGTCGAGCGAGCGCACCAACTGACGCCTCCCACGGCGACTCGCGCAGACGTCGCCGTTTCGTCCAACCCCAAGGACGCAAAGCTCCCGATCTTCATTCCTGGCTACGAGGCCATCGAGGGCAACGACATCGCTGGATACGTCGAGGCCGTCGGTTCCGACGTCACTCGGTTCAAGAAGGGCGACAAGGTCGCCGCGTTCACCGTCATGAAGACCCACGACAAGTACGGAGCCTATGCCGAGTACTCGGTTCGTCCCGCTCTTGCTCTCTTTACTCCCTCTCTCTACTCGTCGTCGAGCTGTCGGCGCCGACCCGTCGTCGTCGAGCCACTTCCTCGAGCCCCTTCCCTGACCTCCTCGTCCCCCTCCCTCGTCCCACAGGTCTCTCCCGACAACACGGCGTTCCACCTCGGGCCCAACACGTCGTTCGAGGACGCGGCGGCGCTCCCGCTCGCCTACATCACGGCCGCCATCGGCCTCTTCAAGCGGCTCCAGCTCCTCGAGCCCGGCCAGAGCGGCGACCGCGACGGCGCAGTGCTCGTCTACGGCGGCGCGACGACGGTTGGCGTGTACGCGATCCAGCTTCTCAAGGTGGCCCCGCGCTCTCTCTTTCTACTCTTTCTTCGACGGCCGGCGGGCGGAGCGAAAGGCGGGAGCGCGTATCTCCTCGCCCGCCCGGCTCGACGACAAGCTCCTGCGCTCTTCCAGCCTCAAGAGCCTCACTGACACCCTCTCGTTCTCTCGCAGGCCGCCGGCTACCACGTCGTCGCCGTCGCGGGCGCCTCTCAAGCCGTCGCGACCTCGTACGGCGCCGACGAGGTGATCGACTACCGCCACAAGAGCAACGACGAGCTCGTCGACGCGATCGCGGCGTCGCACGGCGGCAAGGGCGTCACGCACGTGTACGACGCCGTGTCGGAGCACGGCTCGACCCAGGCCTCGCTCGGCGCACTCATCAAATCAGGCCGCGGCGGGCGGTACACCTACGTCCTCCCGATCGACGACGCCGAGCTCGCGTTCCTCCCCGCGACGATCAAGCACGAGCGGACGCTGTGCGCTACGGCGCACGAGGACGAGGGCGAGTTTGCCCAGCGGTGGTTCGACTGGGTCGGCGACAAGATGGACAAGGGCGAGTTCCGCGCGCAGAAGGTGACGGTCGTGCCCGGTGGGCTCGAGGGCGTCAAGGAGGGCTTGAGGCGCCTCCAGGAGGGAGAGGTGCACGGCGAGAAGCTCGTGTACCGCATCAACGAGACGCCTGGGCTCGCCTGAGAGTTCTCTCTCTCTCTCTCTCTCTCTCTTTTTCTCTCGCGCTCGTTCCCCCTCGTTCATAGTTCCCCCCCCCCCCCCCTCTCACTCGTTCATAGCCCTCACTCGTTCTGTGTAGCTCTCTCTCGCACTGCAAGCTGTGCCCGACGTCGAAGCGCTCGTCGCGAGAGAGAGAGCGTCTCGCGACTTGAGAAGGTCAACCTTGCGACTTTCCGACTCTCGGCGCACGGACAGGAGGGGACGAGCGACGTTGCGAATGCGAGAGAGGTATGCAGCTACAACAAAAAGAGGGGAGAGAGAGAGAGGAGAGAGCTGTACAGGACCCGTCTACTCGAGGACCTCGTCGCACTGCACGACCTCGCTGCGCACCTCGACCACCTTGTCGCCCCTCCTCCTCTCGTCGTCCACCCTGCGCCTCTCGTCGCCCTCGCGCGCCCTGCGCCGGAGCGCCTTGACCCCCCTGCTCGGGCTCGTGTACTCGAGGCCCTCGGCGACCGGGAACCTTAACGCGAGGTCGCTCTCGTCGAGCTCGACGCCCGCCGATTGCGCCTTTGCCTGCGCGTCGCGCACCTCGACGGGCGAGACCCCCGTAGGCAGGTACAGGCTCGAAAACATCTGCTGGTGCTCGCGCGTCTGCCCAAACAGGCGCACGATGTCGAACGGTGACACTGGGTCTTGGTCCCGGGGCGAGGTCGACGACGAGGCCTTGATGTCGAACGCGAGCTGCCACGTCTTGCGCGCGCCTGGGTGGCGCAGGTCGTCGGACGCGTCGGTCGAGGACGGGAGCGTGACGGGCTTGTCCTGCGCCTCGCCGTTGAGGAAGCTCGTGCCGCGCACCTCGAGGAGCGTCATCGGGATCGGCGGCGGCGGCGGTGGCACGACCGGGTCCTGCTGCTGCGCCTCGCCGTCGCTCGACGCAGGCGCGGCGTCGAGAGTGGTCGGGCCGAGGCTCGTGCGCGCCTCGATGTCGGCCTGGCGCGCGACAAAGACGCGCAGGACGTCGGCGTCCGGGTCGACGGCGAACGTCGCGTTGACGCTCTCGCCCGGGTAGCAGTCCTTGGCCCGGTGCAGGATCGTCTCGAGGGTGCCGAGCGCGAGGCGGAACACGGCGTCGCCCGTCGCCGAGTTGCCGAACAGGGCCTCGTCCATCTCGCTCACGGGCACGTACTGGAACCCGTAGAACCGCGCAGTCGAGTGGTACGCGACAAAGATGCCGTCCATGCAGCCGATGCGCGCCTGGAACTGGTACTTGAGGAACGCCGACCGGATGAGGTCCTGCGTGCGCGCTCGAGGAACGGTGAGCTCGACCGCTCGAGTCGAGTCGAGTCGGGTCGAGTCGAGAGAGAGGTGGACGCACGTAGTACTCGCGCTCGAACGACTCCCAAGGGCCGCGCAGCTTGTCGATGACGTACCCGGCCGACTCCTGCGTGTGGCTCGAGCCGGTCAATTTCCGCTCGCGCTCAGGCCGTTGAAGAGAGAGCGACGCGCCTCGTAGTTGAGCCGGTCCTGCCGGATGGCGACGGTCCCACGCGTCTTGAGGTCGAACGTCTTGTTGGGCAGGTGCTCGTTGTGCGCGTCGAGCTGAGAGCGAAGGACGAGGTGGTCGGTCTGCGCGACGACAAGCTGTTAGTCTTGCCTACAACACGCAGGAGGTGGGGCGAGAGAGAGAGAGAGTGGACGCACCATGCCGTAGTGGTACGCCTGGCGGTGGTCCGCCTCGGACGGCGCCGGGTCCCCGCTGTCGTGCAGGAACCGCTTGAACTCGCTCGCCTCGGTCGTCAAGAGCTTCTCCATGAGGTGGCCCTGCACGGCGAGAGCGAGTCAGTGCGTGCGCTCGAGCCCGGGAGGAGAGACGGAGGGAGGGAGAGAGGACGCACGTAGTGAGCGAGGATGTTGGTCTCGATCCCGGAATCGAGGCTCTTGTCGGCGTCGATGCTGTAGCGCCCGTTGTCGTGGCGCAGGACGACCGACGCCGGGAGCTGCTGGCCCATGCTGAACTCCTTGGACTGCGAGAGAGAGGGCCGAGAGGAGTCAGGACAGGCTCGGGCGACGCGAGGGAGAGGAGAAGGGAGAGAGGGTGAGCGCACCGCCGTCGCAAAGTCGCTGCTGAGCATGCCCGTGTTGATCGGCTTGCCCTTGCTCAGCCAGAAGTAGATCTGTACGAGGTCGAGGCGTGAGCGACGAGGCGCACAAGGAGGGCGCGCGCGAGAGAGAGAAAGGAAGGGAAAGGCGGGCGCACCTGGCAGAGCATGCCGATGGTCGAGCTCGTGCTGCCGGCGAACGTCCTGCCCTCGGTCTCGAGCAGGCCCTTGAGCGTCTTGTCCTTGGAGCTCGTGATGTACTGCGGGAGCTTGTCAAAGTCGAACTCGTCGACCTTGGGCACGTTCTCGAGGACGTCGCGCGCAAAGTTGTACACGCCCGTTCGAGGGTCGCGCAGGAAGTGGACGCCCGGGTTGAACAGGACGCGGTCGAGCGAGTGGGCGAGGGTCGCGATCGGGACGTCGCCGAGAGGGGAAGGGCGAGGGATGTAGGGGATGGTAGAGGCGGTGAGGACGTGCTGGAACGACGACAGGTCGCGGTTGGGCGCGGTTTGGGACGAGACGTTGTCCGTGGTCGAGTTCGAGGATGAGTCGCGAAGCGCAGGGTGCTCGGTGTAGCGGTCTAAGGTCGGGGAAGAGGGTCCATCAGGACGTTCGAGCGATCCAGTCAAAGTGGGTCAGGGGACGCACCTGCGCTGCTCGTCTGCGTCGCACGACCCACCCCCGCCGCCCTCTTTGCTGCCAGGGCTGCCCGTCGCTCGAGCGGCTTGACCCTCCCCGTCCTCGCCTGCTCGCTCCCGCTCGCACCCACGCCCGCACCCGCTCGGTCCGCCTCTCCCTCGCCCGCCTTCTTCTTCTGCGGCGCCGCCCGCTCGCGCTCGACCTTCTTGTCTCCCGACAACGGGAGCGTCTGCGCGATCTGCTCCATGAGCGGCGGGCCGTCGCGCTCGGGGACCGAGCCCTTCTTGGGGACGGGCAGGGCGCGCAGCTCGCCCAGCTCGGTGCGCGCCTTGGCGAGCTCGCGGTTGAGGGCCTTCTCGTTCTCGCGCTGCGAGGTGGCAGGAGAAGGAGAGTCAGTACGAGGGGCGCAAGGCGAGGAGTAGGGCGGGAGAGAGGACGCACGAGCTTGACGAGCGTCTCGGGCCACCGGTCGGCGACGGCCTGCTCGAGCTCGGCCTTGACGTTCTGCGACTCGGCGGACGACGCCGATGTCGAGGCCACGTTGTCGCCGTCGGCAGCTGCTCGACAGTGGTCGGGTCGCCGCTGCGGGAGAGGGAGGCACGCTCGAGGGTCAGGACGAGGAAGTTCGAGAGAGACGCAGAGGGCGGCGACGCACCTCTCGGGCAAAGTGAACCTGTCGGTACCGCTGCGACGGCGTGAGCTTGTCCCACGGCTGCAGGAGCTGGTGGACCTTGCGGACGCGACGCTTGAGCGACGTGATCTGGTCGAGCTTGGCGACAATCTCGGGCGCGGTTGCGGGTCGGCGCTCGCCCTGCGAGCGCATCATTCCAGAGTAAGTCCGGGGGCTGTGCGACGACCGACGCAGAGGAGAGAGTGGACGCACCCGGTTGACGATGCCCTCGAACGCCGACACGCCCTTCTCGCCGTCGCCCTCGGCCACCTCCTTGTCCAACCTGACCGGCGCGACGTGCGCCTTGCGCGCCGCCGTCTTGGGTCTGCGCTTGGCCCGCCGCGCCGCCACCTGGTTCTCCTTGAGCTGCTTCTCCGTGTTGGCCTCGCGCACCTCGATCATGTCGACGTGCGCCCGCCCGGGGATGCGCGCGCCTTGCGACGTCATGAGCGGCTGCTCGGCGGTCGAGCGGGTACTGGAGCCCTTGTCGGAGCTGCTGGCGGGCGCGGTGGAGGGCCCGCTCGCATCGGCGGGTGCGGGAGAGGAAGGGCGGGTGGGAGCTGGGGCGCCGTCGGTGCGCTGCGCCCGCGCTGCACGCAGCTTGTCGGCGAGCGAGGTCTCGCGCGCGGGCGAGGTCGTGGCGAGGGTTCTCGATGGCGAGGCGGCGGCGGTGCTGGCGAGGAGAGGGAGCGACGCGAGGCGAGTCGAGGGTGGGGACAGCCGCAGCGCGACTGCCCGGCGTCGCAAGAGCGACTGGAGCATCTCGACGTGCTCAGGCGAGCTCGAGGAGGATCGTGGTGAGGCCAGAAGAGACGGGCGAGGCTTCGAGGATTCGACGAGGTGGGAGATGACAGCCTCGCTCTTGCGCGGCCCCTGGGTCCGCGTGTGCACTTCCATTACAGCGGCACAGGCTGATACTCTCGTCTGGGCAAAGCGCAGCCCTGCGCTCGCTGTCGTGAGCGGGGGGAGAGCTTCCGGACGACTCCCGCCGACGAGAGATCGAGACGACGTGCATTGCAAGGGACAGCTCGAGCTCCTCGCCGCTCCGTTCCAACCGTGTGCTGCTACGAGCTGCGTCCAATCGGCCGAGACGCTCGCGGTGGTGAGGGACGAGGGCCGAGGGGCTCTTCCCTCGCCAGCCTCTCCCTTCTCCCCACTTCTCGCGTCGAGCACACCTCGCACGACCATGGTGGCGCCGTCGCTCTGCCTGTCGCGCTCTCGCACATCCGCGCACACCGCACTCCGCGCCGCCCACTCGCCGCGACCAGCCGCTCGCCTCCCTCCTCGACCCTCACCGCGGCCAGCTCCCTCGGCACCGTACTCGACCGCGTCACACGCCAGCTCAGCAGCCTCGTCCACCTCGACTCGCCGGATAGCCATGTCGGCCGCCCTCGCAGCTGGGCTCGCGACCGCCGCCTTGTCCTTGTCCAAGTCGGTGCGTCCTCGCCGCCGGATTCTCTCGTTCCTCGGCCCACCTTGCTCACGTTCGACCTCCACAGCCACTCGATCCACTCGCGTGCGAGGAGCAGGCACCTGCACCGCCCAAGGATGGCCGTCCCTCGTTCACTGTGCGTCGACCTTCCCCTCCTCTCCCCACCTCGCTTGCCAGCAGCAGGGAGCTGACCCTCCTCGCCCGCCGCGCAGCCCGTCAACTCGATCGACCTCGAAGACGCGTCTATCCCGATGCGCCTGCGCATGATCCACCACGTCAAGTCGCTCCAGTCGACCATCTGCACCGCGCTCGAGTCGCTCGAGCCGTCGGGCAAGAAGTTCAAGTCGTCGTACTACCTGCGCGACGCGGCAAAGGGCTTTGGCGACTCGCGCGTGCTCCAGGACGGCGACACGTTCGAGAAGGCCGGGTGCAACATCTCGGTCATCAAGTCGACCCTGTCGCCGGCGGCCGTGCGCCAGATGCGCGCCGAGCGCTTCGACTGGTGGGACGGCAAGAGCGAGCTGCCGTACTTTGTCGCCGGCTGCTCGCTCGTCGTGCACCCGCGCAACCCGCACGCCCCGACCGTCCACTTCAACTACCGGTACTTTGAGATCCAGGACCCGGCCGACCCTAACGGCGAGCCCAAGGCGTGGTGGTTCGGCGGCGGGACCGACCTCACGCCGTCGTACCTGTACCCGGACGACGTGCGCCACTTCCACGGCCAGTACAAGGAGGCGTGCGACGCGCACGACCCGGCCTACTACCCGCGCTTCAAGCAGTGGTGCGACGACTACTTCCGGATCCCGCACCGCGGCGAGACGCGCGGCGTCGGCGGCATCTTTTTCGACGACCTGTCGGACCGCGACCCCGAGACCATCTTTCGCTTTGTGCGCGACTGCGGCAACAAGTACTTGCCGGCCTATTACCCGCTCGTCGAACGCCGCAAGGACCAGGCCTTCTCGGACGCCGAGAAGCGGTGGCAGCAACTGCGCCGCGGTCGCTACGTCGAGTTCAACCTCGTGTACGACCGAGGGACCAAGTTTGGACTCGCCATGAAGGAGCCGAGGACCGAGAGCATCCTCATGAGCTGTGCGTCCCCGCCCCCTCTTCCTCTCCCTCTCCTCCGCCTCGAGCGCCCTCACTGACTGACACGCCCTCTCTCGCGTCTCGCAGTGCCGCTCACCTCGCGGTGGGAGTACGAGCCCGAGCTCGGCACGGCCGAGGGCTCGCCCGAGAAGGAGCTCCTCGACGTCCTCAAGCAGCCGCGCGAGTGGGCCTGAGCGGGCTTTTTTTCGGGCGAGCGAGCCTCTGCGCAGACTCTTTGTCTATCACTCGCCCGGCACGCACTGCAAAGATACCTCGCCGTCCCCTTGTCTCTTGCGCCGAGCCGAGCCAGACCCGAGTCGAGGAGAGCTGAGACGAGCAAAGTAGCTTCCCTCTGCGCGAGAAGCAAGGAAGAGATGGGAGAGAGAGACTTTGCATTGCGTGTGTTCGGGGTTCAGGGGTGTTTCGAGGTATCTATCGTCGAAGGACAGGGAAGGAAAAAGAGAGAAAAGAGAGGGTCCAAGGCGCTCTCACGCCTCGGGCGCGAGGTTCTGCGGCGGGGCCAAGCTCGGCTCGCCCTCGGGCGTGACGTACGCGGCGCAGATGCCGCCGTCGACCTTGAAGTCGGCGCCAATGACGTAGCTCGAGTCGTCGCTCGCGAGGAAGAGGGCGCCCTTTGCCTGCTCGATCGCCTCGCCGAACCTGCCCGCGGGCACCTGCACGAGCCGGCGGTTCTTCTTGTCGGGCGTGTCGAGAAAGTCCATGAGGAGCTCTGTGGGCGTGAGAGAGAGAGGGTGTGGGCGAGGGGTGGGCGAGGGAGGAAGGAGGACAGAAGAGAGAGAAAGAGGGGGACGCACTGGTCCGCAGCGGGCCCGGGCACAGCGAGTTGAGCCGGATGCCCTCACGCGCGTGCACGACGGCGAGCTCGCGAGTCATGGCGAGGACGGCGCCCTTCGAGGCGGTGTCTGCGCGTGGGGGAGAATGAGGAGGACGAGAGGGCCGCAGTCAGTGTCTGCGGCTCGCTTGACGAGACTCGACGCGGCCAACACGCACAGGCGAGCTGAGGGGTGGCGGCGCCGAGGACGGCGACGAACGACGCCGTGTTGATGATGCTGCCCTTGGACCCGTCCGGGTTCTTGCGCATCGCCTCGATCGCGTACTTGCAGCCCCACCACACGCCCTTGAGGTTGCTGTGGCGAGGAGGGCGCAGGGTCAGATCAATTCCGGGGAGGCACGATGTCGTCGGTTCGACTCGAGTGGCTCACACTGCGGGAGGGAGCTCGTCAGCGAGGATGCTCGTCGAGAGAGTGAGAGATGGACGCACTGTTCATCGTCAGGTCCCAGATGCGCTCCTCGGTCGTGAGCGCGTTGTCGTCTGCAGGGTGCATGATGCCGGCATTGTTGCTATTGTAGGCGCAAGGTCGAGGAGATGGGGCAAGGGTTCACGAGGAGGAAGAGGGTCAACTCGTGGACGGAAAGGTCGAGCGCGAGGGAAGAGCGAGGGACGCACAACATGACGTCGAGCCTGCCGAACTCGTCGACGGCCTTTGCGACGCACGCCTTGATGTCGGCCTCCTTGGAGACGTCGCACTTGACGGCAATCGCCCTCGGCGCGTCGGGGTACATGTCGGCGACGAGCTTGACGGCGCGCTGAGCGGCCTCCTCGTTGATGTCGGCGGCGACGACGTGTGCGCCCTCGCAGGCGAACAGGAGGACCGACTCGAGGCCGATGCCGCTGTAGACGGGGAGGGACAGAGCGAGATAAGTGGGGGCCGCGAGAGAGGGAGGGGCGAGAGGAGGTTGTGGCCGCACCTGGCACCGCCGGTGATGATGGCGACCTTTCCGGGGAGACGCAGGGTGGCAGGCATGATGTTCAGGTCGAGTAGGCGGTGTGTGGGTGAGGTGGAGGAGCAAGAGGAGCGAGAGGGAGATGGCGACCGAGGTCAGCTCGTCGCACCACAGCTCCACCCCCGCCTGGAGCTCGCAGCTGCACACCAGTGCCATCTAGCCAGCTCCTAGACGACCTTGCGCGCGACAACCGCGTCATCGCCTCGAGTCCTGCTCGTCTCCCCCTCCTCCGCCCGACTGGCCCGCATCGGCTCGCACCTGCAGCCTCGTCCACACCTGCCGGTTCCGCCTGCGCCCGACAGACCTGTCCGGTACCGCCATCCCGACACTGCGCGGCGACCGCAAGCCCATGGCGTCGACATCCACCTCTGCCGCGGCGAGCCGCTCGTCCGCGCCGCCTCCTCGGGTCGCCTTCCTCGGCCCGCTCGGCACCTACTCCCACCAGGTGCGCACCTCTCGCTCCGCCTTGTCATGCACAGGGCCACGAGGACTGACTCTGCCCGCGACCGCGACAGGCCACGACCGACTTCTTCGGCGAGTGCGACTTGGTCCCGCAGCCTCGAATCGCCGGTCCGTCCCTCTCCTCTCCTCCTCCTTCTCTGGGTGCGTCTCACTGACCTTAGTCCCTCCTCGCAGACGTCTTCACGGCCGTCTCGGCGGGCGAAACCTCGTTCGGCGTCGTGCCCATCGAGAACTCGTCGTTCGGCGCCGTCGTCGAGACGATGGACCAGCTGCGCGCGACCGAGCTGTCGGTGCGGGGCATGACGGCGCTGCGGATCGGGCATGCGCTGCTGGCGAGCAAGACGGCCGACAAGGGCAAGGCCAAGAGGGTGTACAGTCATGAGCAGGTGCGCCGCGACCTTTCACCTCTCTGTCCGTCTCGCCGACCTCGTGGGCGTCACTGACTGTGAGCATTGAGACGCCTGTCGCAGGGTATCGGTCAGTGTCGCGGCTACCTCGCCGAGCGGCATCCAGACGTCGCCATCGTCCCCGTCAACTCGACGGCGCAGGCGGCACGAGAAGCAGCCGACGACCTCGAAGGGCTCGCCATCTGCTCGCTCAAGTGCGCCGAGGTGTACGACCTCGCAGTCGTCGACACGGACATCCAGGACGCAGGAGCATGTGCGTCCTCCGTCCTCTCTGCGCCTCGTCGAGCACGTCGTCCGCGAGACTGACCCGCTCTCCTTCCTGCAGCCAACACGACTCGGTTCATCGTCCTCGCCCCGTCAGCTCTCCCGTTACCTCTATCCTATCCTGCCTCACGGCCTGGTGAACGAGCCGAGCCGCTCGAGCAATGACACGGCGAGTTTGCCTGTCGGCGAGCGACCGAGAGCGGACGCGAGAGAACCTGTCTCTGCCCTCGCCGCGAATCTGCGCTGCGGCCTTGCAAGCTAGCCAGACCACACTCACGAGAGCCACACGAGCATCAGAAAGGCCATTGAGCCGCCTGCGAAAGTCGAACTTGTTGAGCACCGCCTCCCGACCTCATCACCCTTCTCGACCTCCTCACCCGCGCCCTCGCGCGCGCAGATGCCGCCCGCCGCCTCGACCTCGGCCGCGCAGCCCCCAGGCTTCCGCACCTCTCGCCCACGCCGCTCCGCAGCCGCCGTCGCGACGCGCGCCAACCTCCTCCTCGCCAACTCTGTCCCTCCTCCTCCGCACCTCGGCACGCCCACCGGCAAGGGCAAGGGCAAGGGCAAGGCGCGCGCGCGGGAGAGCTACGACGACCAGAGCTACGACGACGAGGACTATGCGCCGAGGGCTGGGCAGGTGCAGCGGCGCGGGCGGGCGGCCGCCGGCCGGCCCGACGGGCGCAAGAAGCGGGCGCGCGAGGAGGGGAACGAGGGCGGCACGGACGGCGGCGAGGGCGTTGAGGCGGGGCGCAAGAGGGCGCGCAAGGGCGACGGGCCGGCGGCGGGCGAGGCGCGCGCCCAGGAGGACGACGACGAGGCCGACGAGGCGGCGATGGACGCGGCGCTCGAGCGCATGGACGCCAAGCGCGCGCGCAAAAAGGCGCGCAAGGACGAGAAGCGCGCCGAGCAGCTCGCGCAGGCGAGGGCGCGCGAGGCGCTCGAGGACGAGGAGGCGGCCGCGTCCCAGTCGCCGCTCTCGCTCTCGGTCCCGCTCGCGAGCCGGGCTCGCGCGAGGGCCGCCACCAAGCGCGTCCAGTTCGCCGGCGTCGCCGCGAGCGCCGGGTCGGACAGCGAGGCCGGCGGCGAGTGGGACGAGCGCGCGCTCGACGGCGCCGCCGACGAGGGCGGCTTTGCCCAGCTCGGCCTCGACGACCTCGACCTCGACTTCGACCTCGCCGACCCGATGCTCATCCCTTCGGCCGAGCGCAGGCGCGGCAAGCGCTTCTGGCGCGCGCTCGAGCACGGCGTGTACTGCTCGGCGCTGCACGACGTCGCGCAGGGCGAGACGCACCTCGGGCGCGCGCTCGTCCAGTGGGACGGCCTGCGGCGCGTGCGCGAGACCGAGGAGCGTGACGAGAAGGCTCGTGTCGACGCCGCTCGAGGCGACGAGGAGCACGGCGCGGCGCCCAAGTCGTCCAAGACGGCCCGTCAGCGCCTCACCGGCATGCGCAGCCACGACCCGCGCCGATCGGTCCTCCCGATGCACATGGGCCTCGCCGAGGACGACGCCGACGCCGAGTCGACGCGCCTGCGCCGCAAGTTCGACGACGAGGGCCACGAGCTCCTCCCCCTCCCGACCTCGCTCGCGCTCGCCCGCATGGCCCGCTGGCCGCAGCACCCGTCCTCCCTTCCCGACGCCCGCCTCTCGTCGCCGCTCAGCCTCGAGGACGCGCTCCTCGCGAGCTACGAGCGGGCACAGCGGGCGACGCAGGGCGGGCCGTCGTTGCCTGAGCCGCCGACATCGAGCGCCCGGAGCGCCTACGCCGACGACGGGCCTCTCGCCTCCCTCGACGATGGTTCCTTACCCTCCTCCGACCTCGGCGACGACGCGCCGCCCCAGCACGACCCTCTTTCCGACGTTCCCGACCCGCTCGAGTGGTCCTCCGCCCCTCCCCAGCTCGCCGCCCTCCCCTCGCTCCTCTCGTCCCTCCTCGTGCGCCTCACCGACTGCGTCCCCAAGGCGCCACTCCCGGCGACGGACCTGCGCTCGGCGTGGGCGCGCGCAGAGGAGATGGCGCGCGACGACCGGCGGCGAGGGCTCGACCGCGACGAGCCGAAGGTCGGGTGGGAGGAGGTCGTGGCGGTTGCGAGGACAGGAGGCGTCAAGGCCAGGTGCGCCCGACTTCTCTCTCTCTTCTCTGGCGTTTCTGGACGGGGCTGACTGGGTCGTTCGAGTTTGCGTTGCAGCATCGTCGACACGCTCGAGGCGCAGCTCGTCGCCCTCTTTGGCCCGTCGTCTCGTCCTCGTGCGTCCCTCTCGCCCGTCCTTCTTCCCTCCCCTCGACATCTCTGACCCATGTGCGACCCTCCCTTTCTCGCCCGCAGCCGTCGTCCTCCCGCCCGAGGGCAACCCGGCCATCCTGCGCCTCAAGACCCGCAAGCCGACCCTCGTGCGCACCAAGCCCAAGAAGCGCTCGGCGGTCCATGCGCTCAAGCGTGCGAGTGCGTCGGCGAGTCGGCGAGGCGCGAGTGCCGAGGGGGCCAGGACGCGCGAGCGCGGCTCGACGGTCGACGAGGAGGAGGAGGAGGAGGAGGAGCGCGAGTCGGGGACGGACTGAGCGCATGTGCTCGCTTGCACGTTTGCCGCTCGCCGGCTCGAGCCTGCAACGTTGACGAGCTGTTGCGCCCTCGAGCCGCGTCGAGAGTGCCACGTAGCGCGCTCGAGAGGCTCGGCTGCCTCCTCGGTCGGTCGCGCACGTTGGGCTCGCCTCGCGCTCTCGCTCGCTCGCCCCGCTCCCGCTCACCCGCTTCTCGCGTGTTCTCGAGGCGCACGACCTTGTTACCGCACCAGCTCTCGCTGGAACCACGTTCGGCGGGGCGGGTTGCGCAGCTCGCGGTCGGACCCTCGGCGAGTCGGCCTCTCGGCGGACGGAGCGGCGGAACGTCCGGGGCCGCTTCCGTCTCTCGCTCAGCAGCACAGCACAGCGCAGCAGAGAGGGACCGGCTTCGGTCGCAGCTCCAGCAACGGGCGAGAAGAAGGTGCACTACCCGTCCGACGTCCGTGAGCGAGGTCAATGCGCTCGAACCTCCGATGCGATCTCTCGCAACGAGAAGTCAAAATAACGTGCGAGGTGCGTGCGCGTGCGAGCAGAGAGTGGTGCGAGTGCGGGTGCGAGCGCAGGCGCGAGAGAGCGGACGATGGCGCGATGCGAGCACAGTCAGCGACGAGCGACGACGAGTCAAAGCTGATGATGGTCAGCGGGAGCGTCGACGATGGCGCGAGCGCCGAGGACGCGCGCGGCGCGGTGATTGTCAGCGAGATTCGGCATCGAGGCGATCCTCGACTCTCGAGTCGACAGCTCGCTCGGCTGTGATCCTTGCTCTCCTTCTCCACTACGCGCACTCCGACCTACCTACTTGCACGCTCTCGAGCACCACTAGAGCTCAGCTCCAGAGCCGACCAGCACGATTGCGACCCCGACCCCGAGTCAGCGCGACCATCACCGAGGCGGTGCTCGCACGTTCGAACTTCGCCCAAGTTCCCCCCCGCTCCGATGGCCTCCACCTCTCTCCCTCCTCCCACACCCTCGCCCCGTGTCGCCAGCTCGAGCAGCTCGAGCAGCAGCGACGACTTTGCATTCCTCGAGGCCAAGCACTGTGCGTCCCTCCCTCCACCCGAGCTCCCCCTTCGTTCCCCCACCTCGTCGCGTCGGTCTCTCGCGCCTCGCGGGCCACGTCCGCCCCCCAACCCGCTCGCGCAGGTTCGCTGACTCCTCAACCGCACTCGCGCAGACTTGACCACGATCCGCATGCCGTCGTTCGCCAGCTCCCCCTTCGAGGCCGGCGCCCACGCCGCCGCCGACCTCGAGGCCAAGTCCGCCAGCTCGGCATCGTCGTCGTCGTCGAGCCTGCCGTGGACGCCCGCCCGCCGCGACTCGTACTCGTCCATGTACTCGTCGCCGTCGTCTGCCGGCAGCTCGACCGAGTGCGGCGACTCGTCGGACGAGGACGAGGCCGTCACCCCCCCCGTCTCGCCCGACCTCCTCCCGACCGGCGCTGCCGGCGTCGACCTCAAGGGCAAGGGCAAGCAGGCCGACCACGACGCGTTCAACCTCGCCGCCCTCCACTTCTCGCTCGCCGACGTCGCCGAGGACGACGCCGAGTGGGTCCAAGCCGTCCCCATCGAGGCCGTCGTCCCCACTCCGGTCGCCCCCTCACCTCGTGGCAACCCGGCGGCGCCCTCGTCCACCACCCTCGCCGCCAAGCCCACCGCGCCCGATCCGCACGAGCAGGCGGCCGCCGCCGCCGTCCGCCCGGTCCCGCAGCCCTCACCGCCCGAGTCGGTCGCGCCCCCTCCCTCGGCCGACGACGACGCGCGTGGTCGCTCGCGCTGGCCCCGCCTCCTGTGGCGCTCCGAGCTCGACGTCGACTCGCTCGTCGTCCTGCGCGACTACCACGAGCGCGCCATCGGCGAGCCGCTCCCCGTCCTCCGCCGCGGCATGCGCCCGCGCGAGGTGGCGCGCTGGTCGCGCCGCATGGAGGACGCCGGCCTCTAGAGCGCGCCCGCACCCACCTTCCTTTCGTCGTCGTCAACCACCTCACCACTCGATCCGACTCGGCCCTGTACCACTCGCCCCTTTCGCTTTTCTCGCTCGCGTCGTCGCCCTCACGCGGTCCACCCTCGTCGACTGCGCTCGGCGCACGTCCTCCCCTTTCCCCTTGCTAGTCCTCCCCCCTTTTTTTGACCTCCCCATCTCGGAGCAGCAGTACCACCCCCCCTTCGTACCCTCCCCCTTCTCGCGCTTTCCCTCTGTACAGACCCCTCCCCGATCTTGCCCGCGAAGGCACCACGAGCAAAAAGCAACAAACGCAATTTTCAGTTCCACCCTGTGCGCACGAGTCTGGCCCGACGTCGAGAGCGAGAGTTGAGAGCGAGAAAGACAGCGAGAGAGCCGCACGTGCCGCTCTCGAAACGTGCGCTTTCTCGGCCGGCGCCACGTAGCAAGTAGACCCGCTCGACGTTGCAGACGCATCTACTCATCCATGCGCACGTCCTCGCCCTCACCCTCGCCCTCGCCCGCTTCGACCGCCGCCGCCGCCGCCTGCCCGTCAACCGGCCTCAGCTTGAGCAGCGCCCTCCTGACCTCCTCGACCTGGAGGACAGCCTCGCTCAAGACCCTCCCGAGCGCGACGTCGCTCATGACGGTCGCGTTGAGGGTCGGCTGGAGCGCGACGAGGGCCTCGGCGAGCGGGAGCGCGTGGGCAAAGTCGACCTTGTCGAGGCGCGCAAACACGTCGCCGTCCTTTGTCGTCGTCGACGACCAGCCCTCGGCGGCCGCCGCAAACGCCTCAAAGATCGACTGCTGCTCGCCCGCGAGGCGCCCGATGGCGCTGTTGCCGCTCGCGACGAGGACCGAGCCGCTCGCGCCCTTGCCTCCTCCTCCTCCTGATGCTCCTCCTTCTCCCGCTCCCCCGGCTCCCGCACCACCAGCCGCCGCAGCGTCGACGGCGAGCTTGGCGATGCGGGCCAGGTTGCGCACGCTCAGCGCGGCAAAGTAGCCGACGCCCTGGACCGGGTGCGCGTCGGCGGGCGAGGGCGCGCCGGGCGCCGTCGCGTCGCCGGCGTACGTGTGGTACCGCGCGTGGTGCAGGATGTGCGACAGGTCGAGGAGCGGCGCGGTCGGGTCGTCGCTCGGCGAGGTGGACGAGGAGGAAGGTGGGTCGAGGGGGGCGAGGTGCGTGCGCGTGTGGAGCGCGAGGTCGGCGAGGATGAGGGCAGGCTCGGTCTGGGTCGACGCGTAGGCGCACTTGTGCCACGCGCAGGAAGAGGGAGGTGGCGAGGTGGCGAGGTGCGCCGAGTAGATGTGGTGGTAGCACGCCCGAGCCGAGTCGAGCGCGTGCGCCGAGGTGCATCCGGCCCAGCGGCAGCGGTGACGACCGAGGAGCTCTGTTGAGGCAGGGTTCGAGCACGTCAGGACTGCCGTGCAGCATGCCGAGAGAGAGAGAGGCGGGCACACCTGAGCGCTCCTTGAGCCGCAAGCCGCGAATGACGAATCTCTTCTCGGCGCCGGCCTCGATGACCATGGGCTGGACGCCCGGGATGGCCTGCTGCGACACCTTGATGACGTCGCTCGCGGGCATCATGGGCGAGACGCCGGGTGCCATGTGCGGCGCCCACTGGGCCTGGTACGTCTGCCACAGCGCGACCTGCGACACGTCCGACTGCGGGTCGACCTCGTACACGAGGCGCATCCTGCAGGGTGACGACGACTCGTCAGTACGTCGGTCGGGGGGGAAGAAACCGAGGTAGGGGGAAGAGCGGACGCACCAGGTGAGGGCTCGAGACGGTTCCGGGAGCGAGACGAGCTGGGCGAGTTCCTCGCGCGTGACGAGGTTGCCCTTGGCGGCGACGAGCGCCGACGGCTTGCGCGGGTGCTTGACGGCGCCGTGCGAGTCGCGGTACGTCTTGGCCTCGGACTGGACGACGCCCAGGTCGATCTCGACCTCCTCGACGCGCGAGCCGACGTGAAACTTGGCGCACAAGAGGCGCAGGATGCCGAGGAGCTCGGGGCGGGTCGCGAGCAGGGCCGCGTTGGACGGGAGGAGCGTGTGCTGGTACACAAACTCGAGGATGGCGAGGTTGAGCTCGGCGTCGGCGAGCGGGAGGAGCTCGATGGCCGTCTGGATCGGGTGCGGGTGCGGTTTCGGGAGGGGAGGGACGGCCTCGTAGGTGAGGAGGGCAAACACCGAGTCGGACTTGTCGTTGAGCGCGAGGGCCGACAGGCACCGGAAGCCGGCGAGGATGAGGGCGCGGTCCTTTGTGCGCGTGAGCGACACGAGGAGCGGGAACAGGCGGACCGAGGGCGAGTCGGCCGGCTCGGGTTTGGGCGCGGCGCGCTCCTCGTCGGCCTCCTCCTCGGCCGTGATGGCGATCGCGTGGCCGGGGAGGGCGAGCGGGATGTGCTCGGCGACGCACTCGAGGACGTCGAGCAGGCACAGGCGGATCTCGGTCGTCTCGTCGACGTCGAGCGCGCCCGTCTCGCCCTCGTCGAGCACGTCGCAGATGGCCTTCTTGAGCTTGCGGCTCGTGAGGAGGGGCTCGCGGCTGCGCGACTCGGGCGCGAGGTTGCGCAGGATGAGGGCGGCTTCTCCCGCTCGCCGCCTCAGGACGTCGCGCGAGTCGTCGCCGACGAGGGCGCCGAACGCCGGGACGCCGCGGGCCCGGTCGGCGCGCCGGCGCTCGACATAGTCGCTGATGAGGGCGAGGCAGCCGTCGAGGAGGCCGGTCATCTCGCCGAGGCGGACGAGGTCGGGGTCGACAGAGGTGACCTGGACGAGGCGGTCGAGGCCAAAGTCGATGTCGGCGGCGATGCCGGAGCGGATCGACAGGACGAGGCGGTTCGAGGGACCCGGGTCGAGGAAGTGAGCTGCGCGCGAGAGACCGTGTGAGCCATCGTCGGGGGAGGAGGAGGAGGTGATGAGGATGAAAGTGAAAGGGACGACGCACGACCGCCAAAGACGCGACTCCAGTACTGCCGTGCGCCCACCCTGGCACTGGCCCGCCCTTGCGCCTGCCCTGCTTGAGCCCGTGGTGCTGGAGGTTTGGCGACACCGGGCTGAGAGTAGGCGCGTTGCTGCGACGACGACCCGCCGGCTTGGCGAGCTGCGGCGGTGCTCATGGCGGCGCGTAGAGGGTCTCGCTGGCGATGCAAGCTGTGCAGCCGACCGCACGAGCGAGCGAGCGAAGTGGAGAACCGCGACCTCGAGCGAGCCTCTCCCCCGGCGGCTGTCGCTCCTCCAACATCTCGCCCTCGACCAGGCTAGCCGAGTACAGCCCGGCAAGCTTCCCTACACCTGCTGTAGCGGCCCACTCGAGCCATGGCAGGGTCCCGCTTCGCCTACGTCAAGAACTTTGAGCTCGCGGACCCTCTCCTCCCCTCGACTTTCTTCGTCGTCCGCATCGACGGCAAAGGGTTCCACGGCTTCTCGAAACTGCACAACTTCGACAAGCCCAGCGATGTGCGCGCCCTCGCCCTCATGAACGACGCCGCCAAGCGCGTCGTCGGCGGCCGAGAGCTCAACGGCGAGTGCGTCGTCGCGTTCGGCGAGAGCGACGAGTACAGGTGCGTTCGCTCTCCCTCCATGCCCTCGAGCGTGTCAGGAGACTGACCTCTCGACCCGGCAGCTTTGTCTTCAAGCGCACGTGCAAGCTGCACGGCCGAAGAGCAAGGTGCGTCCTCTCGACTCGACCCTCTGCTCCTCCTTCTCGAACATCGCCCTGACTCTCTCACCTCGACAGCAAAATCGTCACCCTCGTCGTATCGGTCTTTACGGCCGCCTACATGGCGCTTTGGCCGCAGTTCTTCCCGAACTCGCCGCTCTCGCTCGAGCACCTTCCGGTCTTTGACGGTCGGTGCGTCGCCCGTCCTCGCCCTCGCACACTCGGCACCTTCCTGACCCTTTCGTCGGTCCACAGCGTCGTGCAGTACACGAGCGAGCTCGAGATCCAGGACTACCTGCGCTGGCGACAAGTCGACAGTGCGCCCCGCCCCCATCCTCGTCTGCGTCTTCTCGACAGCGCCTGACTCTCCCTTTCTCTCGCAGCGCACATCAACAATATGTACAACACAGTCTTCTGGGCGTTGGTCCTGCAGGGCAAGCGCACCGAGCAGGAGGCCGAGCAGGAGCTGAGCGTGCGTCCCTCTCGCTCTTCGTCCTCCTCGCGCTTCTCTCACTCACACCGGCTCTCGCCGCGCGCAGGGCACCATCTCGAGTCAGAAGCAGGAGATCCTCTTCTCGCAGTTCGGCATCAACTACAACAACCTCGACCCCATGTTCCGCAAGGGCAGCATCGTCATCTGGGAGGAAGAGCCGCTGGCAGTGTCGCAGGACTCGGTGCGTCCACTTCTCCCTCTCTCTCGCTGTCAGGACACTCGCTCACTAACTCGGCGCGTCCCGACAGGCACCGAGCTCGACGTCCGAGCCGCCAGCACCGTCACCCGAATCCGCCGACTCGCCCGCTCCCCTCGTCAAGATGCGCCAGCGCAAGAAGCCGCCAAAACCCAAGCGCCGCCTCGTCGTCGTGCACGAGGACCTCATCGCCGACGCGTGGTGGACGGAGGGCCGAGGCAAGGCCCTGCTCGACGGCTAGTGCGAGGTGCGAGGGTGCTAGAGCGAGCGAGGAAGGACGAGGACAGAGCGCGAGGAACGGGACGACGATGCGCAACGATACTGTTACAGACAACGCCTCGAGCCCGAGATCTACGACACAGAGAGAGAAGAGGGAGGGAAAGACGAGGAGCCGACCGAAGGAGAGAGAGAGAGGGAGGGGGGGGCTCTACTTGTTGGCCTTGTTGCGGCCCGACGACTTGCGGTCGCGCTTGGCGATGCGCTTGAGGGCGCGCACCTCCTTCTTCATGCGCGGGTCGGCCATCTTGTACTTGCCCTTGACGCCCTTGGGGCGACCCTTGATGCCGCGGTTGGCGCCCCTCGCGACGACGACCTTCTTCTCGGGCCGCTTGACCTTGGCCGCGCCGCCCGACTTGGCGAGCACCTTGGCGATACTGGCCGCCTTCTCCTTCTCGGTGAGGCCGTTGTCCTCGTCGTCGTTGATGCCCTGCGCCTTGTTGCGCGCCTTCTCGAGCCGGCGCACCTTGCGCATCTGCTTGCGCGCCTTGGCCTCGGCGACCTTCTTGATCGGGCGCGCGTTGAGCGCGCGCTGCTTGTCGCGGATCGCCTGCACGGCGTCCTTGGTGACGGGGATGTTGTGGCGGAAGTGGCGCTGCTCGTCGTCGATGAACCAGGTCGGGAGGCCGTCGCCGCCGATGGCGTCCGTGTGGCGGTTGAAGCCCTCGTCAACGAGCTGCGTCTTGGTGCGCTCGCGGTTGACGAGCTGCTGCGCGAGCGTCATCGCCTCGGCCGTCGTCAAGCCGACCTCTGCGAGAGGGTGAGAGAGGGCGACGAGGTCAGGGTTCGGCTCGAGAGAGGGAGAGAGAGAGGGCGGGACGCACTGGCTATCCGCTCGGCCTTCTCGATCTCCTCCTTCTCCTGCGCGTCGATGTCGGCCTCCTCCTCCATCGCCTCGTCCTCCTCGAACGTCGGCCGAGCGCCGTCAAAGTCGTCGTCCGACTCGTCGTCGGTGCTCGCCTCCTGCCCGCTGCCCTCCTCGTCGCTCTCGACCCACGTCGCGTCGCCCATGTCCTCGTCGTCCTCGTCCGACTCGCCGCCGACCGCCGCCTCGTCGTCGCTCGCGTCCTCGGCGCCGCCGAGGAGGCTCTCGAGGCCGCCGGGCAGGCCCTTGAACGCCGGCTGGTCGAACCACATGGCCGCCTGGCGGCTCTTGGCGCTCGTCGACAGGACCTTGCCCTTCTTGAGCGTCTTGAGCAGGCCGTCGGCCTTGTCGTCCTCGTCGAGCTCGACAGGTGCGGGCGCGGCACGAGCGCGCTTGGCCGGCGCCGCCTTGACCGCCTCGGGCTTGGCCGCCGCCTGCTCGTCCTCGTCCTCGTCCGACGAGTCCTCGTCGCTCGACGGCTGCGGCGCCGGGTCAAAGTCGCCCTCGGACTCCTCCGACTCGGCGTCCGTGTCGGCGTCGCTGCCGGACCCGATGCCCTTGAACTCGCCGCCCTCCTCGAGCGCGCGCTTGAGGCGCTGCTGCTTGACCTTGTGCTTGTGGTCGCGCTCGAGCTTGGTCTGCTGGAACGACTCGTACAGCAGGTCGAGGCTCTCCTCGAGCCGGCGCGTCTTGCGCTCGTCGTCGGTGACGTCCTCGTCCTCGTCGTCGTCGTCGGCGCCGTCGGGGATGATCTGCATCGGCATCTGGCGCTGATTCTTGACCTTGTTCGAGCCCGAGATGTCCTCGCGGTCCATGTCGTCGTCGTCGTCGCTCAGCTCGGGCTCGCCGTCGCTGTCGAGCCGGCCGCCGCTCACGCCGCGACGCTCCTTGCCGCCCTCGACCTCGCCGAGGTCGAACATCTCCATGCCCATGCCGTCCTGCTGCTCGAGACCGATGTCCATCGGCGCGCCCATGTTGAGCTGCATGCGCTGCACCTCGCGCGCCTTCTTCTCGTTGACGCGGCGACGCTCGCGGCGCTTCTTGAAGGCCTCGTCGCGGGCAAGACGCTCGAGCTGTAGTAGAGGACGGGCGTCAGTCTCGGCGGCGAGAGAGAGAAGGGGAGAAGGGAGGAGAGAGAGGGCTCGGGACGAACCTCCTGGGTGAGCTGCTCCTCCTCGTCGAGCGGCTCGATGTCGACGTTCTCGACGGCGTCCTCCTTCTGGTCGACCTTGACGTCGAGACCGAGCTGCACACGAGGGGCGATGGTCAGTACGAGGCCCAGGAGGGAGAACGAGAGGGCGAGACGAGGACGCACGTCCTCCCGGATCGCGAGGCGGTACTTGAGGAGCATCTTGAAGTCCTTCTTGCCGAGGACCTTGAGGTCGTCGAGGCACGACTTGATCTCGCCAGTCGTGAGCGGGTTCTTGAGGAGCCTGCGCGAGGGAGGGAAGGTGTGTCAGTAGGCCGCACGAGTGGGAGAGAACGGCGGCGACGAGAGGGAGTGCGGGACGCACTTCTTGTCCTCGTCGTCCTGGAAGCGCATGCGGGTGACCATGCCGAGAACACCGATCGGGTCCTGGTGCCGGATCCACTGCATGACCCTGCACTCCTTGTACAGCGTCATGTCGCCGTCGTCGTAACCCTCGCGCTGCTTGCGGTGCTTCTCGGGCGCAAACACGTTGAGCGTCGCGGGCGTCATGACGTCCTTGGTCGAGATGGCGCGGTTGTCGAGCTTGGCGAGCGGGTTGGTCGACGCCTGCTTGCCCTTCTTCGAGCCGGCGACCTCGTTGCCCTCGGCGTCGACCTCGGCGAACCGCTTCGACGCGCCCTCCTCGTCGTCGGCGCCGTCGACCTCGGCAAAGACGTACTTGGGGTTGAGCATGCGCGGGTCGATCTTGGCCGGCGCGAGGAAGCCCTGGCAGGTGACGAAGATCTCGGCCGACACGTTACGCGACGACGCCGGCTTGGTCGCCTCGACTTTGGTAAACAGCTGGTTGAAGACCCACAGGAGCGCGTTGTAGTCCTTGGAGCGGAAGACCTTGGTGCAGAAGGTGCCGCCGGCGCGCAGGAACTCGACGGCGAGCTTGAGCGACGCGAGGACGAGCTCGACCTGGGTGAAGGCGTCCTGCACCCACGCGGATCCGACATTGGGCGCACCGTCGTGGAGGACGCTGTCGAGAGTGAGAGGCGAGTCAGTCTCGTGCTGCCGCCGCAGGAAGAAGAAGGGATCCTCGCTCGAGGGGGGAGAGGGAAAGGCGGGCGTACACGTCGGCCTTCCAGTCCTTCATCTCGGCGCGGAGAGCCCTGCGGCACGACTCGGTCGTGATGTCCTCGACGAGCGTGATGCAGCGCGGGATGGGCTTGATGGGCACGAGGTCGACACCGATGATGATCGAGTTCTGCTGCGGCATCTGCTTGGCGGCGACCTGGAGCCAACCTCCCGGCGCAGCGCACAGGTCGATGACGCACTTGGCGCCGGCGAGGAAGTCGTACTTGCGGTTGAGCTGGACGAGCTTGAAGGCGGAACGGGCACGGTAGCCTTGCTCCCTGGGTGCGGCAGAGGGCGAGGTCAGCTCCGGGTCACGGCGAGACCGGCCGAGTGCAGGAGAAGACTCACTTGGCGAGCATGTACCTGCAGGCGCACAGGGAAGGGGCAGGTCAGCGGTGTTCGGGGGTACATCGCCGCGTCCAGCTGGACGCACCATTTGTCGAGACGGCCTGTGTGGGAGACAAGTGTCAGGGGTCGCTCGGTCGCGCGCTCGAGAGAGAGAGATCACGCACCCTTGCCGGTCTTCTTCTGGTCCTTGCCCTGCGAGGTGGGAGCGAGGCTGGGTGAGCGAAAAGTGGCGGGAGATGAGGGGAGAGGAGGGAGGAGCGACGCACCATCGTGAGCGGTTCTTGCGCGGGCTAGTTGGGGTGCGAGAGCGAGTGTAGAGCGATTGGTAGCTGCTCCTGGCCGACCAGCAGCAAGAGCGCAGGTGGTGGAGGGGCGAGGCGAGCTCTCCCAAGGTCGAGCTCGACAACACCGCCTCATCAGCTCAACCTCACCGCTCTCGCTGTTGCCCTCCTGACGGCTCGAGACGCTGCACAGCTACTGCTGGACTGTCCCCAGAGGTCCACAAGGCCCCGGCGCTCGCTCTGGGAGGCGAGGGCGCGACCACCTTCATCAGCTCGCCGCGAGGTTCCACCGCCCTCCCTCCTCCCGAGACGACCGGGCGGGTGACGCGCATCCATGGTTCTGCTTGTTTGCACTGCCGCTCCCGCCATAGCTAGAGCTGCGCGCCCCAGGTGGGCGTGTTGCTCGCTCTCTCCCCGACCCGCTCGCGCTTTCTCGCCGGCCGCGTGTACAGCCTTGGCGACTCGCTCGCAGGGCCACCTCGTCTTCAGCTGAGACGAGCGGGCGAGCTGCCGCCGCTGCCGAATGGCGGCAGGCTTCGAGCCGCTGCGCAGCGCTGCGCCCGCACCCTCCTCGTCGACCTTCGTGGGAGGAGCCGCGAGGACAATCGCTAGTCTCGGCTCGTGCACGGTCGACAATGAGCTCGGCAGCCCGCTTAATGTAACGGGTCGGTTCCCGGGCCGCGACAATGGCACGGACCACCAGCGTCGCCGCCTCGTCCGCCGCTCGCGCCTCGCGAGATCCGCTCGAGCCTGTGCTTGACCCCGGCTTTTCTCTCCACGCCAGCTCTCTTCCTCCTTCTCTACCCACTCGAGGTCTCCTCTGCGCGACACGATGGACACGGGCAGCGTCCCGGTCTTTGTCAACGACTTTGTCGCCCCGATCGTGAGCCGCAGTTCCTCCTTCTCCTTCGACCAGGCCATTGACTGACCTTGCCCCGAGTTGCCATGCAGCTCGTCGCCAGCTTCTTGTCGTGCTGCGCTGCCGGTGGCGTTCTCGCTCTCAGTGCGTCGCGGCGGTCTGCCAGTCTCTCGAGGGAACGAGCGCTCACCTCGTCCTCCTCCAGTCGTCGCCTACGCCCGGCGCTTCGGCAAGAGCGACCGCCTCGCCTTTCGGCTCCTCGTCGCAGCTTTCACTGTCCTGTTACTTGCCGATACCGCCAACGAGTGCTCTTGGACCTGGCGTTATGCCGTCCAGTGCCAGCTCGACCCGTCGATCCTCGTCCTCCTGCCGCCTCAGTTCATTGTGTACAGCGCCGTGTGAGTCTCTCTCTCCTCCGCCTTTCCTTCACGAGCGTACTCGTTCGCCACAGACGGCGAGGCAGTCAAGCTCACGTTCGTCTGCCCGCAGGACCGGCGTGTCGATCCTCCTCGTGCAGGGCTTCTTCACGTGTGCCCTGGTCCTCCCTTCTCGGGCACACCAGCGTTGACTCGCACTGACGGCGCTCCCTACCTGCAGGTGGCGCATCTGGATCATCTCGGGCAAGAAGAACTTCATCTTTCCGGGCATCATCGCCGTCCTCGAGCTGTCGGCGTTCGGCATCGCGCTATACATGATCTACGAGGCATCGCAGCGCAAGCTGTTCCGCGAGTTTGGCCAGGTGAGGGGTGCGCCGTGGGCTTGGCTCGCTCTCGGACTACTCGTCGGTGCGTCTCCAAATCTCGCACAGTCCCTCCTCTCGTCCGGGGTCGCACACTGACCCTGCTTCTCCCTGCAGACATCCTTATCACGTTCGTCAAGGTCGTCTCGCATCGTCGACCGAGCAGGACTGACGACGCCGCTTTTGCAGCGGGGCGACGTTCTACTACCTCCTGTTCAAGCCTCGCAAGAACGGCGCGACGGTCAAGGACGCCGTCGTGCACTCGCCCATGACTCGCGTCGTCATGCTCACGGCCAGGACCAACGCCTTCTCGCTCCTGATGCAGGTCCTCACCCTGGTGCGCCTGCTCTCTCTCTCTCGCTCGGGCCCCTTCCTCGTCGACCCGCCTGACCTTCTCACTCGCATCCCTCCCTCTCCTTCGTCCTCCCTGCCTCTCTCGCAACAGTGGCTCATGGTCTGGCGCATCACGACGTTCCATTACTCGATCACCGGTGCGTCGTCGTCGTCGCCGTCTCTCGTTCTGCGTCGGGACCTCGCTAATGCCTGCCTCTCTCTCCTCGCATACCCTCGCACGCAGGATTCCTCGAGGTCAAGATCTACATCTCTTCGGTCCTCGTCACGCGTACGTCCATCCTTGTCGCCCTCAGCGTCGTCGTCGTCCCGCCGACACTGACCGCCTTTCGCCCGTTCCGCAGTCAACTCTCGCCGCTCGACGAGCGACACCTCGGCCGAGTTCTCCGACGCGCCGGGCACGTCGCGCTTCTCGCGAGCGTCCAAGGCGTTTGGCGGCCGCTCGACGGCGTCGCGCTCGCAGCACCAGTCGGTGCAGGTGCACATCGAGGAGGAGACGCACGTCGACGACTCGAGCATCGGTGGGCTCGCTCACGGTGGCGCGCAGCCCGGCGTCAGGCCGTTCGCCGTCAAGTTCGAGTCGGCGAGGACGGACTCGTCCGGGTGGACCGGCGGCGAGAAGGGCGACGTCGAGCTGGGCAGGCTCGACAGTGTGCACCTCTCGGAGAAGTACTGAGGGTCCGGCCCCTCTCGCGCGCCAGCCGTTTGACTCGCACATGTCGCTGCAACGATGCCTTGTCTGTGTTCACCTGGAGCGATGAGAGCGCATGGCAGCGCAAGCGTCGCCCGAGCGAGCGGGAAGCAGAAAGTCGGCGAGGGAGGCAGGCAAGCCCGAGGCTCGCGGGAGCGGCAGCCTGTCTGCAGAGAGCGTGCGGAGCTTGTGCGCGCCGCAGGAAGCCGAGCGAGGCTCGGGAGGACGAGGACAAGGCGATGCCGTCCGGGAGTTGCGTCCCCGCTCGCGCCGGAGAGCAAGCGGTCGACTGGCTCACCCTCCCACACGGCTCGCACGAGCTCACGAGTGCCTGCGCTGCACTCGCACGACCTACATCGACACGCCACGCAGTCGCGCACGCCGCCGAGAGCCACCAGAAGCTCATCCCACCCATCTCCCCCCCGGGTTCTGTTCCTCATCTCCTCGGACAACCGCCTCATCCCTCGCCCGCCCTCGCCTCGCGCCAGCCGCCGTCAGCACCGTACAGCAGCCACCTCACCCACCTGGCCAGCAGTCGCCGCCCCGCGCCGACCCGGGGTGTGCCTTCGCTCGCACCTCCCCACCCCCCCTTTCCTTCGACCCCGCCGACGACCGTCCACACCCACCATGGAGGACTCGCAGCTGCCGTCACCTGCCGGCACGCAGCTCTTGGTCGACGTGCGCGGCGCAGAGATCGTCTCGAGCCATTCTGAAGAGTGCGTCCCTCGCCCTCTCGTCCTCACACGACCCGGGCGAGCCTCGGCAACGCGGGCGTGCCTCAGTCCAGCTCCTGACTCGCTCCCTCTTCACCGCAACAGCCCCGAGGTGTACCTGCCGCACCACGAGGAGATGATCTCGCACATCGCCATCGACGTGCGTCCTCGCTCGCACTCCCTCCCCCCTCCTTCGCAGGACACTCGAGCTGATCTCGCTCTCCTTCCTCGCCACAGATCGGCGGCTCTCTCGCCAAGGTCGTCTACTTCACACGCTCGCCGGCGCAGCCGACTCGGCCAACCCTGAACGGCAAATCCTCGTCGTCCTCCTCGCACCCTTTCGTCGACTCGCCCTCTCAGCCCTGTTCCCCTTCCTCCTCGCCCGACAGCCGACCAGCATGGGAGCCTCGAAGGACGCCGTCCCCGCCGCAGCAGGCCAAGCCCAACGGCATCCTCGGCCCCAAGTCGCTCGCCCAGCAACACCACCATCACCACCGGCCCGCCGCCAACTCGCCCTCGGCGTCCTCGCGCGCGTTCCAGTCGCACCTGCGACGGCGCTCGTCGACGTCGCGCATCCCGTCCGGCGGGCGGCTCAACTTTACCAAGTTCGAGACGTCGGACCTGTCGTCGCTCATCTCGTACCTCGACACGCTCATCGCGTCGTCGGCCCAGGCCAACCGGGTCCCTGTCGACGTCATGAAGCGCAACGTCAAGATCATGGCGACGGGCGGCGGCGCGCAAAAGTTCCACGACGAGCTGCACGACGCGCTCGGGATCGAGGTGCGCCGCGAGGAGGAGATGGAGTGCCTCGTCCTCGGCCTGTCGTTCGTCATGGAGATCCCGAACGAGGTCTTCTGGTACTCGGACGAGCTCATCCAGGCCGTGTCGCACCCGCAACAACGCGCCCTGTCGGCCGTCAACCTGCCGTCGACCCCTCGCTCGTCGGCCTCGCCCCTCCCCCTCTTTCCCGGCCTCGACACGGCCCTCGCCGCCCAGGCGCCCCATTCTCCCCCTTCCACCGCACCGCCACCACTCCTGTCGGACCCGGACGACCTCCCGCGACCGTCGCCCAACCCGCCCCAGTACTCGATCAAGTTCGACTCGTCGCCGACGCCGGCCCAGTTCCCGTGCCTGCTCGTCAACATTGGATCGGGCGTCAGCATTGTCAAGATTGACGACTACGGCAAGTTTGAGCGCATCAGCGGCACGAGCTTGGGCGGCGGGACCCTGTGGGGCTTGTTGAGCCTCCTCACGGGCGCAAAGAGCTTTGACGGTGCGTCGGCCTCTTCCTCTTCCTCGCGCGCCGCCGGCCACGCGTCGGTGTCGGCGAGGTGTACGCGGTGAGGTGAGCACTGACCCAATACCTGGTGAGCAGACATGCTCGCGCTCGCCGACAAGGGCGACAACTCGTCGGTCGACATGCTCGTCGGCGACATCTACGGCCAGGACTACCAGAAGATCGGCCTCAAGTCGTCGACGATCGCGTCGTCGTTTGGCAAGGTGTTCCGGCGGGGCGAGGGGCACGGCGCCGGGCCGACGACCGAGGACGAGGAGGAGGAGCGCAGGAGGAGCTTCAAGAGCGAGGACATCAGCCGCAGCTTGCTCTACGCCATCTCGAACAACATTGGCCAGATTGCGTGCGTCCCTCTCTCCCCTCTCTGTCTCTCTCTCGAGCCCGACCTGACGAGCCTCTCGCGCCGCAGCTACATGAACGCCGAGAAGCACAACCTCGACCGCATCTACTTTGGCGGCGGCTTCATCCGCGGTCCGTCCCGTCTTCTCTCTCTCTTGTTAGACTCTCACTGACTCTCCCCTCACGGCGCCCGCAGGCCACGCCGCCACCATCTCGACCCTGTCGTACGCGATCCGGTTCTGGTCAAAGGGGACCAAGCGCGCCCTGTTTCTCCGCCACGAGGGCTACCTCGGCGGCATCGGCGCGTGGCTCAAGAACATTGGCGCCGGCGCACAGACGCCCGCGACCGAGAAGGGCGAGGACGAGGCGACGAGGGGGAGGACGCGCGCGCCGGTCGGCGGCGAGGGGGCGGCGGCGGGCGAGAGGTAGGACGGACGAGGGGGAGGGGCGTATCCTTACTTGCATTGCACCTTTTCGCAGCAGATTGCACCTTTTCGCAGCAGCAGGACCCTCTCGAGCGACGGCGAGCGAGAGGTCTGCCGACGAGAGCTGGATCTGGAACCTCGCCGCTCGAGCCTGCTCTCCTCGTCCTCCTTCTCTCGGGCGGCCCATCGAGCAAGCGGCAGCGCTCCTGTCTCTCACTCTCGCACACAGAGACGCAAGCGGAACGAGAATACTGCGAGATGCACGTGCACGTCTACCTCCCCCTCGTCGGCTCGCCCACGCCTTCTCGAGGTCTCCCTGCTTCCCAGCTTGACCTCCGGCGTCGTTCAGACATCACTCCACCTCGGTCACGAACCAGTCGGTGACTAGCCGTTCATCCAGGCCCGTGAGACGGTCCACGTCGTCTTGGTCGAGCGTAAAGTCGAACACCTGGGCGTTGTCGACGATGCGCTCCTTCTTGGTCGACTTGGGGATGACGATGAAGCCCTGCGTGCTCCCTCTTGCGTCAGTACGCTCCCTGACCATGCGAGAGAGTCGAGGTGGACGCACCCGGTCGAGGCCGTAGCGAATGAGGACCTGGGCGGGCGACTTGTTGTACTTCTTGGCGAGCTCGACGACGACCGGGTGCTTGAAGCGCATGCCGCGCACGAGCGGAGCCCACGCCTCGAGGACGATGCGCTGCGACTCGCAGTAGGCGACGAGGTCGTTGCGCGTCATGAACGGGTGCAGGTCCTGTGCGCGCGAGGGAGGAAAGGTCAGTGCGGGAGGGGCGGCAGGAGGAGAAGGAGCGAGAGAGAGAGAGAGAGGGGACGCACGACCTGGTTGACGGCCGGGGCGTACTTGGGCTTGCGCGCGAGGAGGTCCTCGAGGTGCTTGACGCCAAAGTTGCTGCGCGCGGCTCCATCCCTGTCAGTTCTCTTTCGCGGGTTGCACGAGCAAGAGGAACGCAAGGGACGCACCTGACACCAATAGCGCGCACCTTGCCCGTGTCGCGGACCTGGCAGCACCCCTCCCACATGGCCGCACGCACGTCGGGCCCGCCGGTCGGGTCGTGGATGAGGTACAGGTCGATGTAGTCGAGCCCGGCCTTTTCGAGGCTCACGTCGACGCACTTGGTGACCCACGCCGGGTCGGTGCGGTTGTGCATGAGCTTGGTCGTGAACTGTGAGGAAGAGGAAGGCGGGGAGAGAGAAAGAGAGGTCAGCGACGGCGAGAAGAGCGAGAAAGAGGTGGGGAGGCGGGCGAGGGACGCACAAAGATGTCGGAACGAGGGACGCCAGACTTCTTGATAAAGTCGTTGATCGCCCGGCCGCAGTCCTCCTCGTTCTCGTACCATTCGGCGCCTGCACAAGGGAATGGAGAGGTCAGTCCGAGGTTCCGGCCGAGGGGCGACGAGAGACGCACGCACCGTCAATGTGCTGCAGGCGACACGGCGGGACGAGGGGAGTGTAGGGAAGGGAGGACATGGTCAGCGCACGCTCCAGCAGCCGCAGCGAGAGCTCGTGAGCCGGCTCACCCTGTACCCCGCCTGCGCGACCCGAATGGCAACGTCAGTTCCCGTTCGCAAGGCTCAGAGTGAGGTAGGGACGCACCTCGAGGGCCCAGGTGACGGCGTTGTACGTCTCTGCACCCGGCTCGGTCACGTAGACGCCTGTGTCGCGCGAGGGGAGAGGGCTCGTCGTCAGTCGAGGATGAGGTGCTGGCTGAGGGCGACGCACCGAGACCGAAGCGAGGGTAGCTCCTGCCCTCGGGGTCGTTGGGCAGGTCGATGGTCGACGTGATGCTGTACAGGTCGCCGGGCATGGTCGTGTGCTGGTGAGGGCGAAAGACCAACTTGCGTCGTCTCGAGTGAGAAGGGCGAGATGGCGGCACGACAACAAGCTTGATTGCGCTCACACAAAGGGCTACATCAAATGTCCTGAACATATGAAGCCGGCACGAGCCCGACAGAGCCGTTTGCGCTCCTGCACCGGGTCCAGTCGGCGTCGACTGCGGGAAGCGAAGGACCGTGAGCGATGAACGCCTTGCCGCGGGGTTGGTGTTTTCCCCTCCCTCGACAGCAACCATAAAGGTGCCGCCGAGAGAGAGGGCGAGTCGGCCCGGCGCAAACTTGAGGTGAGAGGACTGAGGGACGCACCTCGCTCGACGACGACCAGCTCGTCGCCCTCTCGCACCGACAGGTCCTCGGCGCTCGTCCCAGCATAGTCGTACAGCGCCCGCACGCGCTCTTCTGCAGCCGCCGCAGGTGTGCCCGTCTCGGCGCCGGCGCCCGCTCGTCGCGGAGGCGGCGGGCCGGCATAGGTGCGCGGGACGGCGACGGCGAGCGGACCCGGCCCGTTCTCCTTCTTCTTGCGCTGCTCCTCGCTGTTGAGCGGACCCTTGGACGACAGGACGGCCTTGGCGAACTGCAGAGAGAAGAGAGTGAGCGCCTGAACGAGCGCGAGAGAACCTGAGCGAGAGGAGGGCAGGGGGGACGCACAGCGCGCTTGGTCGAGGCGTCGAAGCCGGCGACTGTGCGAGCCGCCTCGGTCGGCGTCTTGGCCTGAGACAGCTTGTAGGCCTGGTAGTGCGGCGACGAGGTGACGCGGGTCATTGGATCCTCGCTCTGCGTCTGGACGAGACCGGCCGGCTGTCGCGGCCCGCTCGAGGGGCTTGCCGGTGCTTGACGGGGTGCGGTTGCGCTGTACGACGAAGAGGGCGGCGGCGCTCTTGCGGCGAGTGCTGGGGGTGGTGCGGGCTCGGAGCGGCGGGAGGTGGGCGGCGAAGTGGGGAACGGTCGGCGAAAGTAGCCCTCGAGGAGGTCCTGGAAGGCAGAGCGCTCTTGAGGGTCCTGCAGGGCAGCTTGCCACATCTCAGCTGGTCGGGTGAGCTGGTGTACGAAGAGGGAGAGCGGCTCGATCAAGTGCGAGGTGACGGCGCTCTCTCTCTCGTCCACACCGCGTCCGCCTCGGCTTGAGAGGTCCAAGGGCCACGCCAGCACCGCTCGATGACGCCCACCTTCCGCGTCCACGACGACGGCGACGACTCGTCCCAGCCCGCGTCGCGCTCCACCTCGCGAGAGCGGCCTCATCTTCCGCAGCTCGTTCACCACTCGAGCTCGCACGTCCACGCCCGCCGGTACTCGAACGAGTCGTCAGCAGGCACCCACACGCCCCCACCGCAGCACCACCTCCTGTGCGACGTCGACGAGGAGGCCGCCCTCGATTCGCCCACCGCAGAGCGAGCCCCGCTCCTCGCCAACGGCCACGGCCCCAACCCGCACCGCAGCACGCCCAAGCGCCGCCTCACCCTCCCGAGCAACGGCTACGGCTCGCTCACGGCCGCGCCCGGGTTCGTCGCCCTCAACGAAGACGGCGGCGGCGCCGCCATCAAGCGCACCGAGTCGGTCCTGCGCGTCGCGGGCCTCATCGACGACCGCGCCGGCGAGTTTGAGCACTTTCGCAAGTCGGACGACGAGCTCAAGCGCATGTCGAAAAAGGTCCGCGAGTTCTACGTCCAGCAGAACGAGACGCTCGACCAGTTTGCCGAGGTCGACGACGTCCTCGAGTCGGCGCGCGCCAAGCAGGCGACGGGCGAGCTCATCCCGAGCACGCCGCCGGACACGACTCGACGTGACGACGACCTGCGCGCGAGCGTGCGGTGGGCCGTCAACGTCAACACGCTCGTCAACGTCGTCCTTCTCGGAGCCAAGATCGGCGTCGTCCTCCTGTCACACTCGATGTCGCTCATCGCGTCGACCGTCGACTCGGCCATGGACTTCCTGTCGACCCTCATCATCTTCGGTACGACGCGCGTCATCGAGCATCGGTCGTGGCAGTCACAGTTCGCCTACCCGACGGGCAAGCAGCGGTGCGTCGCTCTTTCTCTCCTTCCCTGTCGTCGAAGAGGATGCATGTCGTACTGGCGAGGCAGACGTGGTCGGGCCCCGGCGAGGAGAGAGCCTCGGACGGTCGCACTGACCCCCTCCTCGCCCCCCTACAGCATGGAGCCGCTCGGCATCCTTTCCTTCAGCGTCTTCATGATCTCCTCCTTTATGCAAGTCGGGATCGAGTCGATCCAGCGACTGTGCGACCCGCACCTCGAGCAGACGCACCTCCCGCCCATCGCCATCGCGACCATGGTCGGCACCATCGTCGTCAAGGGCGCCGTCTGGCTGTCGTGCCGCGCCATCAAGAGCGCGAGCGTCGAGGCGCTCCAGCAGGACGCCGAAAACGACATCGTGTTCAACTTCTTTTCGCTCCTCTTTCCCTACATCGGCCAGCTCGTCAAGTGGCCGTACCTCGACCCGCTCGGCGGTGCCGTCCTCTCGCTCTACAGTGCGTCCCTCTTTCTCCCGACTCTCGTCACCTACTGCGCGACGCACTCACTGACCCGCCACGTGCGCGCAGTCATCGTCGAGTGGACCCGGACCTTGCTCGACAACGTGGGCAAGCTCACGGGCCGGCGCGCCGACCCGCACGAGCACCAGCGCATCGCGTACCTCCTCACGCGCTTCTCGCCGCTCGTGACGGCGATCCAGCACCTGTCGATCTACCACGCCGGCGAGGGCCTCATCGTCGAGTGCGACGCCGTCCTCCCACCCGAGACTTCCCTCACGGTCGCGCACAACATTGGCGAGGCGGCTCAGTACGCGATCGAGCAGCTGAGCGGGATCGAGCGCGCGTTCGTCCACATCGACGTGAGCAGCAACCCGTTGAGCGGCCACCTCGAGCGGTGAGCGCAGCTGCCAGTCGAGGGCGGCGAGGGTCACCCCGTCGGCGTGCTGTAGATGGTCGGCCCTAGGCGGCCTGCCCGCGTGTATTCTCTCTCTCTCTCTCTCTCTCTCTCTCTCTCTCTCAGCGTGTCCGTCCCGTCGTGCTCGAGACGGTCCCGCCCCGAGTCGTCCAGCTGGACGTCGCCCGCTGCGGCCGGTCGACCTTCGCAGCTTCGTCCTCTCGCTTTCGCTTCTCGCAGACGCACCCGCGTCTCTACTTGGCTCTCGGCTTGTCGCCTTTGCTCAGACGGGATCGCCGTCTCGCGCGAGAGAGTTTGACGGTCGCACTGCGCCCGGGTCGACCGCCTCGCGCGCGTGCAGCAGGTTGCGGGGTCGGCCAGTCGCGCCAAGAGTCGACGCGGAGAGAGAGCGAGGGCTCGTTGCTGTGCGCTGCTTCGTCTGCCTACCTCTGCACAGCTGCACAACCGTCGTACAGCGCAGCGGCTGTGATCCTTGACGCACGGCCCTTCAACCGGCGAGCGAACCGCCGATCGTTGGCCCGACGCAGCGGCCGCGCGCTCCACCACCTGGCGAGCGCGACGAGATGGACCAGGACGCCATGGCTCGGTCCAGCAGGTGCGCCTGCAGCCTGTCCCTTTGCCTTGCCGAGCGAGCCAGCGAGCGACGGCTCAGCCGAACCGGAGCTCGCCTCGTGCTGACCCTCTCGTCCTCGCCCCGCCCCCTGTGCAGCCCTGCGCGAGACCCTGCAGCAGCCACGGCCAGCCACGCACCACCACACCGGCCCTCACCAGGCCCCGCCTCGCCATCCACCACGCCGGCGCCCCTCGCCTCTCCTCCTCCTCCCCCGGCTGTCGCGGCCGTCGCCCCCCCGCCGCCAACGCGCCCGCTCTCGGCACCACCCCTCAAGAAGCGCGCCTCGTCGAGCACACCCACCCTCTCGCTCGCCACCGCCGCCGCCGCAACCCCCGTCGAGCCCGGCCTCGAGTCGCCCCTTGAACCGCCCGCCCCGCCTTTCTCGTCCCGCTCGTCTCGCACCTCGCGCCGCAGCAGCGCGTCCAGCTTTCGGTCCGACCTCGGCACCCTTCCCTCGACACCGGAGGAGCCCACTTACGCGCCCGTCGCGTCCGCCTCGACCGACTCGCTCGCGTCGTCGGCCTCCGCCGTCGCACCCGTCGTCGACCGCCGGTCGGCCCTCCTCCGCTCGGCATCGCCCAGCCCGCACGTCGCGTCGCACGGCAGCATGAACGGGTACCGCGGCGGCCAGGGCGGCGACGACTTTAACGGGTCGGCGCAGGAGGAGCTGCTCGACGAGGACGTGCGCAACGCGGCTGGGACGCGTGGCCACCAGGACGACCCGTACCGGTGGGAGCGCCCGCTCGACGCCGTCCAACGAGTACGTCCCTCATCTCTCTCCTTATCGAGCGCGCCTCTGGAGGTTCCTCGCCCGGTCTTGGTGCCCCGAGCCGAGCCCAAGCTGACCTCGCCCTTGTCCCTCCCGGAGCAGCACTCGCGCCTACTCGACGCCGCGCCCATCTACCCTTCCCCATCCTCAGCCTCGTCCTCTTCCGCGGCCCCGAGCGGCGACGGCCGACGGCATTCGCGCCTCCCTCCCGGCGTCGCCCTCGTCGACCCGTTCGGCTTCAACGTCTCGAACGAGCCCTCGCCGTACGACCTCGCGTACGCCCACTCGGCCGCCGCACAGACGACGGGCCTCACGGCCGCGACGAGCCCTCGGTCCGGCGTTCGCGCCAGCTTCCTCGGCCCGTACCCGTCCATGTCGGCCTCGCCCGCCGTCACGCCGTCGCCCAACCCGTCACCGACCATCTCGCCCTCGCCGAGCACGTCGTCGGTCGCGCAGTACGCGGCGCAGGGAGGAGCAGGAGGAGGCGCCGAGTACGGCGGCGGCGGCGGCGGCGCGCCGGTGCAGCCGTGGACCAAGCAGCGGTCGGCGAGCGCGGGCGAGCCGCTTCAGGGCGCGAGGGCCCAGGTCCGCAACGGCCTGTTGGCGCCCGGCGCTGGCGTGCGCAGCATGACGGGGCGCAGCAAGCTCTCTGGAGAGATCGACGCCGACGTGCGTCCCCTCATTCTTTTCGCCTGTTTCCCTCGCGCCGCCGCCCGATGAGATTGACCCTCGAACCCCTCCGCCGGCCGCGCAGGACATCTCGGTCGTGTCGGTCGCGTCGCGCCAGCCGGCCAACATGCCCGCCGTCCCGAGCGAGTCGGACTACCTCAACTCGAAGGTGTACCAGCGCACGCTCAAGGCGCAGCGCGCGCTCGAGAAGGAGCGCGCCAAGGCGTCGGCCAAGGGCAAGCTGTCGCGGTACGACTCGAACGCGCCCGCGAGCAAGAGCACGTCGTCGCTCGTGTCGACGACGTCGACCCTCGGCGGCGGGTTCGGCGCCTTCAGCCTGAGCAGCCTCGGCTCTGCGCGCCGGAGCGTCGACGGCTCGAGCCGACCGCCGAGCGTCATGAGCGCGGCGGGCGTCAGCGGGACGGCGAGCGCCAAGCGCAGCGGGCGCAAGAGCCTCGGCTGGTTCCGCTCGTCGAGCGAGGGTGGGCTCGCCATGTCGGAGGAGCGCAGCCGCGAGAGCACGAGCGCCGGCTCGGTAGCGGCGGCGGCGGCGGCTCTCCCGACGAGCAAAAGCTCGAGCGGCGTCTCGCTCGCGGCGGCACGAGCGTCGTCGGGCCTGAGCAGCCCGCGCCTGAGCCCCGGCGGCCCAGGGTCCGGCGCCGGCGCCGGCGTGGCCGGCGCAGGAGGCCAGCTCGCGCCGCCGCTGCCGCCGAGCCCGAACCTCCCGAGCGAGTCGACGCTGCGCGCCATGGGCGTGTCGACCGACCAGCTGCGTGCTGCGGCGCAGCAGCAGCAGCACGGGCAGGGGCAGCGGCCGAGGTCGAGCGGGCGGCAGGGCAGCGGTGGAGCGTCGGGAGGAGCAGCAGGAGGGCACGCGCAGGGGCAGGCGCAGGCGCAGGCGCAGAAGAGGAGCCCGCAGCCGAGCCCGGGGCTCGACCAATCGACGGCGGCGTTCGCGTCGGCGCTGCCGCCGCCGGCGACGAGCATGCCCCTCTCGCTCGCGCCGCCCGTCGCGCACCCGCCGAGGGAGGCCGCCGTGCCGCTCGCCGTGCCGCAGCCGACTCGCCCGGGTCCGCCCTCGCGCAGCGCGTCGCTCGAGCCGCCTTCCGCCTCGTCCACGCCGTTCCACACCCCTCCCTCGACCGGCACGCACACGCCCGTCCCGCCCACCTCGTCCCACTCGTCCGTCCCGCCTCGCACCGCGTCCCGCATCATCCAGGACCCGCAGGAGGTCCCGCTGCCGCGCTCGGCGTCGCCGTCGAGGAGCGCCTTCCCCGCGAGCGCGACGACCGCGCCTCCTCCGCCCTCGGGCGCCGCGCCATCCGCTGCGGCGTCGCAGCCGTCGTCTCGCCCGCCGTCGTCGCAGTCGCAGCAGCAGCAGCAGCCGCGCACGGTCAGCGCCTCGCTCCCGGCGGGCGCCGCTCCGCCGCAGCCCTCGGCCGTCGCGCAGGCGCAAGCGCCGCCCTCGCCGAGCAAGCTCGCGCCCGCCGCGGCGCCGCACGGCAGCGTCAAGCGCCGCAAGAGCGGGCTGGGCCTGCTCTTTGGCGGCGTCGGCGGCGGGCAGTCGGGCTCGGACGGCGCGTCGAGCCCGGATGGGTCGCGCGGCCAGAGCCCGACGCCCTCGAGCGCGAGCTCGGCGACGGCGAGGGAGAAGGACCGGGTCGTCAAGCGGCCCGTGCAGCAGCAGCAGCAGCAGCAGCAGCAGGCGCCGTCGTCCTCGGCCAAGCTCACGAAGGAGCAGGCCGGTCCGGCCACGCCGACCGCCAAGCTCGTCAAGGACAAGGGCGGCGGCGGCTTCTTCGCGCGCTCGGCGTCCAAGTTGCGCACGTCGAACGGGCCTAGCTCGGGCCCGCCGTCGAGGGCAGCCCCGGCCAAGCCCAAGAAGGTCGACGAGCCGTTCTACCACCCGTCGCAGGCGCTGCACGCCGCGCGCACGGCGCCACCGCCGTCCTCCTCGCCTCAGCCGCCGGCGATCCACGCCGTCAACCCGTCGCCGCAGATCCAGCAGGCGCCGACGATGCGGCAGCGGCCGTCGAACGGCGTCCCGACCCAGCAGGCGCAGCCGGCCACCTCGGCCGCCGCGCGCACCGACTCGTCGTCCGGCTCGTCGACGACGTTCTCGAGCCTGAGCTCGAGCGGCTCGACGCTCGCGCCGGGCACGCCCAGCATCGGCAAGGGCGCGTCGCCGTCGTCGTCGTCGTCGGCGGCCCCGCAGCAGGCGTTCCCGGCCAAGAAGGGTGGGTTCGCCTCGCTGTTCGGCATCGGCGGCAGCATGCGCGGGCGCAAGGGCTCGGCGCCCGTCTCGCTGTCGCGCTCGCAGGGCGCGAGCTCGCCCATGGCGCCCAAGGTCGCCGAGGTGCGCCCCTCGCCGCCGGCGCCCGCCTCGAGCATGCCGCAGGCGCCGCCGGCCGCCGCGATTGGGTCGCACCGGGGCCAGGGTGGCTTGCCTCGTGGGCAGTCGCTCGGTTCGGCGCAGGGCCAGCAGCAGCAGCAGCCGGCGGGCCCGCAGCAGCAGCAGCAGTCGCAGCAAGGGTCGCTCGCGAGCCACCGTCCCTACGCGACCTACGCCTGAGCCCGCCCCGTCATCTTTCTCGCCTTCTCCGCCTTTCACGACACGGACACTCAGTACACGAACCCACCTCTCCCGCTCGGGCGAGCGCGCCGCCGCGCCGTTACCCCTCGCACCGACCTCTCCTTCCCTCCTCGCCTTGCCCGGCCTCGCACCGCATCTTCCGCCTCTCTCTCTCTCCCAGCACCATGAGTCATCAGTGGACACTCGCCTCGAGCTCTCCCTCTCTCTCCCCTTTTCGTTCGCGCCCTAGTCGTCCCTCTTCTCCCTCTTTCCGCCGTTCTCAGTTTCGCAGGTTCCCGGTTCTCTTCTTTTGCGTAGCAGCCCTTTTCTCTTTCCTTTTTGACGTTCTGCGCAACGCATTCTTGGCCCTCTCCCGAGGAACGCCATGCGAGAGAAAAGACGAGACGCTCCCTTTGTGAGGCACGCGCTTTCTCTGCCTTCGTCGTCGTCCTCGACGAGCTGCGCATCAGCACCAATCGCGCCTCGAGCTGTACGAGCTTGCGACTACGCGCTCGTCTACTGCACGGCTGCGGTCGCCCTCCCCATCGTCCCGCCCCTCGCCTCCCGCCGCCTCGCCTGGTGGTCGCCTCCCGCGTCTTCGCCCCTCGACCATGGCGTCGCCGCCACCGCCACAAGCAGCAGCGCACTCGCCCAGCGGTGACCTGCACACCCAGTCGCTGTCCTTCTCCCTCGACGCGCTCGACGCGCTGTCGTCCGCCCAGCTCGCCCTCGTCCAGTTCCACCCGCGCGCCGACGACGCGCAAACAGCGCGAGCGAGGGCGCTGTTCGTCCGCCGCCGCATGGCGTGGCTCGAGCAGGAGATGGACCGTGCGACCGCTCGGGAGCAGGCGGCCGTGACGGCGGCGGCCGAGCGCGAGCTGGACAGGTCGAGGTCGCCGTTCGCGAGGGTCAAGGAGGAGCAGGACGAGAGCCTCGTCGAGCTGCAGCCCGAGGCGGGTCGCTCGACAAGCGTGTCGACGAGCAGCCCGGCGGCGCAGGACGAGTCGTCTGTGGGAGCGGCCAAGAGGGAAGGCGGGCAGAAGGAGCGCGAGGTTCAACACCGCCAGCTCGACGCGCCTCGACCACCTCCACGTGTGCTCTCGCCGTCAGCGACGCCGACACCCACCGGTGCGACCGCGAGCACTTCAGCTCGCGCCATCGGCCGCGTGCCTCGGGCCGCGGCCACCACGACGAGCACGACCGTCGACCCTCGCCGTCGCCCTCGTCCACCCGCGCCAGCACCAGCACCAGTGCCCGCCACAGCTGTCGTCGTCAAGCGCGAGGTCGAGGAGATTTCGCTGCTCGACGACGACGACGACGAGCGCGAAGGTCGGCCGTCCGCCCCTCCTCGAGCGCAAGGCCTGTCGCCGCCGACCAAGCGGTCGGGCGACGTCGCCGCAGCAGCAGGCGCGCGCCCGAGCAAAGCTCCACGTCGTGCGCTCTCGGCCGCATCGCCGCCGCTTCCGCCGACTGCCGAGCGGCTCAAGGCCATGCCCTCGTTCCGCCGCAAAGGCCAGATGTCGCCGCCCCTCGTCGAGCTGTCGACTCGAGGCGGCCTCGTCCCTACGCCTACCCCCACGCCTACCCCTCCTCCTGCCCCGACCTTCCTCCCCCACTCCCTCAACTCGACCTCGCTCGCCCGCCCCGTCGCCTCCACCGACCACTCTTCCTTCGCCCCGCCACCGCCTTCCTCCTCCCGTATCCCTATCCCTCGCGGCATTCAAGCTGCCCTACGAGCCGGTCGAGCGCCGCTCCAGAGCGACTGGGAGTTCGAGCACTGGCTCCACCCGCCGTCGCCGTTCCCGACTTTGTCGCCCTCGGCGCACCCGCCGTCGAGCAAGGCGCGGCCGACCCGATCGCGCCCGCCCTCGCGAGGCGCATGTACACCGTGCGGGTGCACGGCCTGTCCGACTACTGCACCGCCGCCCTCGTCTACTACTTCCTGATGCGCAATCAAGGCCGCCTGCGTCCTCGCCCGTTGGCGATCCGCGCCGAGGACGGCCCGCGTTGTCTCGAGGGCGCCTGTCAAGCTCGTCACCCCGTCTTCTTCTTCGCGTTCGGCTCGCTCGAGGCCGCCGAGCTCATCGTCACGGACAACGACCGGCGACTTTTGCCCAACATGGACCAGTACGAGCCGCGCCAGATCTCGATCGAGCTCGTGCGCGACGACGTGTCGGCCGACGCGACGTGGGAGGCGCGACGAGCGAGCGAGGCAAAGGAGCTCGAGGTCGGCTGGCGGTGGGGCGAGCTGAGCGATGAGGCGCGGTGGTACTGGGCCAGGCGGGCCGACCTGCCGCCGTCGCCCGTCTGCCCTCGCTTCGAGGACGTCGAGATCAAGGGTCGCCCTGTGTCGGACGAGTACTCGGACGAGGCCGACCGCATCGACGCCGAGGCGACCGGCAAGTCAACTGTGCGCGCACAGGCCCACCTCCTGTCGCTCAAGAAGGACCTGTACAACTCGTGTCGCCAGCTGTGGCGGGCGTGGCTCGCTCTCGGACCGACAGAGCAGGCCGCCGTGCGCGCTCGAGGCAAGAGGCCGCCAGCCTGGCCCGTCTGGCCTTCGCACTGCGAGGCCTGGCTCTTCGAGTCTGAGCGTGCGGCGCGACAGGCCGAGCAGCAGGCCGGCAGAGAAGCCCCAGTCGACTTGGCCAAGGTCGCGGTCGACGGCGCGAGGCTCTGAACGGGCGTCGTCGTCGTCGCCGTCGTCGTCGTCGTCGTCGAGTCGCCCTTGAAGGCCCGGGCGCTCCCCCCTCCCTTGTCTGTTACCCCCTCTTGAGCTAGTTCTCTCTCTCTCCTTTTGTGCAGTAGCTCCCCCTGTTGTGCAGTATTTTGCATCGCCGAGCGATTTCCTCAGACTGGCACGGACTGGCCCGCTCGAGCGGGTGAGAGATATCGCGTCGCCCGCTCCTCCCTCTCGAACTCGCTTCGCTCTTCGTCCACCTCTACCAGTACCTTTGCTCCCCAGCTCGAACTCGCAAAGGTGAGCTCAGCTACCTGTACAGCGTCCCTGCGGCTTCCACGAGGCGTCCTCGTCACCCTCGCACCCTCCCCCACCTCGTCACCCTCGCCCGCCTCTCCTCCGCTCCCACCTCGACCAGCGCGGCCCGAGACTTGTCGCACGAGACTTGAGGGGCGTTGTTCGGGTGCAAGGTGGTGTGCGCGCGGCATGGAGTGGGCAAACGGCGGCGGGACGGCCGGCGCAGGGTTGCTCGCGGCCGGCGGGCCGGGGCCATCAGCGTCGCAAGGGTGCGGCAGGGGCGCAAAGGCCAGCGAGTCGAGTGTGCAGCATCGGAGCGAGCAGGCCCCACTCCTAGAACGAGCTCTGACACCGCCCTCCTCGCCGGCAACAGCTCTCTCGCCCTCGCCCAGTACACGCGCACCATGCCCGCGACCAACGCCGACACGATCGCCTACCTCCGCTCCCTGTCCTCTATTCGCGAGCGCTGCGGCCGCGTCTTTGCCCTCGCCGAGGCCGGCAAGCTCGACTACTGGACGCTCGACCTCGCGCAGCAGGACAAGATCGTCGAGTTCGTGTGCGGCCTCATCTCGCGCGACTTTGGCGACGACTACGCCTCGATCCCGCCCCACGGCCGGTGGCGCCACTTTGTCGGCGGCCGCGTCGACCCGCTCCTGAGCGCGTGGGACGAGGCCGCCGTCGACCCGCTCGAGAAGGCGCGCCGGCTCGTCGACCTCATGGTGACGAGCGTCCTCCTCGACGCCGGCGCCGGCAACGACTGGAAGTTTGCGCCCAAGGACGGCGGCGACAAGATCGGGAGGAGCGAGGGCCTCGCCGTCGGCTCGCTCGAGATGTTCGAGGCCGGCATGTTCAGCGGCGGCGAGTCGCAGCCGTGCCAAGTCGACGGTGCGCCCACTTTTCTCCGGCTCTCTCTCTCTCTCTCTCTCTGGTCCACGAACCTGACGAGCGACTTTCTCTGCAGCCGTCGGCCTGTCCAAGATCACGACCGACGAGATCGCCAAGGCGCTCCAGGTGTCCGACTCGAACCCGATGACGGGCATCGACGGCCGCGCCCAGCTCCTCGTCCGCCTCGGCAGCGTCCTGTCCGACCCGTCCAACGCGGTCTACTTCACGCAAAAGGGCTCGTCGCGCCCGGGCCACCTCGTCGACTACCTCCTCGCGCACTCGACCTCGCAGGCCGTCCCGTCGGCCGTGCTCGGCAACAAGGTCGCCGTCCAGATGGACACGCTGTGGGACGTCATCATCTCGGGCCTGAGCGGCGTGTGGCCCGCCGCGAGGAGCAAGATTGACGGCGTGAGCCTCGGCGACGTGTGGCCCGTCGAGTGCCTCGCCAAGCAGGACGGCGTCGAGCAGTTTGGCGACCTCGTCAGCTTCCACAAGCTCAGCCAGTGGCTCACCTACTCGCTCATCGAGGTGTGCGTCCAACCTCTCACTTTCTCCTGCGGCTCGTGCCCATTGTTGCCCTCGATCGTCGGGACCTTCTCGAACTGACAAAGTCGCATCTCTGCAGCATGGAGACGCTCCTCGCGTGGCAGTTCATCGGCAAGGAGCAGATGACGGGCCTGCCCGAGTACCGCAACGGTGCGTCCTCTCTCATCATCTCTTTCCTCTTCGCTCGTCGCCGGTCCTGATCCTCCTTGCCCTCGCCTTTTTCCCGCAGGCGGCCTCCTCATCGACTTTGACCTCCTCGTCCCCAACATCCCCGCCATGCTCACCTCGTTCTCCCTCCCCGTCCCCTCCTCCCCGTCCGACTACCCGACCCTCCTCGAGCTCCCCCCCTTCGACGCTTCGCACTCGGCCATGGTCGAGATGCGGTCCGTCACCATCTGCATGCTCGACCGCATCCGGTCGGGCATCAACGCGCGCCTCGGCGTCGAGCTCAGCCTGCCCCAGGTCCTCGAGAGCTCGACGTGGAAGGGCGGGCGCGAGATCGCCAAGAAGCTCAGGCCCGAGACGTCGGGCCCGCCGTTCCGGTACATCGCGACGGGCGACGTCTTCTGAGCCGTGGCGAGGTGCTTCTCCTTTGTGTAGACTCGGGCGCGGCGGGGCTGTACTGGCAACTAGATGTTCTCGCTCGGACCCTCTCTCTCTCTCGGCTCGTCGCGAGAAAAGCACTCTCGTCTCGCACTCGCATCTTTCGCTCTGCGGGCTCGCAGCTCTGCGCAGCTCTCGGTTCGAGACGGCACAATAACGATGACATTGCGAAGGAACGGAGGGCTAGAGAGTGTGTTCGTCGCCGACGCTGCTTACGTGGCGCTGCTGCGGAGCCGGTACCGGAGCTTGTCGAGGTTCGGAGTCGGGCGCGGCGGGCTCAGAGGCGGCTCTGCGCAAAGGAGGGTGTGTCGGTGAGTACGAGAACCGGTATCGCGACCGAGAGAAAAGAGGGCGCACCTCGCTTTTCGCCCTCCGTGTCCGACTTGAGGCGAAGGCGCTCGACGATTTCGGCGAGCTCCTGCGCCTTGTCCGTGCCCGACGGCTCGCCGATCATGCGCGGCTCGGGTTCCGACTCTGAGCTCTCGTCGATCGGGAGGCGCGACGTCGAGGGGGCCTTCTTCGAGGGCGTGACGGGGGCCTTCCTCGGTGACGACGACGGCGACGGCTGCACTTTGGTAGCGCTCTTGCGCGGCGTGCGGGTCGGGGTGACGACGACGTCCGACTCGTCGTCGGTCGACGGCAGGACGTGGACGTCGCCCTCGTCGCTCGACGGCTCGACGCGCTGCTTGCCCTTGCTCTTGCTCTTGCTCTTGGACGGCGTCGAGATGGACGACGAGCTCTGCGGGAACGAGCGCTCGCCCCGGACGTGCTCGATCCAGGTGACCGTGCGACCTTGAGCGTCGTACGCCGAGCGGAGCTGGATGCGCTCGTGCTGCGCCGCGCCCGTGCGGCGCTGCGCCGTCTGGTGCGTCAAGATGACGGCCGTCTCGGGGTCGAGGTCGCACTTGGGGAGCCGGTCGAGCAGGTTCCTGTACTCCTTGCGGAACTGGTCGGTTACGGTGCGCGGCGGCGCGGTCGTCTTGGGCGTGGCGGCGTTGATCTTGGCGCCCGACGGAGTGCGGGGTGTGGAGCGAGGCGAAGAGTGCATGGCGATAGCGGACTGCGGGCGTACGCAGGTGCTCGTCAGGGCTCGTACAGACTCGTAGCGGCTGCGTGCGGCCGCAAGAGCGCCACACCGCCGCCTGTGCGCGAGGAGGGCGGGGAGAGACGGACGCGACTCGCGTCGCGCCGACGATGGAGGAGAGCGGACGCACCTGACGAGCGTTGCGAGCGAGAGGTCGAGGCTCTGCTCAGGGAGAGTCGTTTCGCGATGCTCTCTGCGTCGCAGTGGGCGCAGGGACGAGCCGAGGACGGGACGAGGAGAGAAGCGAGGACGAGCGGGAGGAGACGAGACGCGCTTCGAGAGCTCGCTCCCGACTTTCGACCGGTCTTTCAAGCCTCGCGCCTGCAGCATTACCTGCGCGATCCGGAGGCTGGTCCCGCTGACCACGAACTGAGCTTTCGACGAGAGACGGGCGACGGCGCCAACTGCGGAGAGGCGGACGCGGTCGACCTTTCGGCAGTCTCTCTCGCTCGCCGCATGGTCCTTCTGCGTAGCTTGCTCGCAAAGTTCACTTCTCGAAAGCCTGGGCGAAGCTCTTTGCTCGACTGGCAGGCTCGTAGCGAGAAGAAAGCTTTCATCACTTGGAAGAGTCGTCGAGGCGACGACTGCCCGCCAACACCTTGCAGAGCTGCTCTCGAGGTTCGCAGCGTCTCCCACACTACTCTCAGAGACTGTACACAGACAGTCGAGCACTCGAGAGCTTTCAGCAGAGAGCACACTCGGCCGACCGCTCTCTGAAGATCCCGCCACGCTTCGACGGCGGCTCAGGCTGCCTCGCTCGGACGGGAACGATGCTGACGGGCACGGTATGCCATTACTGAGGTTGGGGAGACGACAAAGGCGGGAAAGAGGAGCGAGGAAGGGGACGAGGAGGGGGGAATGCAGGAGCGGGCTCGAGCGGCGACGACGACGCGAGGTGGGCGGCACGAGCGCTCATGTGCGCCGGGCGCGAGGCATGTCCTCGTCCTCCGAGTCCTGGTCCGGCTCGGGGTCGACCATGGGCGAGTCCAGGCGAGTGCCGCGGCGGGCCTTCGAGGGCGACGACGGAGGGGTGGCCCTCGGCGGGCGAGGCGACGACGAGCCGGCGGCGGCCTTGCTCGCCTTGCGGCGAGGCGTGGTGCGCTCGGGCCCAGAGCTGCTGCTGCGCGAGGTGGCCATCTTGTCGTCATCGTCGTCGTCGCTGCTGAGCGCGTTTTGGCCCTTGCCGACTTGCGCCGGGGCCTCGCTCGAACCCGGCTCGGCCTCGCCGCTCGCCTGTGCCACCCAGAACTCGGCGTCGCCGTCGTTCTTGTCTCGAACAAGGAGGCGGACCGTCTCCTGGCGACCTTCCGACGTGTAGAGGTCGGCGCCGCGGTAGATGCGGACACCGCCTGGGGCAGGGTCGCACCCGGGGAGCTCCACGGGCAAGCCCGAGTCGAACTGGGCTTTGAGGCCCTCGAAAGTGGCGCGCATGGCCGGGTCGGGCTGGCGCGGATTGAGCCTCGTCGGCGTGCGCGGCGTGCGAGGGGTTGGCGGCATTCGAGCGTCGGGAAGAGGGGAGCTGTGGACCGAGGAGTCGGGTGCGTTAGGTTCTGCGGCTCTGGAAAGCGTCTCTATAGGTGCCGGGGAAGGCCCAGTAGAGTGCCTCACGGACAGGACGCTGTGCGGGCAGTCGAGACCGAGGGAAAGGGGAGAGAGCGTGAGCGCACCTTGAGGAAGACGAGGAGGGGCGGCGCTCGGTGGGCGTGACGTCGATTCGACTCGAGGTAGACGCGGGTAGATGTAGCAGGCTCGTGTGAGGTGCGGTAGTGAGGGCGAGTGTGGGGAGAGAGCGAAAGAGAGGAAGCATGCGAAGAGCGGGAAGGCGACCGTCTCTCGAAGCTGCAGTGCGGCATTGCGTGGCTCGAGCGGCCGCAAGGGCGCGTCGTTACGATCAATGATTCCTCTCTTGCCTCTCAGAGCTCTCGGGCTGAGGCGTGAGACGAGGGAGAGCCGACCGCGTCGGGCGAGAAGGGCGTTCGAGACGGTCGAGAGCGGCACAGACGCTTTCCGGCTCTCGTACTATGCTCAGAGCGACACCGAGGCACCCATCTCGACGCGGCCGAGCCTCTCGCACGAGTCCGTCCTCGCCACGTCGCTCGCGCAGGAGGAAAATCGTCCGCGGCTCCGTTTCAGCACACCTTGTGGCTCTCGCCCCGGACGGCCTTGCGGATGCTCAGGAACGTCGAAAGGACCATGACGAGCACGCCAAAGAGGGCGCAGGCCCACGCCGCGAGGCGCTGTGGCGCGAGCTGGCGGCCGCTGCCCGAGAGGCGGAGGAAGCAGGCTGCGGCTGCGTGCGAGGGGACGGCGGTCGGGTCAGGGAGGCGTGCGAGATGAGGGAGAAAGCGGGAGGTAGACGTACGGAAGAGGTACGCGAGCGCCGTCGCCGAGAAGCCGCCGGCGAGCTCGAGGATGAACCCGAGGTCGCACGTGATGAGCGAGACTGTGTGCGCTCAAGCCCGGTCAGTACGAGACTGCTGCAAGAGAGGGAGAGGAAAGAGACGGCGACGCACCGACGAGAGCCGAAAGGACGAGCGCCGTCGTGATGAGGACGTGGCGCTTCTTGTTGAACTCGCGCTCGTCGGGCCAGAAGTACGTCTCGGCGACCTCGCGGCACACGAACGCCTCGAGCGGCAGCGTTGAGAACATGTTGGCGCCGAACTATGTAGACGAGGAAGGTCGAGTGAGCTCGACTGGAGAGGGGAGGTGAGACGCGAGAGAGAGGGGGGACGCACGCAGAGCCGGGCAATGTTGATCAACATGTCGTCCTCGCTAAAGTTGTTGAGGATGTTGCCCTGGGTGCGGTCGGTAAAGACGAGGAACCCGGACGTCGACATGCACAGGCACGCGATGACCGAGATCGTCGTCGAGACGTGCGTGACCTGGGCGAAGCGGTCGAGGGTCGGCGTGCGCAGCGAGCCATAGATGAGGAGCGAGTTGTGGTGGCACTGCGTCGATGAGAACGAGGGTCAGGTCGAGGCTCGACGAGAGGAGGCGAGAGACAGGGGACGCACGACAAAGGCGAACGAGATGACGCCGATGGCCTCGAACAAGCCGCTCTCGAGGAGCGTCCACCGCTTTTCCGGGTCGCCCTTGAGCTCCTCGGCGACGCCTGGACCTCGAACGCCGACGCTCACGACGATAAAGACCATGCTGCGGGACGGGAAGACGTCGGCGCGAGGAAAACGAGAGAGAGAGGGAGAGGCGCGAGGACGCACCTGACGAGGGCGAGCGCCGAGGCGTGCGAGAGCTTCTCGATGTCGCGATACAGCGACAACGGGAACGAGATGCCGAGCGTCAGGATGATGGTGACGACTGGGCGCGAGATGAAGAAGGCCACGACCGGCGAGGCGTCGGGCCCGACCAGCGACAGCAGGACGCGCGGGATCGTGTCGCCGATGATGACGCAGAAGGCGCACATGCCGCCAAACGCGAACGAGAACTGGAAGAACGAGGCTGCGGCGCGACCTGCGCGGCCGAAGCAGGAGTCGAGAATGTCGATGTCTGCGTGCGGGACGAGCGTCAGTCGTGCTGATTCGAGAACGAGACCGGCTCGGGCTAGAGGTAGTGAATGGTGACCAGGGCGGGGAGAGGAGACCGGAGCCGAGCGCGGGAGGGAAAGAGGAGGAGGAAAGGAGGTCGAGGGGACGCACAGGTTCTTCGGCCCGACATCTTGGCATTGAGGACGATGAGGCGGATGGTCCAGTCGGTGACGATACCGACAATGACGAGGAGGACGATGCCCGCGAAGAAGCCGGCTTCTCGCAGGGCGTACGGGAGGCCTGCAGCGAGGGAGGCGCAGACGCGGTCAGTGCGAGGTCCGCCCTGGAAGGCTCAGGCGAGAGAGAAGCTGGGCGTACCGATGATGCCCGCACCGAGGATGCTGTTGCTCAGGTTGGACACGCCCGCCCACACGCCGCCGCCTCGGGTGAGCCACTCTGGCGGCTCGGCCTCCTCTCCCTCGCGCTCGAGCTCCTTGAGGCGCCGCTCCTCGCCGCGCAGGTCGAGGCTGGCGCGTCGCAGGCCCTTGTACGCGATACCCTCCATGAGCGGGCGGTCGCCGCCGTCCCAGTCGCGGTCGTCGTAGTCCTCCGAGTCGTCGGGGCCGTGCTGCGGGTAGTGCGACGAGCCCGAGTAGGTCGACGAGCTGCCGCCGGCTGGAGGGTACTGCGAGGCTTGAGCATAGGTGCTCGTCGAGGCGATCGGCCCGTCGTCGTCGCTGTCGCTGTAGCGGAAGAGGGACGAGGTGGGGGGAAGGTTGGCCGACGACGAGGACGAGGGATCGGCGACGGGGCCGCGTGCTGGCGAGGCTGGCGGTGGCGGGATGGCGGTCGAGGCTGTAGATACGACTGGTGGGGTGCTGACCGGGCTCGGTGCGGGCGAGGCGTCGACGTCGAACCGGACGACGGGTGCGCGAGGCGTCGGGGCGAGGAGCGGCTCGTCCATGAGCGGGCGCAGGTGTGGGATCGCTGCTGCTGGTGCTGGCTAGTCGGTTGGCTGGAGCTCTGGGCGCAGCTTGTGCACGCTGGCAGGCGGTGAGGAGGGAGAAGCGAACGGACGACACGCGACAGTCTCATCATCTCTCCAAGCACACGCCTCGTCGCTTTCGCCGCTAGAGCGCTCGTACAGCTTGCAGTGCTCCCTTGTACTGTGCGAGGACGCGTTCGCGCTCGAACGCGCGCTCGACTCGCTCTGTCGCACCCGCTTCCTCTCTACACCGCTTGGGCAGCTTTCGACGAGCTTGCTGGCTGCGTGACGCCATCGTACGCTGCTGAGAGAGGCTGCACAGCTCGCACAACGTGCAGAAGCTGGTCCGCGGAGGGCGCAGGTTGACCTTTGACCGCGACGACCTCGGGCGCTCGCCAGGCTCGCCTCTCTCTTCCCTTCCCCTCCCTCACCACCTCACAACTCGCTCGATTCGCCTCCTTCAAGCGTCGAGACTGCCTCAAAGTACCCTCTCGTCACCCTCGACCACAGTGAGCCCCTCCTTCTTTCCCTCGTCTGGCTCCAGGCAACGTCGTCCGGGCCGCTCACTCCTTTCCCACCTCTTTGCGCAGCCACCCTTCTACAAGCACCACCAAGATGACCAAGTGTGCGTCCCGTCGTCCTGCCCCTCCCTCCCTCTTGCGCCACCCTTGCACCGTCGCGCTGACCTCGTCTCCTCGCCCCCCGTCCGTCCTCCTCGCTCGCCCCTCTCGCCGGCCCGGTCCTCGTCCGCACCTCCTCTCGCTCCCCCGCAATCTATCTCGCGACGCGCAACCTGTCTCGGATCGAGCACACGCAGCCGCCAAGTCCAAGTCGTCGTCGCCGTCGAGCAGCAAGAGCGGCAAGTGCACTTGGCCCGAGTTCGTCTCGCGCCGCACCGCCGAGCTCAAAGAGCAGAATCCCGACCAAGTGCGTCCGTTTTTCTCTCCACCAGCTCCACCGCTCGAGAGCGCTGACGTCCTCTGCCTTGTCCCCCTCTCCCTCTCCCTTCCCGCGCGCCCTCGCACCGGCCCCTCCTTCCGACCTTCTCAACTCGCCAACGCCCCGCCGACCCGCACAACGCGCTCCATCGCCGCACACGTCGACGCAATGACCGCCTGCAGGAGGCCGCCGACCGCAAGAAGCAGATCTCGGCTGAATGGAAGGTGCGCTGCCCTCGTTCTTCCCCTCTCGCCCGGCTCGTCGGCCTCGACTGACTCGCCTCGCCGCCCCGCAGGTGAGCGACGAGAACCCCAAGAACGACTGAGGCCCTCCCGATTCCGTCGCCCTCGCTCGTCTCCCTCGCCCGCCTCGCTCGCCTTCTTCCCCTTTCCCCTTCCCTCGCTTGTCCGTCTTTGTCTCCCGCGTTCCCTCTCCTTTCAGTAGCGCAACTCTGGATCTGCAACGTCTCTGTCTGTGCCCCTCCTTGTCCCATTCGAGCGAGAAGAGAGAGAGAGAGAGAGACCTTGAGAGCGAAAGAGAGGCTGCCGTTGCACGGACCGCTTCCTCAGAGCCACACGACGACGCCGGGCCTGCCGACGTCTTGCCGCCTCGCAACCTCCTTGAGCTCCCTCCCATCTGCGCCCACCCGCTCCATGATCACGACCTCGTCCGAGTCGTGCGCCGCCACGGCGAGGTACCGCCCCTTATCGACCGCCGCGTCCCCCCTCCCTTGCCGCGTCACCGACTCGCTGCACAAGCTCAAGTGCCTCGGTGCCCTCCCGCCACACTCGACGAGCCGCCTGCTCCCCTCGTCGATGCGCCCATCGTCCGCGACCGCAAAGACGGCGAGCAGGTCCTGCGGGCCGTCGCGCGAGCCGTGAAGCGGATCGTGCCCCTCTGCGCGGTTCGACGCGATGAGGGTGCGGCCGTCGGGCGTGAGGACGAGCTCGGCGGCGTGCCAGGTCGCGAAGGAGGGCTGGTGCGGGAAGGGCGAGGACGGGAGAAGCGAGATGCGCGATTGGAGGAGGGTGAAGGTCGGGAGGGCGGTTGGCGCGGATGCGGATGCGAGTGCGGGCGCGCGTGTGGCGGGATATGTGACGAGGAGGACCGAGAGCGAGTTGGACAGCTCGTTGAGGACGTAGAGGAGCGCCTCGTCGCCGCCGCCGCCGCCGCTCGAGCCGCTCTTGCGCACAGGCGAGAAAAGGACGTGACGCGGCCCGTCGCCCGCCTCGAGGTGGATCGCGTCGTACTCCTCGAGTGCCGCCGACGCCGGCGCACCAGGCTGCGCGAGCGCCTCGGGCTTGATCTTGAACAGGCGCAGGTCGTCCGTGCCGAGGTCGGGAACGACGACGACGCGGCCGAGCGGGTCGACGTGCGCGCCGTGCGGGTGCGGCGACTCTTGCCGAGAGTCGACGGGCCCGAGAGCGCGGCCGGGAAGGACGTCGAAGCTGGACGCGCCGGTAAAGGTACCGTCGGCCTGGAGGGGGACGACGCTCAAGGACGGGCCCTTGTAGTTGGCCGTGACGAGGAGGTGCGGCTTGGTCGACGTGACGAGGCCCGTGTGGCACGCCCAGAGACCGCCTGAGTCGCGAGGTTGGTCGTGAGGAAAAGGCCGGTTGAGGGACGAGTGGAAGGAAGAGGACGCACCGGTCGAGGCTTGAGGTCCAGCGTCGTCCTCGCGCAAGCCGTCAGACCCGACGGCGAGCGTCTTGATCTCGCCTTCGGGCTCGCTCCACTCGCTCGTCGTGTACAGCTTCGAGCCTGCGAAGTGGAGGAGAGAGCAAGGTCAGCTCGTGCGGGCTCTGTGAGGGAGCGCAGGGGGCGTGGGACGCACCGTCTTGGGAGAAGGTGAGCCAGGTAGGTGCCCGGCCGTGCTGCAAGCTGTCGGTGACGACGAGGCGGTCTTGCGGCTCGTCCTGCGTCGGGTCGAACGAGAGGGTGAAGACGCTGCGGTCGGCGTAGCCGCCGGTGTAGAGGGTGTAGGGCGACGGCATCTGTCTATCGAGTCTATTGGGAGGCGGATCTAGTCGGCGAGGTGAGCGCGAGAGAGAGAAGGAGTCGAGGTGGAGCGAGAGAAGGCGAGCGGACCGTCACCGCCGACCGGTTTCAAATGCACCGGCGTCGCGCTCAGGCTCCTCTCACTCTCGTGAAGACGAAGCAGAGAGAACAGTTCAAGCGGCACACGTTGCAACTCTCGACGCTCGGCCCCCCTCAGCCCTCGACCTCCTTGAACAACGTCCGCAGCGAGTACAGGGACTCGTCCCGGCGCGTCTGCAGGTACGCCTCCTCGCTCGCGCGCACCGCGTCGTACTCGACCGCCTCGACGACCGTGCCCTCGAGCCGTACGCCGACGCGGTTGGCGGCGGCCATGACGGCGCGCGCGTCGCCGAGGCCGAAACGGCGGGTCCACTGGGGCAGGATCCATCGGCGCTCGAAGCGGAACGTGCCGTCGATGACGTCGCGGCGGTTGGGGAACAGGGAGGGACGCGGGTACGAATAGAAGCTGACCGAGTCGAGAACGAGGTACTCGAGTTGGCGAGACGGACCGCCTCGCGCGAAGACGAAGTTGCGGAGCTTGTCGGCGACGAGAGTGGTGCCCGGCTCGAGGGTGAGGGTGCGCAGGCGAGCTTCGTGCGACGAGAGGATGGGGAACAGCTCGCACGTCGGCGAGAACGTGCCCTTGCCGAGCGTGAGCTCCCGGAGGTGGACGAAGCGCGCGAGGTCGGCCTCGACGTTGACCGGATCGACCTCTTCCTCGCCCTCGAGCAGCTCTTCGCAGTAGTGGATCGTGAGGACCTTGAGTGCGACTGGGCACGCCTGGAGCAACGACCCGAGGTCGACGCCGCCGCGGAGAGTGATCTCGAGGCGGGTCAACTGCGCAAAGTCGGCGATGAAGACGGCAGCCGCCGGCGTCGTGAGGCTCTCGCCGGCGGACAGCGACAGGTTGGTGACAGGCGACGGCCCAGTCACGGGCGGTCGGTACGTCTGGACCGCGCCGAATGCTTCGCCCTCGTGCCACATGCAGTCGATGACGAGATCGCGCAGAGCAGGGAATCGACGCAGACGGGCGAAGTGACCGTACGACGGGGACGTTTCTGAATATGTCCCGAACTCGTAGAGCGAGATCTCCTTGAGCTTGAGGAGGTCGAGCGGCGGGGCTGGCAGAGACGACAGGAGGACGGGCATGGCGCTCGGGCCGTGACAGAAAAGGCGCTCGAGGCCGCGACAGCGGCGCAAGATCAACGCCATCGACGCAAAGATCCTTTCTGACGCGACTGCGTCCTTGGTTCGGCTCGGGACCCCGATGTGGTACAGCTCGAGGTCGCGCACGCTCTCGGCGACGCCCTTGATGCCGACGAACCACCATGAGAGCGGGTCGGGCCGGCTGACCAGGCTCGCAAAGGTGTGCAGGCGCTCTGCCGAAGAGATGAAAGTCGAGCGAAAGTTGTGACGGCGGACGTCGGGCACGACGGCGGTGCACAGGTGACGCTTGCCGGCTCGGTCGCGCGCAAGGAACGACCAGATGCGGCGGACGAGCTCGATGGGCAGGTCGTTGAAGGTCTGCGAGAGTGCATGGAGGACGAGTCAGCCGTCGTGGTCGGTGTGGGGCGTATAGGGGGACGAGGGGGGAGAGGGACGCTGAGGAGGAGGGAGGGAGGGTGGATGAGAGAGGAGGAGAGGACGTGGACGCACTGCCATCTCGTAGAAGAAGCTCTGATGGACCTCGACAGGACCTGGCAGACGGCGCACGACCGATGGAACGATGGCTCGACCGAGATGATGAACCGAGATGATGAAGACGCGAGGCGACACCAGGCGGGCGAGGCGGACGACAGGGATGACGGCGCGTGTACCGCACGGGTAGAAGAAGCACGAGTGACTGAGTGGCAGCTAGTGCGCGCGAGAGGTGCGTGGGAGGAGGGAGAGAGGGAGGCGAAGACGAGTCGAGCGAGCGAAGCGACCTCAACCTCGCCAGCGGGTGGTTCGCTGTAGCTGGCTAGAGCTGTACGACGTCTGCCTCTGCGCATCGCAGCCCACGCCGCTCCCTCAGACGCGACGACGAGGTCTCTTTCTCTCCCTCGAGCCGCCTCATCGACTCGCGCGCCTCTCTTCCTCCGTCATCACGCTCAACCATGGCTCCCCTCGACCTGAGCTCCGACAAGCTCGACAGCTACAAGCAGCAGGCGCTCGACGAGTTCAGCAAGCAGGCGCGTCCCCCTCTCGCCTTCCCCCCTTCCGCCTCTCGTCCTCGTCGCTGACCTCCCCCCCGCCTGTGACGACCTCGCAGACCAAGTCGCTCAACGGCCGTGCGAGCCGGTGAGCGTGCACCCTGGACACCCTCGCCGCCAAGCAGAGCTGACCCCTCGTGTGCACCGCAGCCTCCACTCGCGCTACCTCGAGCCGGCAGTCGACTCGCTCTCGAAACGCGCCCAAGGTCACCCGGTTCGCGCCTCGTTCCTCGGCGTGTTCGCGCTCTTTGCGTTCCTCCCCGTCCTGGCGTGGACCGGCTTCGCACTCGGCACGATCCTCGTCGTCGGCGGGACCGCCCTCGTCGTCTCGACCGTCCTCATCTCGTGGGCGCTCGCCACGGCCGGTGCGTCCCAGCTCTCTGCTCAGGGTACCTCTGCATGAGCTGACATTGTGCCCTGTCTCCCGCAGGCCTCGTCCTTTTCGGCGTCCTGTGCTTCGCCGCCTTCTTCTCCATCCTCGCGACCCTCTCGCTCGGCGCGAGCTACGCCGTGTACCGCTTCTACGCGATCCTCAAGCAGTCCGAGACGCTCCCGGACGCCATTCAGGTGCGTCCCTTTCTCGCCTGAACGACCTCGCACGGCGCGGTCAGAGCGAGACGCTCACCCTCCTCTCCTTTCGCGATCCGGACGTCTGCAGGACTTCCAGGACGAGGCGGCCGCGCTCCTCCTCCCCGGCAGCTACCAGGACGGCGAGTCGTCGAACCGGGTGCGCTTCAACGGCGTTGTCAAGAAGGAGGACGGCGAGGGCGCGAGCCTGAACGACCTCAAGGACGACGTCAAGGACGACCTCAAGTCGGCTGGCGCCTGAGCCCGCGCGAGTGCTCCTGCTCCGTGCATCTCTTCCTTCTGTAGCTTCCCTTTCCCTTGCCTGTCGTCGCCGTGCAACTCGAGCAGTGCTTGTCTCGCCTTTCTCGTCTCGGCCCGCGAGCAAGCGCGCCGGCCAGTTGTCATCTCGCCCGAGGACGTCGGCTCCGTTCGCCTCGCTCTCTCTCATTCCACCCACATCGACGCAGCTCCCTGCTCTGCCCTGGACCTCGCGCGAACCTAGCACACACGCGCGCCGCCTACCCACAGCCGCACCACGTCGCTCCTCCTCCCCATACTCACCGACTGCCGCCCCGACTCGACCGCTACCATGCCGCTGCGCCTCCTCACCTCTGGCTACGGCGGCGACGTCGACATCCTCACGTTCGACCCGGCCGCCGGCACCCTCGCCAAGTCGCACACGGCCAAGCTCGACGCCGCGCCGACCTGGTCCAGCCTGCACCCAACCCGGCCCCTCGTCTACACGGGCGCCGAGTTTGCCGAGCCCGATGGCCTCGTGCACGCCTTCTCGTACGACTCGCACGCCGGCACGCTCGCCCCGCTCGGCGGCACGGCCAAGGTCGGCGCCGGACCCGTCCACTTTGCCCTTTCGCGCGACGGCCGCCACCTGTACTCGGCCAACTACTCGGGCGGGAGCCTGTCGTCGGTCGAGCTCGACAGCGAGGGCAAGTTTGTTGAGGGCTCGGAGGAGACGCAGAAGTTCAAGGGCGTCGGGCCCAACAAGGAGCGCCAGGAGGCTCCGCACGTTCACGGCGTGTGCGTCCTCTCTCTCTCTCTCTCTCGTATGGACGAACAGGCGACTGACCCCTTGCGCCGACAGGTACGTCGACCCGACGGGCAAGTACCTCCTCGCGGCCGACCTCGGCGCAGACGTGATCCGCGTCTTCGACATCTCGTCCGGCAAACCCTCCTCCCTCCCGTCCATCTCGCGCCCGGCCGGCAACGGTCCTCGCCACCTCATCTTCTCGCCGCCCAACGCGCGCTCGAGCCGCACGCTCGTCTACCTGATCGAGGAGATGGGCAACACGGTCGCCGTGCTCGAGGTCGAGTACCCGACTGAGAACCAGCCGGCGCTCCGGCTCAATGCGATCCAGCGCGAGGTCAGCGTGCTCCCTCCCGACGCCAAGGACACGTGCGTCTCTCTCTCTCTCTCTCCGCCCTTCTATCAGCCGCGCAAGGGTCCCTGACACTCCTTCTCACGCCCATGCAGCCCGGGCGACTGGACCGCCGCCGAGCTCGCCCTCTCGCCCTCGGGCACGTTCCTCTACGCGACCAACCGCTGCCCCGTCGACAACCCGGCGCCGTACGACACGCTCACCATCTTCCCCGTCGCGGCCGACGGCTCGCTCCTGCGCGACGACGCCACCTTCTTCAACCTCGAGGGCCGCGGACCGCGCCACTTTGCAGTCAGCGCCGACGGGCGGTACCTCGCTGTGCCTCTCGAGCGCACGAGCGAGTGCGTCGTGTACGAGGTGACGCAGGGCAAGGAGGACGAGCTGAGGGAGGTTGCGAGGCTCAAGGGTGTCGACCAGCCGACGTGCGTCGCGTGGCTGCCGTAGATGCGCGAGGGCGAGCGGGTCGTTCGTCGTCGGCGTGCGGGCTTGCAGTGCAGCAGTACTTGTACGTGCTCGTCGAGCGTTGCGAGAGCCGAGAGAGCGTGCCAGCAGCAGCTCCGAGTCGTCTTTCTTGTGCCACAAGCTCTGTCTCTCTCTCTCGCGCTCTGTCTTCTTGGTCGTCGTCGAGATCAAGAGTCATCGATAACCATGCGAGTCTACAAGAAAGTGTCCAAGGAGGACCACCACCCGCTCGAGCCCGTCCCCCTCCTTCTCCTCGCCGCTCAGTCGAGCCAGTTCTTGCACCACCGCCTGAGCGCCAACGGGCACTCTGCGCCCCTCGCCTCGACCTCGCGATCGACGTCCTTGGCCCACGTCGTGAGGCGGTACATCCTCCACGGGTCCCTCTGCGTCGGCGCGCGGTACGCGACGCCCGGGACGCTCACCGGCAGGCCCGTCCCGGCCGTCAAGGCGCCACCGCCGCTCCCGCTCGACGCGCGCGGCAGGACGAGCTCGCGCGCGCGCAGGGCGTCGAACGCCTCGCGCAGGGCGGGCTTGGACAGGGCGCGCAGGTTGCCGCCGCCGCTGCCGGTCGCGGTCGAGGCGGCGACGCGCCGGACGTGCGACAGGTAGCCGTCGTACACCATCTCAAAGTTGAAGCCGGCTTGGCGGTCTAGCGTCGAGGTGCTGAGGTGCTTGGCCGAGATGAGCGCCGTGAGCTGAGGGATCGAGAGGTCTGTGCGCGAGGGAGCAGCGGAAAGTCAGTGAGGGTCCCGGCAATGGCGAGGGAGAGCAAGAGAGAGAAAGCTCACGCTTGAGAACGTCGTCGCGAGCCTTCTCGTTGGTGCGAGGAGGCGGCTTGAGCATGTCGAACGAGAGTCGAGGAACGCTCTGGCCGACGCCGTACAGGCGCGAGTGCGAGTCGAGGCGGTAGCAGAGGTGCGACTATCGGGCGAGGACATGTCAGGGACTTGGACGATGCGGGTATTGGAGAGAAGGAGAGGGAGGCGCACAAGAGCGGAGCGGAGCTCGGTCGGCACGTTGCCGTGGATCGACCACAGGCGGTTCAGGTACTCGACGACCTTCTTCTCCTTGAGGAAGCGCTGCACGACGAGGAGAGTGTCAGTGACGCCTGTAGGGTACGAGCGAGCGAGAGAGAGAGAAAGAAGTTGGGACGCACCTCGACCTCGCCGTTCCAGCCTCGAGCCCATGCCGCTCCCTCCTCGCCGCGCACGAGCTCCCACGCGCGCACGTCCGCCTTGAGCATCCTCGCCGCCATGGCGCACAGGGCCTCGAAGCTCGAGCGCGGCACGACCTGGAGCACGTGGCTCTGGCACCGCGAGCGGACGCGCTTCTCGAGGAGCGACAGGCAGTCGACGCGAGCCGAGACGCCGACGACGGCGAACCCGCCGCTGCGGCGGTTGCCCTGGACGATGTCGAGGAGGCAGTAGAGGAAGCTCTGGCGAGGGTGGGCCGCGAACAGGTCGAACTCGTCGACGATGAGGACGAGCGGCTTGCTGCTGCTGCTGCTGCTGCTCGCCTTGGCGCCGGTCGACGACGCGGTGGAGGCCGAAGACGGCTCAAACAGGCGAAGGAGGGTCGACATGGTCGCCGAGTTGCTCGACTGCGACAAGGAAGCAGGCTCATCAGTCCCCGGGCGAGACGGCAAAGGAGGATGCGGGAGAGAGAGAGGAAGAGCGGACGCACATAGTCGCCCTCGTCGGCAAAGAGGCCCGCCGTGCCGAAGCCCTGCTCCTGCAGCTGTACGGCGATGCTGCGCAGCGCGAGGCGGTCGGTCGTGTGCACGAGGCCCGACAGGCGCACCGTGACGAACGAGTCTGCGCCGTGGACGTGCGACAGAAGGGCGAGCGTGCGCTCGACGAGCTGCAAAGGGCGGCAGGAAAGTCAGTCTCGGCGCCGAGAGGAAAGGGTGAGGGAGAGGAGGACGGACCATCGTCTTGCCGACGCCGCGAGGCCCGAGGAGCATGACGGCGTTGCCCATGCCCTTGGTGACGCACTCGTCGAGCGCGCTGCGCAGCGGACGCTCCCACTCGTCGAAGCCGCCCTCGAGGTACGGCAGGCCGAGGAGGCCGATGTCGCGCGGCGGGAGCGTGGACACGGCGTCGGGCGCGAGGAACGGGCGGGGGAGGCGTGCGCCGGTGAGGAGGGCGAGCGTCGAGGCGAGGTGGGTGGCGAGGGGAGAGGAGACGTAGGACGAGTCGTTGGCCGGGAGGAAAGAAGGCGTGGCCTGTGCGGCCTGGTGGAAGTGACTCGGCGGCTCGGGCAGGGTGAGGTCGTCGTCGTCCTGCTCGCCCGCGCCGAGCATGTCGTGGTTCTCGAGCTCGTCCTCCTCCATCATGAGCGCCCTCCCCTTGCCCTTCTCGGCGCGCCGCCGCGCCGCCTCGACCTCGTCCTCCTCGACCGCACGCTCCGCCGCCTCCTCGTCCTCGTCCTCCTCCTCGTCGCTGTCGCGCTCGTCCGCCTGGGAGCGCAGCACCTCGGCGCCGTACCCATCGTCCTCCATGTGGAAGCCGACGAGCCGGCTGCGCAGGTTGGCCGGCGCGTTGGCGATCTCGGCGACCGAGGCGGGCAGGCGCTGGATGCGCGACGACGAGCGCGAGGGCGTCACCGTCTTGGACGGCGAGCGGCGTGGCGTCGTCGCCGGCGTGCGGGCGGCGCTCTTGGTCGGCGTCGAGGTGGACGCGACAGGGCCAAAGACGTCCTCGTCGGCATCCGACTCGGCGGCCGCCCGGCGAGTGCGCTTCTTGAGCGGCGTGACGGTCCTCGGCGCCGCCGTAGGCCGCGCCTTGGACGGCGTGTCGGTGACAGGAGCGGAACTGGACGGGAGGGGGAGCACAGCGATGCGCTGCGCGCGCTCGCGAGGCGGCGGCGAGAGGGCGGCCGGGACGTGCTCGTCCTGCGGGTCGTTCGGCACAGCGCGCTCGACCGCCGCTTGCGTCGTGTCCTCGCCCTCCTCCGAGTCGGCGATGACGTGCTCGGGCTCGGGTGCGGGCGAGGGCAGCTGCACCTTGGGCGGCTTGGCCGCGCTCGCCTTGGTCGAGGATGCCGCGCGCTTGGTGGGCGTGCGTTTGACCGGGGTGCGCGGCTTGATCATCAACTCGTCGTCGCTGTCGGTGTCGGTGTCGACGACGCGCTGCCGCTTGGACGGCGAGCCCGCGGGCTTCCTCCTCGAGGGCGTGTCGGTCGGTGCGCCCTCGAGGGGCTTGTAGTGGTCGGGCTTGCCCGAGCTGCGCGTCGAGCGGACAGGCGTCGTCGAGGGCGTGTCGGCCTTGCGCGCCGGCGTGCGCTTGGTCGGGGTCGCGGCGGGCGTCGGCATGCGGGCGGCGGCGGCGGGCGGTGGAGCGCGTGATGCGGTGCAGGGGGAGGGGGAGGTGACGAGAGGGGCCGACTTGTCGGGGCTGGCCGGCGGGCGCGGTGCGGTCTTGCGCGGCGAGGCCTCGGGGTCGCACGGCGTGATGAGAAAGCCCTGGGGCTTGGCGGACTGGCGGCCCTGGAGCGAGGCGACGATGGACATGGCGGTGAGCGTGACGGCGAGGAGAGGAGGAAGGGGCGAGAGCGAGGGAGGTAGGTGCCGAGCCGGGTCGGTGTGCGGGCAGTCGAGGTGGAGGGCAAGCGACCAAGCAGACCGGCTGAAGAGGTGTGAGGGAGTGAAGAGGAGGGAGGTGACCATCCAAACCGGCGGCGCGCCTCGGCGCGAATCCAGATGAGACATTCTCCCTCTCGCCGCGCTCGCTCTCCTCACAGACGGCGGGCTGCTTTGGACAGGTCCCCTCTGTGTCCACATAGCTGCACTCCACCCACCTGGGCCACAGAGAGGCGGCCCGAGAGCGAGAGGGCGCGGCGAGTTGGCCGCCCTCGCTCCGTTCGTCTCTCGGCCTCTCTCTTCACTCTCCACACGTACCGCACTCAGTGCTGCACCGCTGCAATGCCGCCTGCGCTCCTACCTGCGCCCAGTCTGCGCTCCGTGCTCCTGCTCGCCGGCTCGTCCCGCCCGAGCTCGTCGAGCCGGTACCTCGTCCGCCTCTCCTCTCGCGAGCGCGGGGGCGACGAGCTCGCGTCCGCGCGAGATGAGGGCGGACGCCCCTGAGACCACGGTCTCAGCTGCGCGCCTGGACGAGCGCGCTCGCAGATCAGCTCTCTCTGGCGAGCGACCGCGGGCGCAGAGCACGAGCAGCTCGAGAGCTTCGAGGTCTGCTGCGACGAGACGACCGCTGCTCCAGCCGGCGAGCGCTCACGTGAGACTCGTCGACGGACGAGATCGCCGCAGACGCGCGCACGCCTCCCTTCCCTCAACTCGCCTCTCTCCCTCCTCCTCCCACCACCTCGCCCTCTCGACTCGCCGACCTAGTCAAGCGGGCGCCTCACCGCGATCCCGCCGGGCTCCCCACTCGCCCTCTCGGCACCCTCGAACGGCCGCCCACCATGGCCCCGACCCTCCTTCTCCTCGCCCTCGCCCACACCCTCGTTCTCTCGCTCCTCCCTCTCGTCATCCTCCACCTCCCTCGCCTTGCGCGGTCTGCCTCGCCAATCCAGAGCAGTATCATCGGCACGTCGACCTTGTGTGTCGGCTTGTACGGCGCGTGCGCCCTCGTTGCGCTCGCAGGCTCGGGCGTCGAGAACGGCCGGGTTGCTTCGCTCGTTGCGGGCACGATGGCCTGCGTCGGCTCTCTCTTCAGTGCGTCTCGCTTTCCCTTTCCCTCTCGTCCTCCAAGCTCTCGAGAGAGGCGAGGTGCACGGCCTGCGCGAGTGCGGGGTCGCAGGGGAGGGCCCGCCTCCGCTCGGAGCGTCCGCGGAGCGGGACGAGGGTCAGCATCTCCCTCGTTCACAGCCCGGCCCTGACAACCCGCAATCTCTCGCAGTGGACATCTTCCTCATCCTCAACACGTGCGGCGCCGACGACCAAGATCAAGACGCCGAGAGCCGCTCGCGCTCGAACGGCGACCGGCTCGCTCTGGCGGGTCTTCTCTCGCTCCTCGTTCTCTCAGGCGCGTCCTCTTCTGACTACCTCGTCGTCGAGCTTTCTCCTACTGACACGAAGCTGCCACCACAGCCACGGTCCTGCACGTCGTCCTCCTCTGCGTCGCCCTTCCTCACTCGACGACCCTCGCCCTCTCGGTCGGCCGCGCCGTCCTGCACCTCGTCTTGCTCGCCCTCGTCTCTCTCCTTCTCACTCGAAAGCTGTTCCTCGACGGACCAAGCTTCGACGCCGAGGTGCGTGCTCTCGCCATCTCTGCCTCGTCACGCGAATCGCCCTGACTGCGCCCCTTCTCTGCAGCGCTGCGCGCATCTTCAGCCGGCGACATCCACTAGCGGCGCCTGGTACGCGCCGTCAAGAGCCAGTACTCGCCGCATCGTCAAGGTCTTCTCGCTGCAGGTGAGCCGCCTCTTCCCCGTCGACCCTCTCTCGCCTCGCAGCGCATTGACCCCGTCCTCGAGTACAGGCCGTCCTCATCTTCGCACAGCTGTTCGGCATCGCGCTCGACATCACCTCGGTCATCTTTCCCGTCCGCCAGAACTACATCATCCTCGACGGCATCGGCGGCAGGTCCGCTCCGACCCTGTTCGGCACAACCAGCTCGACGACCGCCTACGTCGTCGTGAGCTGCCTCGTCCTCTCGAGGTGGGCGTTGACGCTCTCGGTCGCAGGTGCGTCCCGCCCGTCCCTCCTCGAGGCGAGCCGAACCTGACCTGCATCGCCCACAGGCTCGACCACCTTGCCCGCTCGGACCCCTCATCTCGATCGCCGTTCCCTCACGCCCTCTGCCTCGGTCCGGCACCTTCGTCCTCATCGTTCGCCCTCGTTCAACCCCCTCGACTCGACGTTCTCGTCCTGGGCCCACCCGTCGCCGCTCGCGACGTCCCGTCGACTCGCCACGGGTTCGCCCGACCGGCCCACGGCGAGGGCGTACCGCTCGCCGGTCCAGCAGTCGTCGGGCTCGGCGCCTTTCGGCAGCAACTCGGCCAAGCGCAAGGCCGCAGCGCACACGTCGTTCCTGTCACTCGGGACGACCGGCGACACCGAGCCGTCGGACCAGGACGCCCTCGAGCTCGAGCACCCGTACATGCACTCGCACCTCCAGACGATGCCCACGTCGACGTACGCGTCGTCTGTCGACGGCGCCGACGACGAGGACGAGCACGGCCGGTCCGAGGACCTCGTCGTGCCGCCGTCGCCCTCGCCGCTCCCGAGCGGCCGCCGCACGGGCCGCATCTCGCCGTCGCTCCCGCCCATGTTCTCGCAGCGGCGCACGAGCCTGACGCAGCGCGCACACCACTCGCTGCCGCCGCTGCTGACGAGCACGCCGCCGCCTTCGTCGTCGAGGGCGTTCGCGCACGCGCAGGCGGGCCACAGCACGGCCGACGAGCTGTCGAGCTCGCCGACGCTCGAGCAGTCGGTCGGGCGCGGCTATGGGCGTCGTACGAGCAGCGCCCTGAGCACCCTGCCCCTCCTCTCGCGCACCTTCACCCGCACCTTCTCGGCGCACGGGCCTTCGCCCTCGTCCGCCGTCACCGCCCGTCCCGCCTCGCCCTACCGCTTCCCGCACCACCGCTCCTCGTCGACCTCGCGCTCGTCCGAGCGTGGTCGCGCACCGAGCCACCCGTCGACCGACGCGCCCTCGTCCAAGTACTTCTCGCCCATGTCGTCGCCGCGCCCGGTGCGCCCGCAGCCGACGAGGAGCGCATCGTCGTCGCCGCGCAAGCTCCGCCGCCCATCGCTCCCGCGCCTCGGCCCGGTGCCCGACGCGCGCATGAGCTCGACGCGCTCGGCGTCGCCGGCGGCCGCGTCGACCTTGTCGCCTTCCCTCGGCGGTCGTCGCCGCAGCGGGTCGGTCGGCAGCTTGCTGCGCAGCGTGGCGGCGGGCAGGAGAACGAGCGGCATGGGCACGGGCATGAGCGGGAGGAGCAGCACGACGCCGACGCCGACGGGCGACATGTCGTTCTGGGAGGTCGAGCCGAACGAGTCGGAGGACGACCCGTTCGCGGCGCGCTCGATCCCGCCCTCGATCTCGTCGGCCTCGCTGCGCGGCGCACGCTCGATCGCCTCGCTGCGCCCGTCGTCGGCGTCGGGCGCACGGTCGACGCTCGACGTCGCCGACGAGGCGGGCGCGATCAGGCTCCGCCGCGCGCTCGAGGCGATCCACGAGCCGGCGACCGAGGGCAGCCACGAGGGCAGCGCGAGGACGAGCAGGTACTCGGCGCCGGCGCCGGGCAGCGAGGGCGAGCACGAGGCGTTCGAGCGGGTCTTGACGCCGGCGCCGTCGCGCGCCTCGGTCGACGAGTCGACGTTCGGCGGCGCGAGCGGGCTCTACCGCCAGGCGTCGAGCACGGGCTCGCAGTTCCGCGAGCACCTCGAGTCGCCGTCGTCGGCATCGTCGCTCTCGAGCGCGGCGGCGCTCCAGCTCGGGCTCGTCCTGCCCACCGACAACGCGCTCGGCCTCGAGACGCCATTCGGCTCGGCGCCGAGGAGGCGCACGGACCAGAAGTCGTCCATGTCGCCGACGGTCCTCACGGGCAGAAGGCCGAGCCTGCCACTCGCCAGCAGCGTCGACGCCGTCGACGAGGAGCTCGAGCCGCAGCCACAGCTTCTCGCGTTCGGCGTCAGCACCCGCAGCCCCGACCAGCTCTACTCGCCGTCGTCCTTCCCGCCGGTGCAGTGCGAGTCGGCCTTCCCGACGAGGCGCGGCAGCTGCGTTCGTCCGTCGATCCTGCCGACCAACTCGTCGCCCGCGTCTCTCGCGTCCACCCCGCCCTCGGGCAGCGTCCGCCGCCGCGGCAGCCTCCTCTCGCGCTCCAAGCGCACGACCTCGTCGCCGTCGCTCCTCATGACGTCAGCGCTCGCGCTGCGCCGCATGCGTCGTCGCTCGCCGTCGCCGCAAGAGGAGTCGCGCGCGTCCGAGTCGTCGGGCCTCTCCTTCGCCTGCCGCGGCCCGTCGACGAGCGGCAGCGACCTCCGCGCGTCGAGCCTGGTTGCTCCTACGCGCCCGCAGGCGAGCGCGCGCTCGAGCAGCGACGGCGAGAACGCGCTCGAGGTCGTCGCAGGGAGCGGCGGCGAGACGACGGTCCAGCCTGGTGCTGCGCCGACCCGCAGGCCGTGGTGGAACCGCATCCCGGGCGGTCGTACGGGCACCCCGTACCTGCGCTCGTCGGCGTCGTCGATCGTGCCGCGCCGCTCGTCGTCGTCGCCCGGGCTCAGCCTCGCGCGCTCGGCCAGCCTCGGCTCGTCGGCCCTCATCCCGCCGCGGTCCTCGCTCGGCGGCGACTCGAGCGCATCGTCGTCGCACGTGCACGGGCGCAGCAACTCGCTGCCCCTGCTGTCCGGCCTCAACGCCATGCGCTGGTCGCAAGTGCAACTTCCCGCCATCCACGACGTCTCGCCTTTCGGCTCGTCGATCTTTCACTCGCGCCGCAGCGGCAGCAGCGACGAGCGCCGTCGACCCGACCCGATCCCGTCGTTGCCGACGTCGCTCGCGGCGCAGCACGCCCTCCTCCCCGTCCCGCTCGACACCTCCCTCGGCGACCGGGTCACCTCGCGCACCTCTTTCCTCTCGATCGCCTCGAGCGCGCCATCGCGCACGTCGTCGTCCTTGCGACGCCTCGACGCGATCAAGCGCGAGGACGTCGTCAACGAGCTCGACGTGCTCGTCGGCTCCCTCGGCGCGAGCTTCGTCGGCCCGGCGCCGCAGTCGCTCTGCGGGAGCTACGAGTTCCCCGACCGCAGCTTCTCGTCGTCGGGCGGCACGCCGCCTGACGCCGTCGACGACGAGCAGCAGCAGCTGTCCCCCGTCACGGTGTCCTCGTCCACCCCGACCCGCTCGCCGACGTCGCTCGCCTCGTCGACGCCCCTCTCGGCCCTCTTCTCGCCGCTTTCCAACGTCGTCGACGAGGACGACGACGACGGGTGGACGCGCAGGCCTAGCGCGGCGAGCGACGCGCTGAGGAGCCCGCTCACGCCGGCGAGCGCGGGCCTGAGCGCGTCGAGATGGGGATCGTTCTCGGACGCAGCCGGCGACGAGGGCGGGTGGCTTGTCTGGCGCGACAGGGTCGCGCAGAAGCCGGAGGAGGGAGCGATGGACGGCTCGGCGCAGGAGACGCTCGAGGTCGACGCTCGTCGCGGCTGAGAAGGCCGCCGCCCCCACTATCGCTTGCCAGGTGGACTAGCTTTCCCTCCCTCTCCCTTTCTCCCTTTCTCTCTACCTCTCTCTCTCTCTCTCTCTCTCTCTTTCTCTCTCTCTCTCTCTCTCTCTCTCTCTCTCGCTCTCTCTCGGTATTTCTGTCGGACCCTCCGTTGGCGGCTGTAGCCTTCTCTCTTTTCTCCGGGTCCCGCTTGCAAAGAGTCAGTTTTCTCCATCTCTCTCTCTCTCGTCTCTCGACAGCGGCCCGGGCAAGCGAGATCGGCATTGCGATCTGTTGCAGGATGAACTGCGACGAGAGCGAGCAAGGGGGTGAAGTCAAGGGATCGAGAGACGGGCGAAAGGGCGAAGAAGACGGACGAGGGGCACGACGAGGGAGGGACTACGAGAGGCGGGTATAAGAGGGGGCACGGCGAGGGTGACGAATTAAGAGAGTGCGGGAGGCTCGAGGAGCAAAAAGGTCGAGGGCGAACGAGAGAGAGAGAGGTGAAGGGAGAGGAGAGGGGGTAAAAGACGAGGTCCGAGCGTCGACGAGGAGCGCTCGACGACCTCAGGCCAGCCACACCTCCCAGTCGTCGTCGGCCGACGTGTCGACCGCCCCTGCGCCGCTCTTGGCCGGCTCCGTGCCGCCGCCGCCGCTCGAGCCGAACCCTTCTCCCCAGGGGTCGGACGAGTCGTCGATCGAGACGCCGAGCGAGGGCGTACCGACGTCGATCCAGGACGCCGAGGCGCCAGTATTGAACGAGGTGGGCCCAGAGAGGGTCGACGAGGGGAGCGAACCCGCGAGGAAGGGCGAGCCGTCGCGACCGAGGTTTTGGTTTGAGAAGGCCGACGACGAAGGAGGAGCGGACGCCGGCGGTGGCTGTTGAGGAGGTGGTGGTGGTGCGGCGTTCTGCGAGGGAGGAGGAGGCCGCATCGCCTGCGAGTACGAAGGCGTGGCGGCCTGGTACTGCTGAGCGGTGTACGGCGACGGCGCTGAACTCGGCGCGGGCGACGGCGCGTGCGAGTACTGCGAGTTGTACTGCTGCTGCTGCTGTTGCTGCATCTGGAGCTGGGCAAGGCAGCGTCAGTCTCGGCATGCGAGAGAGAGAGAAAGGGACCGGAAAGAGAGAGAGAGAGGCGGGGACGCACAAGGTGCTGCGCCGTCGGGCCTGACTGCATGCCCAGGTACTGCTGCTGCTGCATGCGCTGCTGAGGCGTCGGCGTACCGCCCTGGACCGACTGCGCGGGCGAGGGCGCACCCGTCTGCGGCGAGCCGAGCGACGCGTACATGCCCGCGCCGGGCGGCTGGCGGTGTTGCATGCCCGGCGTCGACTGAGCCTGCGCCTGCGCCTGCCTATGGAGCTGCGCCTGCGCTTGAGCTTGAGCCTGGGCCTGGGCCTGGGCTTGGGCGTGCGCGGCGGCGTACTGCTGGTACTGGGCGGGTGACGGAGCCGAGTTGCCGTACGGCGCCGGCGACGAGTGCTGCTGCTGCTGCTGCTGGCCGTACGGTGCCGGCGAGCCGGCCTGCGACCCATGATGCATGCCGCCGGACGCGACGCGCTGGTGCGGCGGCTGCTGCTGCTGCTGGGCGGACGAGGCGTACTGCTGGGCATAGCTCGCGCGCATCTGCTGCATCTGCTGCATGTGCTGCTGCTGCGGCGTGCCGGCGCGCATCGCCTGCTGCTGCTGCGCCTGCAGCTGCTCGCGGAAGAACGACGCCGACCCGCCGCCGCCGCCGCCGCCGTCGCCTCGCTCGCTCGGACCGCCGCCGGCTCCGCCCAGCGCGCTCGTCGGGCGCTGCATCGAGCCCGGCGCGCCGCTCGCCGACGCAGGCGGGCTCCCGGCATGGCTGCCGGCGTAGCTCGTCGCGTACTGCGAGCCCGGCGCGCCCGGACCCGGGCCTGGCGCGCCGACGCTCGCCTGCCGGTTGACCTGGGCGTGCGCGACCTGCGGGCTCTGCGAATAGCTCGAGCTCGGGACGCGCGCGCGCGGGCTCGGCGCGTGGGCGTGGCTCGGCGCCGGGCTCATCGTGCGCTGCGCTTGGGCCTGCGCGAGGGCGTGCGCTTGGGCCTGCTGGGCCGGGCTCGGCCCTGGAGCGGGCGCCGACGCCGATGCTGTCCTCGCGCCGCCCATGGCGGCGTGCGCCTGCGCCTGGAGCTGGTACAGGAGGCTCTGGGCCTGGCTCTGGAGCTGCGTCTGGAGCGCGGGCGGGAGCTGGCGGAACGTGGGCGCCGAGATGAGCGCCTGCACCGACTGGTACTGCTCGGCGAGCGGGCGGTTGTCCGGCGTCGTGCTCGACGTGCTGCCCGTCGCGCTGCCGGCGGCCGAGCCGGGCCGAGGCGACGACGACGAGGCGACCATGCCGCCTTGGGCCGGGGCTTGAGCGCTCGCCTGCGCCGCCGCCGCAGCGGCCACCATGCTCGCCTGCATCTGCTGCTGCTGCTGCATCTGCTGTTGACGGAGCATCATGGCCTGCTGCTGCTGCGTCATGCCCGGGCCCTGCGGCGCGCCGAACGCCCCACCCTGGCCCTGGCCCTGCTGCTGCTGCTGCGCGAACGACGACGCCGTCGTCGGCGAGGGCGCGCTCGGCGAGGGGGCAGCGCCGGGCGAGGGAGGCGGCGCGCCGCCCTGCAAGTGCGGCGGGATCGCCGAGCCGTACATGGTGCGCTGGGCGCTCGGCGGGCGCGGCGGCGGCGCCGTCGCGTACAGCTGCTGCTGCTGCTGCTGCTGCTGCTGCTGTTGAGCGAGGTGCTGCTGCTGCTGCGACGGCGTCGCGCTGCGGCGAGCGGGCGGGACGGCCGAGCTCGCGCTCAGGGCAGGCGACGCGCCGCCCTGCTGGTGCGGGTCGACGCCGAGCATCGTCTGCTGGAGCGGTGGCGGCGCGTTGAACCGGCTCGCCGCCTCGGACTGCTGCTGGTGCGGCTGGAGCGGCGGTGGCTGCGGCTGCTGCCCGAGCATGACCTGCTGCAGCTGCGGCGGCCTCGCCATGCCGGGCGGCGCCGGCGTCGCGGGCACGACCTCGACGACGTCCTCGTCGGCCGACTCGGGCACGGTCGCGAGCTCGACAGCGCCGCCGGGACCAGGAGCGACCGAGCCCGAGACCTGGCGGCGCTTGGCGTCCGGGCTCGCGAGCTCGTCGGACGAGCGCGAGCGCTTGGGCGCGCCGTTGACGGCCTCGAGCGGCGCCGAGGTCGTCGTCGTCGTCGGCTGCTGCTGCTGCGGCTGCGGGTGTGCGCCGGCCGGGGCATGCGCCGCAGCAGGTGCCGCCGTCGGTCTCGCCGGGGTCGCCGCCGTCGCAACGAGCGTCAGGCCGCGCTTGTACTGCTGCTCGTACTTGTCGGCCGCGATGAAGTAGCTCTTGAGCGACTTGTACGCCGACAGGAACCGCGGGCCGAAGATGGGCGTCTCGGGCGCGTCGAGGATGGGCGGAGCAGGGACGACGAGGCGCTTCTGCGTAATGGGCGATGGAGCGCGTCAGGTTACGCTCAAAAGGGGAATTGAGGATGAGGAGAAAATAGGGACGCACGCTGCCGTCCTTGTTGAGCGCAATCTCGGCCATCGAGTTGAGGTAGGTGACGTTCGACTGCAGCCGCAGCATGATCCTGTGCCGTCCACGGCAAGAACATCAGCTCGACTCGACGTGCGCCGCACGAAGAGACGACGCGAAAGGGAAGAGAAACGCGAGGGACGCACGGGCCGTACTCGATCTGGTTGACGGGCCGCTCCTTGAGCACCTCGTCGGCGCACCGGATCAGCTCGGCGTTGAGCGCCTGGACGCACGACACCTTGTGGCCGTTGAACCGGCGCCGGACGTCGTGCGGCGTCATGGTCTGGAGCCCGGCGGGCATGGGGATGCCGCCGGGCGGGAGGACGGGCGGCGAGCGTTTGGGCGCGGTCGAGGTGGAGGAGGGGAGCGAGGGCGAGGTGAGAGAGGTGCTGGGCGCGGCGGGTGGGGCTGCGTCGGCCGAGGCGAGGACGGCTTGGGCGAGAGCGGTGGGCGGCGTAGGGGAGGGAGCTGTCGGAGCGGGAGCGGGTGCGGTTGAGGTCGAGGTGGACGGCGGGCTCTTGGGCGCACTGCCGTCGGCGGCAGGCGGCTCGGCGGGCGTCTCGATCGTCGTCGTCGGCGCAGACGGCGAGGGCGATTTGGCGGCGGGCGACGGTGCGCCGGCCTCCTCGCGGTCCTTCATCAACTCATCGCCCTCGCCGTCCTCCTGCTTCTTCTCCTGCTCGACCGCTCTGCCCGGTCCGTCCTTCTCGCTCGTCCCCTCTCGCTTCTCGTCCCGCTTCTCCTCGCCCATCGTCGTGTCCTCGACTACCGCCGTGCCCTCCTCGGGCGCACGATCCGCCTCTCCCGGCTCGCCCTCACCCGCCGCGCTCGGCCCGTCGGCCACCGCAGCCGCCCCAGCTTCGTCCCCCTCTGGTGCTCGCTCGACGACCGTGCTCTCGTCCTGCGGCTCTGCGCGCTCAGGCGCCGATGCCGACGCCGGGGCGCCGTCGCCGTCGCCGTCAGTCGAGTCGGCCTCGGGGATGTCGCTCAGCTGGGCGGCTTCTGGGGCAGTGTCGCCGGCGTTCGAGGGCGAGCCGGCTCGAGGATGAGGACGAGGAGGGGAAGAGGGAGGAGGAGGGTTGTCGGAGGTGGATGCGGCGGGTGCGGGAGGGTCGCTCGAGGCGGACGCGGGCGTGAGGGACGAGTCGTCGCCGTTGGCGCTGCCGCCAAAGAGCGAGTCGTTGTCGTCGTCGTCGTCGCGCGGCTCGGCCTTGACCTTGGTCATGGGCTGGTCGCCGTCGCCGTCTCGAGAGCGGGCTCGCCGGGATGCGGGGCCGCCGTCGTCGCCGCCGCGGTCGTCCTCGCGCGGGTCGACGGCCTTGGCCTTGCCCTTGGCACTGGCGCTCCTGGTGGACCTCGAGCGGGTGGTGGAGGACGAGGGTTCGGGCGGCGGGGGCGGCGGCGGCGGGGGATGGGAGGGCCCACGGCTCCTCCCTCTCCTGAGGGCGGTGGGCGGTGCCGAGTCCTGGCGAGTCGGTGGCTGTGCCGAGGTGGAACGGGACGCGGTCGATCTGCGGGTGGTGCGTGGCTTTGGTGGTGGGGACGCGGACGGTCGGGGCGATGAGAGGTCCGAGGCGGACGAGGGCGATTTGCGCGGCATGCGACGGCGGGTGCGGGTGTGCACCGGGTAGCTGGTTCCACGGTGCAGCAAGCTCGCAGGTCGGCGAGGCGAGGACAGCGAGAGCGAGACGCGGCCTTCCTCCTCGTCCTCTGTTGACCCGGACCTTGCTCTCCCTCTCGCACCTGACCACCATGTCGAGCACAAAGAAGCTGCGCGCCTGCCTCTTGTGCAGCTTTGTCGCTTCGCCCGCCGAGTTCCGCAAGCAAGGGTGCCCAAACTGCGAGGACAAGCTCGAGGTTCGTCTCCCTCCCTCGCCCCCCCCTCTCTCGTCGACACAGCCACACCGACTGACCAGGGCCACACTGCCACAGATGAAAGGCGACCAGGACCGCGTCATGACGTGCACCACGGCTCAGTTTGACGGCGTCATCGCCATGATCAACCCGGACGAGAGCTGGGTCGTGCGTCCACCTCTCTCTCTCCCTCCTCGTGCCTCTGTCCGTCCATTTTGGGTGCCCGACAACTGACCCTGCCCTCTCCCCCCCCACCCCCGCAGGCAAAATGGCAGCGCAACGGTTCGCCTCGCTCTCCTCCCCTCCTCGACCCCCACCTCGCACCTGTCGTCGGCCCGCCAGGCCCCTGTTTGAGCCTCTCGACTGACCGACACCCCTCTCGTACCCGCAGACAAGCACGTGCCGGGCGTCTACGCCGTCCGGTCCGTCCTTCTCCCGCTCCCCTCGTCTCCCTCGCGCGAGGACTGCGTCGTTGACACTCTCGCCGTCCACAGCGTGACGGGCCAGCTGCCGGACGACATCGCCGAGGACCTCGAGGGGCGTGGGATCAGCGCTACGTCGCGCGAGAACGACGACTGAGCGGGCGAGAATCTCGAGGAGGAGCGCGAGGAGGGGACGAGGGTCGACTCGAGGGTCTCGTTTGCGCCGCCGGCTGCGCCTGTTGTACTCTGTCCTGCCTGCCTGTATCGATACGCGCGTACGTCGACTCCAAGCCGCACAGAGAGAGCGCGAGCGTGTTCCCCCCCACTCTCGGATCCTCGAGCGCCTCTTCCTCCAACACGCTCGTCCGCTCGCCGCTGTCGCTCGCCTCGCAGCAGCGTGGCGATGCCCTGAGCCGCCCTCGAAGATGACGACGACCGCCTCGTACGAGTCGTTCCCTCTCGCGCCGCCGCCCGACTCGCCCTCGCTCCCCGCCTCGTCAGCGACCGACCCCTCGCCGTTCGCCCGCCTCAGGCGCTTCCTCGCCGGTGCGGGCACGGGCGCGACCAATGCCGCACCAGCGCACGATGCCGCAGCGTCCCCTGCCCCGCAAGAGCCGCAGCAGGGCCCCGCCGCCGCCGCCGCCGCCGACGCCCAGCGGTACCCGACCGCGCGCCAGGCCCTCGAGTCGGCTCTCGGCGCAGGAGCAAGCACCGCCACCGCCGCACCCACGCCACCAGCACCACCAGGAGGCGCCACCCCGACGAGCCGCGCCGTCTCGCGCTCTCGCTCTCGCGACCCCGCCGCCTCGTCCCCCTCGCCCGGCCCATCCTCCTCCTCGCCCAGCCGCAACCCGCACCCGCCCTCGCGCAACCACTCGCGCCCGCCCCATCCCTCGCCCTCCTCGTCGCCGTCCCGCACGCGCTCCCACCCGCACGCCGACCACGCGCCGCACCCCTCGGGCGCGCCCAACGAGCGCTTCGTGCGCCCCTTGCGCCTCTCGGGCGCACCGAGGCCGTCGGTGCGCGTCAGCCTGCAGCAGGCAGAGACGAGCGGGATCCTGAGCTCGAGCGTCGGCGCGTCGTCGTCCATCGGGGGCGGCGGCGGCGGGGTCGGGTCGGCGCCCGGTGGGGGAGCGCCGGGCGAGGTCGACTCGCCGACGCTCAGCGAGGGCTACTTTGCGGCGGGCGGGAACGGCGGCGGCTGGGCGAGCGGCTCGGACGCGCCGGGCCCGCCGTTCCTCGCCGCGTCGAGCGCCGGCGGAGGAGGAGGAGGAGGAGCGTCGAGCAGCGCCGGCGGCGACGTGCGCAAGCGCCGTCTCTCGATACCGAACCTCGGCGCGTCGTTCCCGGGCTTCAAGCGCGGGCGCAGCACGGCCGGCGGCGCGGGAGCAGCGGGAGGAGGAGCGGCGGGCGGCTCGGATGACGAGGACGATGCGCGGTCCGTCATGAGCGCTGGGACGGGAGGAGGGTATCGCTCGAGCCCGACGGCGTACGAGCTCATGCGGCGGTTGCGCGGCGAGGTGCGCCCCCTTTTTCCTTCTCTCTCTCTCTCACGCACGATCGAGGACGAGGTTGGCTCACGCGCACGCTCGCACGCAGGGCCTGTCCAAGACGTACTGGATCAAGGACGAGTCGGCGAGGGAGTGCTTCCAGTGCCAGTCGACGTTCACGACCTTTCGCCGCAAGCACCACTGTGCGTCGTCCTCCTCGTCCTTTTTCCACAGCGCGTCGACTGACGCTCGCACCCCTTCCCTCGTTTCCCCTCCTCGCCCGCCCATCCAGGCCGCATCTGCGGCCAGATCTTCTGCATCAACTGCGCGTCGCACATCCTGCCCCGCCTCGGCCACCTCGAGCGCGTGCGCGTCTGCGACGGCTGCCGCCCGACCGCCCTCAAGCACGAGTCGTCGTCGGCCTCGTCCTCGCGCGCGTTCGACGACTCGGCCTCGGCGTACCGGTACCGCGCCCACTCGTCCCAGTCGCAGGTCCTCGCGCGCGACGAGCACGCCCTCGCGCAGGCCCGAGCGCTGTACCGCCCGTCGTCGTCGTCCGCACTCGGCTCCGCCGCCGCCGCGCCGTACTACCACCGGCACCACTCGCGCCTGTCGACGAGCTCGCTGCCCGACATCGACGACGACGACGACAACGACGGGCGCCTGTCGCGCGCGTCGTCGGGCCGCATGCGGAGCCCGATCTTTGAGGAGGGCGAGCGCGAGGTCGAGCCGCCGAGGAGCCCCAAGAGCTCGATCGCGCACAAGCAGCTCGAACAGCAGCAGCAGCAGCAACAGCAGCAGGCGGCGCAGGCGGCTGGAGCGGGCGGCGGCGAGGCGATGGGCGGCGCAGGGTCCGCAGGAGACGGCGCCGAGGCGTTGCCGGCCGTCGCAGCCGAGGGCGAGCGAGGGCCGGTCGACCCGTCGGGCGCAGGGCTGCACAGCCCGGCGTTGTCGGCTGCGGCGCCCTTCCGGCGCGAGCTCGGCGACGAGGAGCACGAGACGGCCGACGAGGCGGACGGGTCGGACGACGACGAGGGCAAGAACGGCTCGGCGCTGCTCCTGCGGCCGCCGACGCAGCAGCAGGGGCTCGGGCTCGACCTCGATGGGCGCGGTGGAGGGTTCGGCGACCTCGACGGCGCCCACGCGCACCTCCAGTCGCACCCGTCGCCGCACATCCGCATCGACTCGTCCCGCCCCGGCTCGACGACGTTCCCACCCGACTCGCCCTTCCTCCCTCGCCTCGACCGCTCGGTATCGCGCGTGAGCGGCCACCTCGTCCCTCGCCTCCCCGACGAGTCGTTCGGCGACGCCTTCCTCGGCGGCGGCATCGACCCGGACGTCTACCACGCCGACGCGTTCCGCGCCGCCGAGGCCGTCGACATCCCGCTCTCCCCTGCCGCGCTCGCCCACATCCGGCGCATGATCGCGCAGAGCCTCGCGCGCGAGCAGGTGCCGCACGCCGCCGCGTGGGAACCCGAGCTCGAGCGCCTCCTGTTCGACGTCGCCGACCGCCTCGCGACGCTCGACGAGGCCGACGTCGCGAGCGGCGGCCCGCTCGACGTCCACGCGCACGTGCGCGTCAAGCGCGTCCCCGGCGGTCGACCGCGCGACAGCGAGTTCGTCAACGGCGTCGTGTTCACCAAGAACGTCATGCACAAGAAGATGGCGCGCGAGCTGCACAACCCCAAGGTCATGCTCCTGTCGTTCCCGCTCGACTTTTTGCGCGCCGACGGCAAGTACCTCGACCTCGACACGGTCCTGCGCCAGGAGAAGGAGCACCTGCAGAACGTCGTCGCCCGCATCCAGAACCACTTTCCGCAAATCATCCTCGTCGAGCGCAACGTGTCGTCGAGGGCGCTCGAGCTCCTGCGCGACCTGCGCGACGTCGCCGTCGCCCGCCACGTCAAGCGCGTCGCGCTCGACGCCGTCGCGCGCTCGTTCGGCGCCGAGGTCGTCCCGAGCCCGCACGCGCTCCTCGACAGCAAGGTCGGGCGCTGTGCGCGGTTCCGCGTCCAGACGTTCGTGCACCCGCTCATCCCGGGCGGGCGCAAGACGCTCCTCCGGTTCGAGGGCAGCACGGGCAGCGACCGCCAGACCGGGTGCACGCTCCTCCTGCGCGGCGCGTCGATGGACGACCTCGCCAAGGTCAAGCGCATCGTCAACATGCTCGTCCTCGTCGTCTACAACGCCAAGCTCGAGGGCTACCTCCTCCACGACCAGCGCATCGAGGTCCTGCCGCCGATCCCGTCCTCGTCGCCGACCTCGGCCTCGCCGCCTGCCCCGTCGCCCCGCCAACCTGTCAGCGACCTCGCCCCAGTCGCCCCAGTCGACACCGACGACGACACGACCGAGACGCTGCCGCCACCGCCGCCGCCTCTCGCCGCACGTCCCTCCTCGGCCGCGACCACGACGGCGCGCATCTCGGCGACGCTCGCGCCGTACCAGACGGCGGCCCTGTCGGGCTCGCCCCTCGTGCACTACCCGCCGCCGTACCCGCTCGCCCGCATGGCGGCCGAGGACCGCCGCGTGCGCGAGATGCGCGAGATGCGCGACAAGGAGGAGACGATGCGCATCCTGGTCGAGGAGGAGCAGGCGGCGGCGACGGCGTCGACGATCGGTGGCGGCAGCGGCGGCACGAGCAGCTTCGCAAACGGCTCGTCCATGTCGTCCATCTCGGCGAGCTCGAGCAGCGCGGCGCTCGACATGCTCGGCGGCGGCGGCGGCGAGGCGCCCCTGTCGTACGACAGCCTGAGCTCGCTCGGCTCGTTCCTCGGCGGCGTCCCGCTCCGCGACGCCGGCCGCGACACGTCGCCGCACCAGCCACACCACGCCGAGCTCGCCGTCCTGCAGCAGCCCGAGGAGCTCGCCCGGCAGAGCCAGTTCGCCGACGCCGAGGAGGAGCACGCCCTGCACCTCGCCGCCTGGGAGGCGTACCATCGCGCGCACGAGGACAGCTTCGACCCGCACGACTTCCAGCAGCTGTTCGTCCTCGAGTCGCTCGTCCAGGTGTCGCCTCGAGGCGAGCCCGTCCGCCTGTGCCGCCCGCCCGAGGTCCACTCGATCGCGTTCTACGGCGAGGGCGACACGACCATCGGCCAGTACCTCAAGTTTGCCGACGCCGCACTGCGCTCGGGCGAGCCGTGCCCGAGCCCGTCGTGCCACGAGTCGCTGCGCAACCACCGCCGCATCTTTGTCCACGACGGCCACGTCCTGCACGTCTCGTGGGAGCCGTGGAACAACGACGTCCTGCGTGGCGCCGTCGGCATGAGCACCGAGTGCCGCCACGTCGGCTGTCGCTGCGGCGGGCGGCTCGTGCGCGCCGCGACCGAGACGGTCCGCCTCAGCTTCGGCAAGTTCCTCGAGCTGTTGTTCTACCCGTCGCAGCGCCTCGCGTGCGCCGACGACGCGTGCGGCCACGACGGCCAGCTCGAGCACGTGCGCCACTGGCACTACGGCGGGATCCGCGTCGCGATCCGGATCGACAAGGTCGACCTGCGCGACGTCGTCGCCCCGCCGCGCAACGTCAAGGTCCGCCCCGACCGCCAACTCGAGCTGCGCAACGCCGAGTACCAGCAGGTCCTGCGCCGCAGCGAGGCCTTTTTTGCGTCGGTCCAGGCCCGCGTCGCCGCGTTCAAGTACGACTGCATCCCGGTCGAGCGGCTCGACGAGTGCAAGGCGGCGCTCGGCGACTTTTCCGCCCGGTGCGAGGCCGACCGCAAGGCGATCGCGCGCCTCCTGCGCTCGGCGTACGAGCACGCGCACGACTCGAACGGCACCGAGATGACGGCCGTCCGGCGCGCGCTCCAGGAGAAGAGCCACGCGTTCGACGCCGACTGGGCCAACTTCGTCAAGCGCATCACGCCGTTCGACATGCAGGACATGCGGCGCGCGAGCGTCGCCCAGCTCAAGCGCTACCTGCCCGACGGCTCGTTGCGAGGCGCGTCGGGCCCGCTCCCGCCAGCGATCGAGGTCGAGGAGCACCTCGAGGACGGCAGCAGCACCAGCGGCGACAAGTCGCCCGACTCGCCGTCTGCCGGCGACCGCGAGCGCCTCGAGGAGGGCCAGACGCAGGCCCTGCGCGACGCCGAGGTCTGCATCGACCCGCCGGCCGGTTCGTCCCTCAACTCGCTCGACGCGCTCGCCAGCTCGACCGCCGCCACCCTGCCCTCGCCTCTCGACGACACGGCCAACCTCCCTCGACCACCGCCGCTCTCGCGCACCAACAGCTCGTTCCGCCGATCGTCGTTCGGCAGCGACTTTGAGAGCGACTCGACCATCTGCGCCGACGGCGAGCCGACGACGGTCGTGCCCAGGACGACGTCGCCGTTCATCAAGCGCCGTCAACTGCCCGCCGTGGTCGACGAGACGAGCGCCGCCGAGAGCGAGCTCGACACGCCCATCTGGCAGCGGCGGCGAGGTCCGGGCGGCCAAGTCGCGTCGCTCGTCAGCGCGTACGACTCGGGCGCGGTCGGCGCCACGCTCTCGCGCGACACGACGATCAAGGCCAAGCACGGTTCGTCGCCGGCGCGACCGAGCCTGCGCCGCTCGCAGACCGAGAAGCCGCCGCCGCCGAGCCGACCTCGGGCCAAGGCGACGAGCACGTTCCACGAGACCGACAGCAGCTGTGCGTCCTCTCTTCCACTCTCTCGTCGCGTTCCCGAGCCCTGTGCGCCTGTTCCTGACACCTTGCCCACCCAGATGCGCGCATCGTCGGCGTCTCGCACCTCATGGCCGAGTCGTCGCTCTCGGCCGCCGCCGCTCGACCTTCTCGCATCCCGTCCCGCAAGCCGACCAAGTCGCTCGCGTCCAGTCCGTCCCACGAGGAGGACGACGTCGACGAGCTCGCGCGCGCACTTGGTCCAGGTCTCGCCGTCAGCACGTCGCCGACCTCGACTCGCCCGTCGTCACGCGCCAGCTCCCAAGCGCCGTCCTCGCGCAGCGCGAGTCGTGCCACAAGCCCGACGGCATCTCGACCACGCTCGGCGTTCTCGCGCGCACCCGACGGGCCGCTCTCGACGCAGCGCCCGCCGCTCAAGCCCTCGTCGTCGTCGCGCTCGACCATCAAGGGCAAGTCGCGCGCCTCGGCGCAGCTGTCCGAGTCGAGCGACGCCGGTGCGCTCAAGCCGTCGCGCGGCATCGGCCTGTCGCGCCCAACCGCGTCGACGGCCAACAAGGTGACGCGCCGCGCCGTCTCGACGGGCACGGGCCGCCACGTGTCCAACATGCGCCGGCACTTCGAGAACGTCAGCCGCCAGAACGAGAAGCAGCAGGCCATGCGCAAGCGCGCTCGGCCCATCATCACGTCGCAGCCGACCGTCCAGATCTTCGAAAACATCAACGACGCCATCAAGGAGGACTCGGACGACGACGAGGACGACAACGACGGCCCAGGGTCCGACGCCGAGTCGGGCGGCGCCGACGACGAGTTCGACGACGAGCAAGAGCCGCCTGAGCGCGACGACGAGGCCAAGCTCGCCGCCGACGGCACCTCGCCCGCCAAGAGCGCCAACTTGCGCCTTCCCGAGCCGACGACCATCGCCCCGTCCACCTCTGCCCCGACCGGCCTCGCATCGATGACCATGTCGGACGCCCTCGCTCGCTCGAGCGGCGGCGCCGACCCGGGACGCGGCCTCCTCATGCCGCCGACCGCCCTCGAGCAGCACTCGACCGCCGAGCCGTCCGACTCGGACTTTCCCTCGGTCCCGCCGTCGCCCGTCATGCCCGACTCGTTCACGTTCCCGCGCATGTCGGAGGGCGAGTCGAGCGGCGCCGAGCGGCGGTCCATCTTCAACGCGTTCTCGAGCCTGTGGAACTACCGCAACGGCGACTTTTCCCCTCTCGCGTACCCGACGTGCGTCCCGCGCTCTCTCCTCTCTCTCCCTGCCCGACTAGATGGCCACTGACTCTTGGCCTCGCAGGCTCGCGACTGAGCACGTCTACGCCGACAACCCGGTCGTGCTGCGGGACGACGAGCCGACTTCGCTCATCGCGCACGCTCTGAGGCGCGCCTCTCGCCCCCTCGCACGCCCTCGACGAGCACGACTGACTCTTCCACATCGTGCGCAGCTCGAAGCGGTACTACCAGGCGTTCGAGAACGCCAACCTGCCTCGGATTCGAGAAGGCCTCGGCGTCGCTAGCGCCGGCGACGAGCACCCGAGCGAGGTCACCTCGTTCGCGACCCAGCACGACAGCGACGTTGCGCAGACGATCGAGGATATCTTGCGCGCCTCGACGCAGCGCTCGTTCAAGCTCGGCGGTGCGTCCTCTTTTGGCTCTCTCGCACGGACCTCGTGCGCTCGACTCACGCCTTTCCCTCTCATAGACGTCGAGCTCGGCGACATTTCGGCACGCTGCACCGTCTTCTGGGTCGAGCAGTTCGAGGCCTTGCGTCGGCAGTGCGGCTGCGACAAGCAGTTTGTCGAGAGCCTGTCGCGGTGCTTCAAATGGGACGCGGCGGGCGGCAAGAGCAAGGTCGACTTCATGAAGACCCTCGGTGCGTCCCTGTCGCTCCCATGGACGTGCAGGAGCATCCCGGACTGACCCGGCTTCGCCGTCTCGCCCACAGATGACCGCTTCATCGTCAAGCAGCTGTCACGCCCCGAGATGGAGGTCTTTGCCCGATTCGCGCCGGCCTACTTTCAGTACATGGCCGACGCTCTCTTCCAGGGTGTGCGTCGCCTCCTTCCCCTCGTACTCCTCGTTGTCGCGGTACTGACCCTCGTCGCGCACGGACCGGCAGAAACCTACCGTCCTCGCCAAGGTCTTTGGCATCTACCGCATCAGCCTCGGCAAGGAGTACCGCAACGTCGACTTCCTCGTCATGGAGAACCTCTTCTACGGCCGCCAGCTCAAGCAGATCTTCGACCTCAAAGGCTCCACCCGCAACCGGCGCGCCGACGAGAACAACCCGGTCCTCCTCGACGAGAACTTGCTCGAGGGTGCGTCTTCCTGCCACACACGGTGCCCACGAACGTCCACTCACGCTCGAGCACCCACAGTGTCGCTCAAGAGCCCGTTCTACGTCCGCGAGGAGTCGAAGCAGTTCATCAAGCAGGCGATCTTCAACGACAGCCAGTTTCTCTCGGACCTGAGTGCGTTCTCTCTCGCCTCCTCCGAGATGCGCAAGGCCCTGACCCTCACCTCCTGCAGACGTCATGGACTACTCGCTCGTCGTCGGCGTCGACGCCGTCAAGTCGGAGCTCCTCGTCGGCATCGTCGGTGCGCCCCCTCTCCCTTCCCTCACTCGCGCTCGGACCCTGCCTGACTCCGCCCCTCTCCTCGTCGCGCAGACTACATCCGCACCTACACGTGGGACAAGCGCATCGAGAGCTGGGTCAAGGAGACGACCTTCCTCGGCGGCGCGTCGAAAGCCGGCGGCCCGACCGTCATCACGCCCAAGCAGTACAAGCTGCGCTTCCGCGAGGCCATCGACGGCTACCTCCTGCTCGTGCGCCTCTCTTTCTCTTTCTCTTTCTCTCTCTATGTATCTGGATTGGTGGCTAAACCTGCTCGTCCGCAGGCGCCGACGCCCTGGCTCGACCTCAAGTCGCTCCTGCCGATTCAGCCACGTCCCGACCCGCCAAAGGCCGACACCGCCTCGTCCTTTGACGGCCTCGCTACAGGTGTGGCCAATCCGCCAGTGCCGCCGCCTTCGACCAACCCTGCTCCCCCTCCCTCGGACACCTCGTCCATTGTCGCGGCGTCGCTCGCGACCATGTAGAATCTCGCTCTCTCTCTGAGTCTCTCTCTTTGTTGTTTTAGCACCAGCGCTCTGCCCAACGCAATGCAATAACGACGCGCGATGACTACTAAGGATGCGAGGTGACGAACGAGAGAGAGAGAGAGGAGAAGGAGGACGAAAAAGCTAAGAACCGAGCGGCGGGCTCGACCACGCCGACGAGAGCCGCCTGAGCGCCTTGCGCGCTCCTCCTTCCGATACCGGCGGCGACGACGACGTGCCCTCCTGACCCGCCGGCGCCCCCTCGAGCCCGATCCCAAGGCCCACGTCGCCGCTCAGGCTCGGGCTCGGGCTCGGACTCGAGCTCAGGCTCGCGCGCGACCCTTGCCGACGCTGCTGCTGCCCGAGCAGGCTCATCCTCCGCTGCGGCAGCTCGGTGAGCGTCGTCCCTCGCGCCGCGTCCTGCTTCTCGAGCGCCTCGAGCGCTCGGGCCCGCTCGTGCTCCCGGATCGAGCTCTCGCCCGGCGAGCGCCCGCCGAGCGACGGCGACGGCAGCGGCGACGTCGACGTCGACGAGGTGCGAGAACTCGCGCCGAGTGCGCTGCCGCCACCGCCAGGAGCGGCCGCCGCGAGCCTCGAGGTCGGCGGCGGGTCGAAGCCGAGGTGGACCATCTCGGCCCGGATGCGCTCGCGCTCTCGGCGGTCCTCGTCGTCCTCGAACTCGTCGCCGAACTCAACCTTGCGCGCCTGCGCGTCGGCGAGGACGAGGGGTTTGATGCCGCCGGCGCTCGGCGCGACGGCGGGCGACGAGGGCGGACCGGTCGCCGACGAGGTCGAGCGGCCGAGCGAGAAGACGGACGCGACCGAGTCCCAGACGCCGCCGCCAGACTTGCGCGGGCCGTTGACGGTCGGCGAGGCGGGCGTGGCCGAGGGCGCCGTGACGAACGAGGCGGTCGAGAGCGGGGTCGAGGGGTCCGTGCGGCGGGCAGGGGTGGAGGTGACGGCGGCGGACGGGGTCGTCGTGGTCGGCGCCGTCGAGCGGAAGAAGCCGATCGAGACCGGGCGAGGCTTCTTGTCGGGCAAGGGCGGGCCAGGCGTCCCGGGCGAGGCGAGCGGGTCGGCGGGCTTGGGCGTGTTGCGGTAGTCGACGGCGAGCACCTTCTCGAACCCTTCTTGCGAGCACACGCGGTCGACGATCTTGCTGACGTAGAGCGTGAGCGCCTTGTTGGCGTCGCGCAGCTGGCGCACCTCGTTGTGCAGCTCGACGTCGGTGGGCCCGGCGAGGCTGCCGTCGCGCTGCTGCTGCGACGCCGCCGCCTTCTTGCGCCGCCGCTCCTCCTGGCGCTTGTCGCGCCGCGTCTCCTTGGCGCGCAGACGCTCGGCGGCGCCCTCGTCGACCTCGGTCTGCTCGGCGGCCGCCTCGAGCTCGGCGGCGAGGTCGAGCCCTCCTCCTCCTGCGCCGGCGACGACCGACGCACGCTTGGCCGCGTGTCGCGAGCGCCGACGCTCGGCGCGCTCGGCGGCGACGGCGCCCGAGTGCGGGCTGCCGACGCCCTTGCTTTCGAGCAGGACGCGCTCAATCTCGTCCTCGTCGTCGTCGAGCTCGCCGCCGTCGTCGCTCGACAGCTCCTCGTCGCTGCTGAGCGGCAGCTCGCCCTCCTCGCCGACCGGGTCGAGCCCGCCGGCGAACCCGAACGCGCTCGCGTACTTGACGTCGCCCGTCGCCGCCGTACCGCCGCCGCCGCCGTGGTGCCAGTCGCCGTCGTCGCCGCCAGCGAGGCCGCTCTCGCCCCACGAGAAGCTCTGGCGGAAGAGAGCCGTCGTGCGGACCTCGCCCGACAAGGTGCGCTCGCCGAGGAGGACCTCATACGACTCGTTCTGCTCCTGCACGTCCTGGTAGACGCGCTTGAGGTCGGCCATCTCGACCTGGAGCTTGTGCAGCGTCGACGACAGCGACGAGTGCGCCGTCGTAAGCGTGTCGAGCTGGTCGCGCAGGGCGAGCTCGGCGGAGGAGGGCGACGAGGTCGACTCGGACGTGGCCGAGGTCGAGGCCGTGTCGGAGCGGGTCGACGACGCGGACGGCGATGGCGACGACGTGGCCGAGCGCGAGAGGGGCACAAAGTCGGCACGCGGCGTCTCGGGCGGCTCGTCGGCCTCGGCGTCGGTCTCGTCGAGGCGGTCGTTGACGGCTGGAGCGGGCTTGCGCGAGGCGCGACTGGGCCGCTTGCCGCCCGTCGCGAGGTTGGACAGGCGCGACTTGTAGAGCTGCTCTTGGTCGTACCAGGCCTGGCGCTCCGACTCGAACGTCTCGGACTGTGAGCACGGGCGAGAGTGAGCTCGTGCGCGAGAGAAAGGCGAGTGGGTCAAAGAGGAACGAGGACGCACCTGCTCCCGGTAGCGCTTGGTCGCGTCGCGCTTCTCGCGCTCGAGCGTGCGCACCGACGCGCGCAGCTTGTCGAGCACCTCGATGCGGCCGCCGAGCTCCTCGTCCCTGCGCGCGGGGCGGGGCAAGTCAGTCCAGCTCGACGGGTGGCCCAGGGACCGAGAGCGAAAGGGAGACGTACATCCTGGCCTGATCCGCGAGCAGCTCGTCGACCCTCGTCCTCGTGCCCTCGAGCTCCTTGTCCAACCTGCGCCGCTCGTCGCGGTCCTCCTTGCCCTCCTGCTCGAGCCGCTCGACCCTGTCGGCGACGCGCGCGTGCTCGTCCTGGAGGCGGGCGACGAGCGAGACGAGGACCTCGTGCGGGGCGTGGGCGAGCTCGTCGTCGGTGAGCACGATGAGCGGGAGGGAGGGTGCGGGAGGCGAGCTGGCGAGTGGGGGTGGGAACGACGCCATGTCGCAGGCCGGGGCGAGTCGGTGGACGAGACCGAGGGGTGCTGAGGGATGCTGAAGGCCAGGCGCAGGTCGGCCAGGCTGCTCGAGGCGTGGACGAGGTGGTGAAGGGGGGCGAGTCGCGTCGGTCGAGATGAGGAGGGGGAGCCGGCGGCCGAGGTGCGTGACGAGCCGGGGCGGTCGAGCTGGGCGCAGGTGCACTTGCGCAGTGGTGCACAGCTAGCTGCACAGAGCTGTGCGCAGCCGCACCGCGAGTGCGAGGTCGGAGCAAGTGCGATCAACCTCCAAGGCCTGGAGCGCTCGCGAAGGAGTTCCGGCGCACGCTTCCGGACTCGCTTGGACTCTCCGTTGGAGCTCTCGCACTCACGGGTCGCGTTGGAGAACAGGCAGGCAGAACTTGGCTACGCAAAGGGCGACAAGACGAGGAACGAGCGCGACGTGGCTGTGCACCAGGAGGTCGACCGACATGCACGCGCGACAGGAGTGTCTCGCAGTCCCAGCTCCTGCGTCGACCGCTCCGTACAGGCTCGTGTCGGGCGGGGCCGAGGCCAGGCAGACGTGGTGGTTCGGGAGGCGAGGAAGCTGGCCTGCGTGAGGAGGAGAGGGCAGTGGTGAGCGGGCGTGACGCAAGGATCGCCGATACGAGGCAAGGAAGAGAGAGACACTCACAAGTGACGGACAGAGCAAAAGCACGTCGGGCGAGTGTGTGACTCGCGAGCATTCGAGCGCGAGGCAGGAGAGGGAGGGACGAGGGAGGAGAGGACGGGCGGGAGGTGCAAGCCATGCACATCGCTTGCGGCAGTCTGCCAGCCTCGAAGCAGGTTTATAAAGGGTGCGGCGAGGTACGCTGCGTCCCCCCGGGTGACGGATGGCTCGAGAGCCTGCCCAGCTGATGAGAGGCGGGACGAGGAGGAAGGGACAGTGGCCACCCTCGTGGGCCGGGTCGGCGTGGGTCGGCAAGCGTGCCTGAGCAGCCTGAGCAGCCAGGCGGGTGGACTCGAGGCAGGCAGGCCGAGAGCAGAGCTGGCGTCGAGGCGAGACGAGGAGCTGATGGAAGCGACCAGACGAAGCCCTCCCCCCTCTGCTCCACCACGATGCGCCACTTCTGCCACGAGTGCCAGTACGAGGGCGACAGCTTCCCCTCCAACGCAGACGGCATCGTCTGCCCAGAGTGCCGCGGCGACTTTGTCGAGGAGGTGCGTCCTCAGCCCCTGAGCCCCACTCGCTCCCCTCGACCTCGGTCCTGCGCCCTCAGACTGACTCGCGCCCTCCCCCTCCAGATCCCCGAGGACGGCACCGCAGCCGACGATCCGCGCGACTTTGACCCAGACGACGCCGACGGGCCCGACCCGGCCGCCCTCCCCTTCTTCCTCGCCGCACCTCCAGGCGGCGGGCCGGGCGTCCTCCGCTTCCAGCTCCCAGGCGGCGGCGGCGCCTTCATCGCCCAGGCGGGCGGTGGAGCGGGCGGCGCAGCGGGAGCAGCGGCCGCGGCGCAGGCGCTCGGCGGCCTCAACCCTCTCACGCTCGCCATGCTCCGCTCGTTCGGCTTGCCCGAGCCTGCGCCAGCAGCGGGGGCGAACGGGCAGGGCGACGGCGCGGGTCGGGCGGCGCAGCAGGACGGGCAGGGGGACCAGCAGGCGGGCGAGCATGACGCTCCTCCTCACAGACCTCACCAGGTCCCGATCCGCAACCTCGCGACGTGCGTCCCCTGCTCTCTCTCTCTCTTTCTGTCGCGAACGATTCGTTGACCTCCTTCTCCCGCAGCTTCCTCGGCGAGGCTTTTGGCGCCGCCACGCCGCATCCCGCCGACGCCCCCGACAACAACCCGTTCGCCGAGGGCGGCCACGAGCGCAACCACCCGGACGCCGACGGCAACGCCGACGCGCCAGGTGCCGCTCCTCCTCGTCCCGGCGTCGGCGGCGGCCTCGGCTTCCTCGGCGCGCTCCTCAACGCGTTCGGCGGCGGCGCCCCGAACGGCGCCGGCGGGTTCGCGCTCCCGGCCAACATGGGCGACTACGCGCTCGGCGAGGGCGGGTTCCAGCAGATCCTCAACGACCTGATGGAGCAGGCGGCGGGACGCGCAGGGCCGCAGCCGGCGCCGGACGACATGATCGCCAAGCTGCCGAGGGTCAAGGTGACGCAGGAGCTCCTCGGTGCGTCTCTCGTTCTCGCCTTTCCTCTTCCTCCTTTCTCTCTTCTCTCTCACTCCCTCGTCGACGCCCCGTCCGCTCCTCGGCGTCGACGAGGGACGAGCCTTGGCCGTCGCTGCACCTTACTGACGGGCTCTCGTCCTCCCCCTCGACTCGCAGACCTCGACTCGATCACGACGTGCGCCGTCTGCCAGGACGAGTGGGCCCTCGACGAGACGGCCATCCCGCTCCCGTGCAAGCCGTCGTCGCACCTCTATCACGAGGACTGCATCGTGCCCTGGCTCAAGACGTCCGGCACGTGCCCGACCTGCCGCTTTGCGCTCGTGCCGCAGCCAGGTCAGCCCGGGTACGGCGAGGACCAGGCGCAGCCGCATTCGCAGCCGCAGCCGCAGCAAGGCGACGCCGTCCCCGGCCCGAACGCGAGCAGCGCGCCGACCCGCCCGCCGCTCCCCGGCCGGCAGAGCTCGCTCAACCCGCACTCGCCCGCGACGGCGCGCATCCCCGAGGTCGCCGGCGGCTCGAGCCTGCCTGGGAGCTGGATGTGGAGCAACGACGGCGAGGGCGAGGGCGAGGGCGATGCGGCGGACCCGGACGACATGGAGGTCGAGGGTCGGGGCGAGGAGGGGCGCGAGGAGGGGCGCGAGCGCGAGCGCGACCCGGCGGCGGCGGCGAGGGAGGCGGCCGAGAGAAGGGCGCAGGAGGAACGGCGGGCGAGGGAGGGCTCGAGCGCGGCGGGACCCATCATCGAGGATGTCGACTGAGAGCGAGCGGGACGGACGAGATGGCTTCCCTCTCTCCCTTTCTCCCCTCGCGCTTTGTCCTCTCGTCGAGCCCTCTCTGTAGCACTACTTCCTCTCTCGCTTGCACCCCTTCAGTCCCCTCGCAATCTAGCAGCTTTTCGCCTCTCTCAAAGGTCGTGAACGCGCTCGAGCGGGAGAGGAAGAAAGGCACTACGCTCTGCGACGCAGCTAAGCTACACGCCCGCCCGACTTCTTGCCACAGCCTGCTTGACCCGCGAGCTGTACCCGCACCATCTCGAGCCTGCGCCTCGCCGCCGCCGTCCTGCCGCCTGCGCTCGTGCCTCGTCCGGCTCCGCCTGCGCCCGTCTCGTCCGGGCGCGCCTCGTCGCCGATGTTGCACCTCGTCGCGGCCTCCCACGCGTCGTACTCGTCGGGAACGTCGTACGAGAGTCGTCGTGGCTGAGGTGAGGTGGCCGAGATCGAGGAAGATGGGGAGGGGAGCGCGTCGCCGCCTGCGCCATGGAGGGAGACGTGCAGGGTCGTGCAGTGCTCGGGCGAGAAGAGGGGCGACCAGTCGCTGTCGAGCGTCTCGATGGCGGCGTCGACTCGACTGGGCGCGGCGCAGGTGCGAGCGCGAGAGGAGGGGAAGTCGAGAGGTTGGAGGAGGGAGGGGTACGTCGGCGCGGATGGGTGGACGGGCGAGTGGCGCGATGACGGAAGGGGTCGAGAGTTGGACGAGGAACAGTTGTGCGGCAGGAAGGAGGGGAAAGGAGGAGGAGCGAGCGACAGGAAGGCGGCGCCGAGGTCGGAAGGGAGGAGGAGGAGCGGGTCGACCGCCGCACCGACGAGCTCGTCCCGGCTGCTGATCGCCGGGTCCGCCCTGGGCGAGCCGTCAACGCTCGCCCCGCGAGCAACCTCGAGCGTCCACCGCTCGTGCGCCTGCTCGTCAGGAGCGGCTGCGGCCGACCTCCTCCTGCTCCCCGCGCCCCTCGCCCTCACGGCGTTCCCGCCCAGCGGTCCAGCCGTGACGCTCCTCCTTCCCCTCTGGAGCTCCTCCCTCGCCGGCCGGCGCCCCCGCTCGCTGCCCTCTCGCCCGTCCTCGCGACCCGAGTTGCGCGTGAACCGGCCGCGCCCGAGGTCGACCCGCGCGCGCTCCTCCTATGGGGATCGAGAAACGATTCCGGCCCGGCA